TGATCGAGAAGCTCCCAGGCAGCTCTGGAGAGAAGTGGCCTCCAACAGACGTGGTTGTCAACATTATTGCTGTGCTGAACAACTTGGTTGTGGAAAGCCCTGTTGCTGCACGTGACATTGTCTACTTCGATGGCCTGCGGAAGCTATTCTACATCAAGAAGAAAAGGGACAGGTGGGGAAGACCTGGGGATTCCTCCTCCAATTCCATATGCTGAAACCACCAGTTGAATTCCAAGAACTCCATATTCAGTCACATTTTAGGCCATCTGGCTGCTTTATACCAATTGCAAGGGTGTGAAATTAGTCCACCTGCTGCTAAACAGTACGTCCTCCTGTCTAAATTTCTATTAAGGGGAGTGTTTGTGGATCTGCAAAGCTGTGAGTCTGTTCCTACAGACCATGCCCATTTGTTAAGACAGACCCATTTTCTTCCAGAAGTGTAAAGGTAAACGTAAAGGGACCCCTGACCATTAGGTCCAGTTGTGACCGACTCAGAAATGTAGCCCAAGCCTATTGGATGTATCACTGAATTTAGTAGGGCTTAGTCATAAGTACGTGGGAGGAATTCAGCTGAGTTGTCCCCCCTCTCTTCCTCTATGCCCTTAAATTTGTTCTGGAAGATGGGGGGAGCCCCCCAGAACAGGTTCAGGGGGGCACAAGGGGGGGGAGTAGCTAAATCCCACTGCACAAGCAGACCTTGTTCCTTGTGTCCATACCCCACTTAGCGTTATGTGAAATTCCTCACTATGTGTCTAAGGCTTGCTACCTTAATTCTCAGTGGTTCACTAATAGACATGATGTAACCTAGTATAAAATCCACCAATAGTTTATGAAGGAAGAGAGTCTGTGTCTTAAAGTGCACTTGCAACGTGTTGTGTCTGTCTTTATTCTCCAGCTCAGACAGTGAGAAGTCGTCGAGAGCTGCTTCCAGCCTCCTGACCAACATGTGGCAGTACAGCAAGCTTCATCGGGACTATAAGACGGTATGTTCCTTCCTCCCAATTGCTCTCTCTCCACTACTCAGTGAGGGAAGAACTGACTTCCTGCCCAGTCTAGAGGGGGAAGTATGGTTGCTCCTTTAAGTCCTGCAGTGTGAAAGCTTGCACTCCTGGACATCCACATCACAAGAGAAATGACTTCATAGGGTGCCTGTGCTGCAATATGCATGAGTAGATTTCTGATTCTAGAAGAGGGAGAAGAGGTATCTTCTAGATATGATCAGCTACAAAGGCCAGCACGCCTGTATTATTAGTAGTTTTCTGGAAGAATGAATTTCAGTAAGTATAGTTTGTCATGGAGGCGTAAGAAAACATATACCTGCTCTACGCCCCTATTTTGAACCACTATTAACAGTATGGGAGCCCACCCTATACCCTTTTGCATCTAACTTTAACAAGGGATGCTTAGTGGGTACCTGCTGTGCTTTGGGTTTAGCCCTATAGTACTGAATAGGAAAGTGACAGAGATGTGCTGTTTGTTCAGCTGCCATTTTGGCCTTAGCTGAGGATATTGCCCCAAATAGATCAATAACCTATAGTTTTAGTCCAGGAATCATGGCACTTATCTAAGGTGTCGGGAATGTGTGTCCTCCAAGGGCTTGGTAAGTGCCACTTGTTTTTAGGGCTCCCCCTTATTTTAAATGTTTGAACATTTTAGCACACTAATAGAACATAACACATCACCCTTATTTCCCATGGTGGGGGGCTTCCATTTCAGCCATCAGGTACAAACTTCTCTTATGAGGGAGGAAGGGGCACCCCCTGCTGCAGGTCATTCTCTTCTGCAGTATCACAGATATGAATTCTAGATTTGCAGTTCTTTTGAGAATCTGTGCCATCTTGGGTCTTATATCTATAGGGCACCGGGTGGGTGGAATGATGTGCCCTTGTGATATTTTTCTTCTTCTGTGTTTTACAGAAGGGCTATCGAAAAGAAGACTTTGTTGGCCTGTAAAGAAAAGGGAATGCAGAAATGGACTGTCCAGCCCTAACTCTTCATGAAATTTGTACGTGAATCACCATCATGGACTGTGGCGCCGCTGCATGAAGCTTGCCCTCTGCAGCTTCCCTCCTTTTTATAGATCTCAGGCCAATTTGGCTGGTGTGCCTTATTTTTTAATTATTCATTAGTGTTTCTTTTTCAAGCCTGCTGGAAACTCATCATCTTCTGCTGGCCATCTTATCTCCATAAAAACAAATCTTAACTGTAAAGACGTGAGTCAGCATCCAGGCAAATTCTCAGGACTCTCCTTCTCCTTCACATCTTGTACTGGATGCCCTTGGATCCCCAGTCATTATTTGAAATTCACAAACACTCATGTCATAGCAGGACCTCCAGTCTTGGGAAGGATGCTGAGGGGCCTTCCTTCTCCCTCCTAAAAGTCTTGCTGTTTGTAGGTCACTCCCCACCATCTTCTCTGAACCCCTAAAATGATGGGCTTCCTTTTCACTTTTAAAGATCTAGGAGATCTTCTTTTCTTGAGGCATGGATCAATTTTAATGAGAACTATAAGCTCTACACATATGACACCAGAAAACCACTTGTTTCTGGTGGTATTGAACCTGTTAATGGAATTTTGAGGGATAAATGCAATGTTTAAAGTTAGCACTAGCCAAAAAGTAGGGCAAGAATGCTTTGGCATATAGTTTTATGGTGGAATTGGGTGGCGGATCCTTTCATTTTAATTAGTTTGTATGGTCAAAGCAGGAATCCTGAAGACAGGATTTTCTGAAGCTACACACACCGTATATGTGTACCGTTTCTGTTTGGGTGATAGCGCTGGTAAAGTAAGAGGTGGGTGGGATTATGCAAAAAGGGTGCTGGCTGGCTTAGAACCTGCTGGGGGAAAAGAGGTCCTTGGGCTGGTCTCTGGCCAGCTTTGCTGTGGTTTGTGCAAAATGTTACTTTGGCTCTATGCTGGCAGGAATGCCTTGGTGGCTGTAAGTGCCAGGTACTGGCCCACTGAACTGTATTTGATTATAGGGTAAAACCAACAGCCTTGATTTAAAGTGCCAGGACCCTGTCAAATGAGCCAACACTGGCTGGGATAGAATATGTTAAGGCACAAGATGACCGGATTAAAGTTTTAGTAAAATTAAGCTGTCTTTTGTGTGCCAGTATTCTATATGAAGGAGATTACATAACAACTAATTCACAGTAGCTTTCACTCAGGGGTACATCCTTCCTGCAGTCAAGTGGCAGATTACTGGAATGTCCTATCAGAATGTTGGCCAAAGGGGAAGTTACTACAGAGGGTGTGATGGCAGACAAACATTGGTTATGGCTGTCATCTGGTACCTGTTTAGGCCAATGGGGAAGCTGGAGGCTTTAGGATCTAGTACTAGTCCCACTACATGCTATGTCCACCAATCTGACAGGTTTTTTCCACTGCCTAACTGAAAGCCATTGATTGAGAAGGTTTCTCTTATTGGAGTAGTTGTGCTGTTAACTGCACTACCTTTCACATAAACCAGCAGCAGCTCTCGATAGCTGTCATTATCAAAGTGAGTCATGCAAATACTATGGGTGGTATTCAACTAATTTTTACTCAAGAGTAGACCTATTAAAATACTTGGCCTAATTTAGCCATGTTCATTTACTTTAAGAGACAAGCTGCTGTTGGAATGGCAGCTGATTTCAGTATTTGGGAGGAAAGTAACTACCCCAGCATCATCTCTCTGACGTTCTTGCTGTAATTGTTAAAATTTGTACCCGGCATAGATATGAGACCAGACCCTGCTCAGCCACAACGGGATGCCAAGATGGACTCGAGGGGCAATAAGAGGGAATAAGTTTCTCTTGTACATACTGTATAAATGCTTTTGTTTTTACTCAGTATAGTGGATAGGCTATTATCTTGTAAAACTGCTGCTTTTAACAACTCATTAACTTTGACAGCATTATGTATGCTTCCTTGGAAATCACAACTGTGCAACTGAAAAGCTGAAGTCACCTTAAGAAAGTGAATTAAGCAGCTGGCATTTTGTTTTAGTAAAATAGCTACCTTTGCACGGTGCATAGTGATGCACCACTCACCAGTTCCTCCAACATCTGACACTCTTCCTATTTTCAGAGGTGATCATCTGTATATAAAAATTGAGGAAACAGCTCCCCTAATTTCCAAGTAAGGATGGATGTTATTGTAGAACTATCCCTTTGGAACACGTACACTCAAGCATAGAAGTAGAGCTGTTATCTCTTAACAACTGCATGGGAGAGGGGAGGAGCCAAAAGTATCAACAAATGCACATAGCTCAGCAAGTTAAGCAGGTAATTAAAACTTGCTAATTTGCCAGTCTGCTGCTTCTACTAATGTTGTTCACCAAAGACCTGCCTCTGCTCTCCACAAAGAGGCACAATCATCCCTATTTTGTTTGTCAAATGAGAAGCCTGGATGCAGGATTGAAAACCTTAGCCATGAACACAAGGAGAAAAGTGGGAAGACAAGTCATTTTGTGAAGATGGCCACAGCCTTTGGCCCATTTGCTGGTAAAATACACCTGGTTAAAGTTTAAATTGTAATGAACATGGCAAGTAACAACTATACCCTCGGATTAGCTCTTAGGAACTAAATGAGCTCTTAGGCTCTTCTCTAACTTCTGAAATAAAAATCTTTCAATATTATATATTTCTGTTTGTTTTATGAGAACCTGAAGCACTGAAAGATAGGCATGTTAAATGCTACATCAAAGAACATGTGGGTGAAAGGACTAGGTCTTCTTCAGTGCTTCTGCTAGAGAAAAATATACCACAACTGGCAAGACAGCTTACTGACCCATCAGGTGATCAGCCTCAGTGGTGCAGTATAGAAGGAATTCCATCCAGTACAGCGTTTCTCACCCCTGTATGACATACATGTTGCACCTGCAAAAATTCTGTTTCCTGTACAACTATTAAGAACCTGGTCTTCCTCTGAATCTGACAATCTTTTGCACACTTTTGAGCATGCTCAGTGCATGCTCTCTAATTCTGAGAAGACTCACTGATGTTGCTAAATAAATAAAGGCTTTGACCATTTATTGCTGTTACTTTTTCTTGTTATGCTATATTCTACATGTGTCAGTGGCATGTATACTTTGAGTTTACGACTCGGGCTTACCATTCTGTCTCCAGAGAACTCTGGGAACTGTGATTCCATGAACTGGAGAAAGGCTCTAGAACAGAATCCTCAACACCATCGCCAAAATACAATTCCCAGGATTCTTTGAGGGAAGGCACAACTGTAATGAATATCTATCATGGAGAGAATATGTAACACCTTGAAAAACTGAAAATGCCCAGAGGATTACCTGTATCCACATAGAAAATGGCAGCTGGCATGCATAAAGAACTACAAAAGACTTATGATACAGGACTTTTTTGCATTCAGAAACCATGTTGACTATTCCTCAAAAAGGCTTGTCTTCAGTAGCTGTAACAATTCTCTATTTAACATCCTTTTCATGATTTTACTGGAAGATATCTTTTAAAAGGGCTTCCCTACACAAACAAACACACACACACACACACACACGGACTGGGTATCCTTTAGTTAGCCCAGTTATAGTGATAGATTGCATATTTTTATTATTTAATGCATCTTGGGTGCATTTCAACTGTATATGAGGGATTGTTAATTTTAGCCCTCATACCTTACGCCGCATGAACTAAAAAAGTAGTTTAGTTCAATGCAAAGGATTATACTTTTCTACAATTTCTCTCTCCCCCTCTTTAGCAATCTTACCACTCCATAGTTGTCTACAGATACAACTGCCTCATTGGCTGGTTTCCTGCTTCTTATGTATTTAAGTTTTAGAATTTTAAAATGTTCTTAGTAAAACGCTCTTCAAATTCTTTTGACACTTGCTTTGTTGTCAACTTATAACTATAAAAACACTATGAAATAGTGCCGCCTCTTTGCCAGCTTTCACATTGGTAACTAATGCTTTTAACAGCATTAAGTTATCTAATGCATTATTATTATTATTAGGCAACGTACACCAAAATCCCCAGCCCTCAAAAATACCATTTTATTTTATTTTTTGCGTGCAAACAAAATATCATGCTTCTGGCACTAAATTGGGACTAGCACAAATATAGCAAAATGAAAAAACCTTTAAAAAACTAACCTCAGAAAAGCCCTTAAAAATGAAAGCAGTATTTCAGAAGTATGCTGATTAGAGTGTAACTGAAGAGGTTTCCTCTCCTGCTAGATAATGATTTTGAAAGGAATAAGGCTGCCTCCTGTCTCCTAGTTACTATCCCCATTATTAAAGATGACTAGTGCATATGCCTTTCTTCCGTGACGAAACACATTCATAAATATATCTAATGCCTTCAGTAGATATGCTTATGAGCCTTCAACCTATGTGGGGCAGTCCTGCTCATCTGTGTAAACAGTGCAAACATAAAGTGTTATCAGCAGCCTTACAGTGCATTGTATTTCTTTTCTCAGGACACAACTACCACTTTCACTGTGACCTAAAGAGCTGAACTGGAAGCAAGAGGAGTCCCCATGCAGACATTCACTAAACTAGACCTCTTTGTGGCTGGAGGAAAGCGAGGGGCAAAAGTCATTAGCATATTCAGAGGAATTGTATCCAGATAAAGTGTTATTTCCAGTTTGGCCTCAAGATTAAGCACCAATGGACTAGACAGTGCTAGTGTTCATGGTTGGGAAGAAATTTTAGTGCATATAAAGACCATGAGAATGTCAATTCCATTTTCATTGTTTTTAGCTGCTGGACCAAGTTAGTAGTGCCCATTTAGTCCTGACACAACTCAACCCTGATATGCAGAAGCTCCAGTTTTTCCCCAAGTCAAGGCTTAACCCTTTAGATGCCAGTTAACGTGAAGACATCGGCTTTCTAGAGGCTGAAGTTGACAGCCCAGTGACTACTTATGCCACAAAACAGCTAGCTTAAAATATTTATTTATTTAGCCACTTTCTGGTGTGCATACAATGTTTTTAAAGCAAGAACACCTGCCCAGTGAACTGTTTAGGCAGCAAACAACATTAGCAGCTAAACACAGCCTAAGAAACACTTTTTGAGGTGCCATTATTGCAATTAGGCCTTTTGGTGGGCTACTTACTCAGAGCCTTGCCAGAAGAAAACAAAGAAGCAGAGGACAAAGGACCATGTGCCAACCTTTTCTAAGACTTGCTGTGACAATTTTGTTAGCTGGAACGTAAGTAAAACTTGACCTTTTCATTCTGAACTTTCAGTGTCATTACTTTTCAAATCCTCCCTCCCCCAAAAGCTATGCTTTTCTTGAAGTTCAGGCAGATGTTCCATCAACATTATAGCCCTTCTCTTTCCATCCTAGGCATTGATCTGCACTTAGTGGCAACAATGTATTGCTAAGGCTGTACTCACAAACTACCGTAACTAACTTAAGGCAAATTTTCCAAGTAAATGTGACTAGGATCGGCTGTAAAGCTCTTAGAAAGTGCTACTTACCCAAGGGCTGCAGCTGTCAATGTGATTTTCATTCGGAAACTAAATGGCTAATCTAATCTGTTTTGTCCAAGACATTGCCTCCATTACACTGCTTTTGACTGATACGTTTCCAGCCACAACAGGGTCTCAGCAGCGCCAGACCAAATTGCTGTTATTTTCCTTTGTTCTATTACCTTAATGTTGGCCAGTCATCAGTGCCCATTTCTGAAATAGAAAGGGCTATCCAGAGATGTTAGCAAAAACAAAGGAGTCTGACAGACGTTGTTGGGGTCTCAGCATAGTGACCTAGTGCAAGATCCTCACCCAAGAACATACAATAGGGTCATTCGTTCCTAACAACTTCCCTTGATCCTGAGTAGTTATACAAACTAAAGATAATCAAAGTATAAGGCACTAACAAAGTCTTGCACATTTCAGGATTAACAGAACTCTCTCCCCCCCCACAACAATTACAGTGCTGAAGTGATATAAAACCAGAGTTGGAAGGGATACTGTAGACAAGGAGTGGCTAACATTTTGGGCCCAAAGGCTGCATTTACTCTTGACTAACCTTAACTCCTGCATGTATGCACATGCATGCGCACACACACACACCTGCATGCACAGGTATGCAGCTGGTCGCGTTCAAACACTGTCAATTTTGATTTTGTTTCTTCTTGCTGCCACCACCAAAGTGCTGAGGTGTTGGGTGATGAGACAAAGTTAGGTTGGGGGCCCACATGAACTCAGGTTAGATACCCATATTGTGGACTATATCAATTCAGATCCAGCCTCTTCGTGTAGACTTCCAGAGCAGGAAACCACCTGCCCTCTAGGTAACCGGGTCCACTGCCACAGTTCCACTTCTGGTGACTTGGAAACCATGGTTCTATTAATGCTGCAAAAAAATCTTATTAGTCTGTTTTTGCAGTCATCTAACACCACTGACTCATACATAGTCAGCTTGTGATCAAACACAATGCTAAAATCCTTCTCACGTATACTATTGCCATGCCAACCTAGGTATTCCCACCACCCAAACCTGTGCATTTGAATTTTGCATTGGTCTCTGTTGAACTTCATGTGTTAATCAGCCTAGTTTCCAACCCACTGAGATCATGTTGAATTTTATTCCTGTCTTCTGAGGTGTTAGTGATCCCTCCCATTTCCACGTCCTTCATAGATGTGCTAAGGATTCCCCTCCACCCCTTCTGCTAAGTAATTGATTAATATTATGAAGAGTGTGGGGCCCAGGACAGAGCCCTACAGCACTCAATTTGGTTGTTATGGATCAAAGAAACTACCCAAGCTGATTGTCATTGTCAAGGCACATCGTCATAATCAGTTTCACCAAGGAAAATTGCAGCATCTCTTAGATATCATCCTCTGTCACCAGGCAGTAGAAATCTGTCCTTGCTCCATAGTTCCGAGATCCCAAATCAGAGATGTCAATCTCACTCCTTTGGTTTTCCCCAAGATGTATTTCTTCCAAAGCACCAAGTGGAGGACCATCAGGGCCACTCATGGGAGGAGGCGGTGCGCCTTTGAAAATGGACCCCCTGCCACCTGTAGGATGGGAAGGAGAAGGTAGCAGTTAGCAGAGAGGAAGGGATGGCAAGGCAGAATGAGACAAGTTGCAGTGCTTTAAAATGACCAGTGCCACTATACTTTCTGTAAGTACAGTGGTACCTCGGGTTACAGACGCTTCAGGTTACAGACTCCGCTAACCCAGAAATATTACCTCGGGTTAAGAACATTGCTTCAGGATGAGAACAGAAATCGTGGTCCGGTGGCGTGGCAGCAGCAGGAGGCCCCATTAGCTAAAGTGGTGCTTCAGGTTAAGAACAGTTTCAAGTTAAGAACGGACCTCCGGAACGAATTAAGTACTTAACCCGAGGTACCACTGTATTCACAAGCAGGACATATATACAGTTCAAGCTCGTTTAAACACCAGTTTAAGTATCATTGCTTCCCACCAACATTTCTGCGAATAGTACTTCAGTGAGATTGCTATCCTTCCTCAAAGAACTAGTTGCTAAGGCTAGCCGGAGAGAAGGAAGAACTATTAAACCAATTTAAGTATCAAGTTGCGTGAGATGCAGGAGATCTATAACTAGGAGACAGTACAGATTGGGGTAATGGCACAGTGAAAAGAGTTCAAAAAATTTTTTCCTCAGGTCTGAGGCTCAGGGTCACTGCTCTAATCAAAGCTGGAGCCTCTGGCTACTTTTAACTAAAAGCAGAAATGTCAGGAGATCTAATTATAGACCTCCTGTATCTCATGCAGCTTGGGAGTCAGTTGGCAGTTTTAAACTTAATTTAAATGTTTTATTTTAGAGCATGCCTTGACATGTCAGACAAGAGTAAGGGGCCTGAATATTTCAACACCTAGGGAATCTGGAGGAGGCTTCAGTCCTGCCTTTCGCCAATGCCCAGGGTCTGAGAGAAGCTGCTCTTCCCCTTAGCACTAACAGGCAGCATTTCAAAGACCTCAGGAGGGGAGCTGGGAAGAGAAACCGGTAACACCTTTGTAAGCCTCGTGAAATACATTTAATGTGCATCACTTTCTCTCAAGCAGGAGTGTGTGTGTGTGTGTGTGTGTGTGTGTAAAAATCAGGCGCTCCTAGTGAGAATGAAATGTCTTCCAAGCAACTATTCCCTTTGCAAGCGAGAGAATGAGGAGCCTCAAGCATCCTGGCATGCTCTTGTATGGAGCAACTAGACTAATGAGGAAAGCTTCCAACAAGGTGCACAGCCGCGCCACACAAGAAACAAGGCCTATTAATGACAGTGAACGCAACACCCTCAGCAAAATAAGCCCAACGCTGCTGTCTCAACTAAAAGAAAAGCCCAGCCAAACCCATTATTTTCTCTGTTCTTCTCTTGACAATAAAATCACCGTGTACAAGCGAGCTGGGCTTGCTCTTGCCAGTCGCTCGTAAATCTTTTATGACCACTGAACTTATTTTGCTCCTGTTACTAAAATTAAAATGTATTGCTTTGCAAGTGCTCAGCCTGTGTTAACAAATCCCTAGGGCCAGAGCTTGTTCTTCACAACCTCTGGAACCGATGCCTCAGGTGCGCTTCCTACTCATTGATCCATTGTACAGCCATAGTCCCACAGGCCTAGGAAAAAGGATGTCAGGACTAAACCACCAAGCTCTCTGTAGTCTCAGGCTCAGAGAATGGAAAACTGCCCTTTGGTGGATATAAAACCCATTTCTTTTATGAACTCTTGGGTATGTTTGCACATAAATGATAGATGGAGGTGGTAAATTACGTAAATTTCCACTCCTTGGTATTGCTACTCTAAGGAAGCATGTAGCAATAATGACACCATTATTTCCTTTCTTCCTCTACAAACACACAAATGGATTCACAGCCAAAATAACATGTTCTCTATGAAAACATGCTGCCCTGCTCCCTATCCAATGTTAGCAGTGAATGGGAAAAACAAATGAATTAATTCTTCTGCTACAAAATGTGCCACAGTATGTATCTGTGGACTGCTGCATGACAGGGAAGATAATTTCATTTGGATTGAGGCAATGGTTGTTTGACTGATGAAGGATCAGCTAATTAGGTGTAACTCTGGAATGGCCATTGAAAGGAAGGAAGGAAGGAAGGAAGGAAGGAAGGAAAGAAAGAAAGAAAGAAAGAAAGAAAGAAAGAAAGAAAGAAAGAGGAAGACCTGTTATGCCATTTGGAAGCCACAGACACAGCATACAATGGTGACCAAGCCTGGTGATCAACCAAAGTAGACACATTCTGCCAAGTCAGATGGTATATAAAGGCCTTAAATAAATACTACTGCTTGTGATCTGACTACACTACACAGGCTTAAAGTGGAGAAAATAAATTTTAAGGAATCTGAAAGTGGGTGCAGAGGCTTCACTTCCATTGGTCTCCACTGTCACCTTTGGCTGAACAGGTTTTGATAATTCTGAAATAAAGAAGAAACCTATTTCCTAGAGGTGAAACTAAGATGAGAATACATAGCACAATTTGATCACATATTCCAAAGCATCTTTAATTTGGGGGGGGGGGGGTGGTTACCATCTGACTAGCCTTAGCTTTTGTAATCAAAAGTGAGGCCTGATCCTAGACATATCCACTCTAAAGGATTGAGTTCAATGGAACTTACGTTAAAGTAAGTGTACATAGGGTTTTGGCATACCATACTAAAATAGCGGTAATAATACAGGCAGGAAGCACACAGTTAGCTCATGGCAGTGTGTAGAAAGGCACCTGGCTGACTGATTAATAAAGCTGCTGGGCTATACTTTTGCTAATTTTAGCAAGTGCAGTGTTCTTCTATCAAGTGATTTTTTAATGGGGTTTTTTTCTTTCAAACTTAATTGTGAGCCTCACTTGAGAATCTTTCTGGCTAACTGTGGACTAACACTCAAAAAAACAAAAAACCACAGAGCAGGATCAAGAGCAACTGTGTGTTCTCCTGTTGGCATGCTATGGTGACAGAGTGAAGATTAAACAGTGCTGTTACCAGAGTCTCCTTCAGGGTGCGAATCCCCCCGGAAATCCAAGTAATTGCTGTTGAGGATCAGCATAGGGTCCTTGTCTTCCTGGAAACTGGTCTGGGGGTCTCCCCTAAGGCCTTGATAGGACACTTTTCGTGGCAGGGCGAGGCACAGTTCCTTCCAAAAATCAGATGAAGGCGCCTAGAAGCAGCAAAGAGGCAGCATGTTGTCACATGCTCATCAGTTACACACAAACCCTTGTGCGATATATCTGTAGGCAAGTCCCAGCAGCCCTGCCTTGAGGGCAGCGTTCTCACAGGAGCTCCTCGTCTATGAAGCACAGGCACCCTGTCTGGCTCTCAAAGGATTGAACAGAGGGAGATAAATGTTCACTACAACAGAGGGATCTACAGCTCCCCCAACAGTTTTCCCATTCAGCTTTGTTTCATCTTTGAGATGAAACACACTGCAAAATCTAAGAGGTATTAAGTGGCATTACTTCTGATGGAAGGCTTTCGTGACCAGATAAAGCAACAGATTTCGCCTTTCCATTAACCTAGGATTTCAGTGCAATTTTAAATTGAGTGAATTCTTTTTTTTCCCCTTCTTTTTTTTAAAGTAAGGCTTTTGGCTTTGTCCTCATGGATAAAAGGCAAGAGAACATGTGGCTGGTATCCAGCAAAAACTCAGAAACAGACTGCAATGCTTCAATGCCTCGCACAGATAGCTTTCCCAAGCTTGCTATTTCCTAACTTCATCTCACCTTAGTGGCCCAGTCTGTACATCACAGTAAACCATAGCTGCAAGCTACAGCTGCATGCAGTAAGCCAGGTTTCCTCAAACTTGGCCCTCCAGGTGTTTTGAGACTACAATTTCCATCATCCCTGACCACTGCTAGCTAGGGCTCATGGGAGTTGTAGGCCAAAAACATCTGGAGGGCTGAGTTTGAGGAAGCCTGCAGTAAGCCATAGCCCTAGAGGAGAAAGTGACCTATAGAGGTTACAAGAATTTGAGACAGATACTGGGAGCTGCCTGCACCCTTGAGGTAAAGGGGCATAGCTGACAGGAACCTCCAGCAATGCTTTACAGCCTTTTCAGGCACAAGAAACCACAATATTTCCACGTAATCCATTCTGCGTCCTTGTTGCTACTTCAGCCTAACTGATCTGATAGTGTGCCTCTCTGGGGAACAGCAAGGTGGGTAGATATACAAATTAAATAGAGAATTATTTATATTGACCATTGGCCATATCAAGTCAAAATGTACAGCTACATAGGACCACCACTGTAAATAAAACAGCAAGAATTCAAAAATGAAAACATCATTAAACCAAAAACATTGGCAGGAAATTAACAGCCACCACAAACATTCAGCCTGGAGTCCTATTGCAGAAGCATCCACAAACTTTTAACAGCATTCAGCCACAGCTAAAGAAAAGTTGGTCACTGTGTTGATAATACCCTTTTTTGAACTTGCCAGTAAAAAATAAATTATTTGAAAGCCTGATCAATGGCAACATTCCCCCAGAAACTGATGAAAAAATTACAAGCTTTCTCAGAAATTGAGCATCCAGTAAGTAATGGGTTATATCTTTCACAGAATGTTCCCCACATAAGCAGATTTGGGAAGCAAAAGAAATATTTTTGCATCTCCCATGACAGGAAGTTGCATACACTGCATTGTGAGCACAGGGAAAGTCTTATGCTGGTGAAATTTGATAGATCCATCAGATACAATTCAATATGTTTATATTTAAACTTAACTGCCATGGTGTGATTTTAGAGTTGAAAACAAAATGTAGGTATTTCTGAATAAAGAGGTCACAAACACTATTCTTTAAATCAAGTTTTGCAACCGTAGAATTCCTGCTGGAAAAATATTCAATGGAAAAAAATTTTGGTTACCAAGCATCAGAGTTGAATAAACTATCCCCTGACTATTAACTACAACAAACGTTTGGTTATATTGATTCAAAAGAATTGCAGGAGTTAATTCCAATAGTTAAAGCAGGCTAGCATTCACTTTTACTTTTAGAGCTAAAATGGCCCATTTTTTATTGGAGAAATGCTGTTAGCATATTTGATGGTGTTCTGAACCCAATCAAGTCGGATGAGAAGCAGACACACACACCCTGAACACCAAGATCTCAAATGCAAAGAGCAACTGCATAGTTAATTTGAACCCATTTTAGAATTGGCAATAGGCATGCCAATATTTCGCGGTACTATTCAGCTGTCATTCAGCTTTTAGTTTTATGGAATTTCAGGGGAGCTGCGAACCACCAGAGATGGAATATACAGAGCTCTTTCGCCGTGTGTGCCTGTTTCCAGCAGGGCAGCAGGTATGTACAGCCAAACAGAGCACTATCAAACACCCTGCTCATCAGCTGGTGAGTGGAGAGCAGAGAGTATAATCTTGCCAGCTGAAGGGGTTTGCTTTGCCAGAATGAATACAGTGGTGCCTCGCAAGACGAAATTAATTCGTTCCACGAATTTTTTCGTCTAGCAAATTTTTCGTCTTGCGAAGCACGAAATCCCATAGGAATGCATTGAAAATCAATTAATGTGTTCCTATGGTCAAAAAAAGTCCAAACAAAGCCAAATTTGGTACAACAAGAGTTTATTAAGGGCTCTTTAAAGTCACACATACTGTAAAGAGCATTTCAAAATTCAAACCCAGAATTTTTTTAAAAAACAGCAGAGTTGCCCAATGGTCACAGAAAATCATAAAAATGCAGGGGAAAAAACACAAGCTTCCAGATTCTTGCAAACCCCTCCCCAACTGTTCCCCCAGCCACCCAGCACACAGAAATTCAAATCCAGAATTTTTTAAAAAAAACAGCAGAGTGGCCCAATGGTCACAGAAAATCATAAAAATGCAGAAAAAAACCACACAAGCTTCCAGATTCTTGCAAACCCCTCCCCAACACCAAGTCCTTGAATTCCAAACACCCCAACCCAAAATCCAAACCCCCCCAAAAAAGTTTTAAAAGCTTAACTTACCAAATGGCTGCAAAAGAAGTTTTGGAAAAGCTTCAAAAATCACCAAAGTCTTTAAAAACCTCAAAGGCTACTATGTACACTGCGTTCTATGAGTTGCTCCTCGAAGTCAAGTCGCAACTGTATTAACGGTGTTAAGAAAAAGGAAACAAACTTGCAAGACGTTTTCATCTTGCGAAGCAAGCCCATAGGGAAATTCGTCTTGTGAAGCAGCTCAAAAAACGGAAAACCCTTTCGTCTAGCGAGTTTTCTGTCTTGCAAGGCATTCGTCTTGCGGGATACCACTGTACTGGCTTACGGGCCAGAGGTTGCCCACTCCTACTGCCCACTAACCTCCTTGCAAAGCAATCAGGATGAACAATCTGCAATCCACCCTAAATATAGGAATACAGTTGGACACAATCCACTTATGAGATAATTTAGCTTAGTTTTTAAGGGTAATGCTACTACCAAATTAACACATAGCAAGCAATGCTGGTGTTCGAGGTTCTCCAAGAATGTATTTCTACTGATGTAATCAAAGGCAGTTTTAAAATCAACAAAAACTGCAAAGAGCTTATTTTTTCTGTTAACACAGGAATTAAATGAGCAAGCACAGAATGGTTGTCAAGCATTAACCAGCCAGCTTTAAAGTCAGCTTGTTATTCAGCAATTACATTGTGCAACATCGGCCATTCTTCAGATTCAAAACAGGAGGTATTTTACATGTAATTTTTAATGCTATCTATAAGACTGATTGGTATACAATTTGTGTGTCGCCTTTCTTGAAAACTGGGATCGCTGTGCTCAGATTCCACCCTGATGGAATACAGCCAATTCAGTTTTTTTGAACCAAATAATTTAGCCATGACAGGACCACTCCACTGGATGTTACTTTAAAACCTCTCTTGATATTAATTCCTCTCCTAATGCCTTATTTTGGAAAGAGTCAGATTTTTAATCTGACTAAGAAACAAGAAGCCAAAGATCGCACCTACAGAGCTCAAGACTGGCAGCCTGTTGCTCATGTACAGCAACAGTCTTATTAAAAATGTTAATGTGCTGTTCCCATTTTGTCTTAGAGATAGGAGTAAACAAAAAAATAGCGGACATATGGTGGCTTTGATCCACTCACTGCCAGAAGGAAGCAGTATCCTTACACCTAATGGCATTTTCCAGGCACTGTTAAAGCTGCTTTGAAATATTTTGGCTGTCGTAACTTCTTATTAGCTGGGGAGGGGAGTAGGTAGTTCCTTGAATGCTGTGTCTAAAAGGCCTGTTTAACAAAGCTGCTTAGGATTCTTTACATTGTAAGTAAAATCAAAAAGCCCCTTTCTTATGTCTTGAGGCATAGGTTGTGTGCACAGCAGAGTGTTAATTGCACAAGTGAGTTGCACAGCTCTGATTTTTCCATGTGGATTTTTGTGCACATCTGTCCACAGGACCACCTTCAAATGAACTCTACTGCAGTGCTTCCTGTCCCCCAAGAGTGGGAGGTGCTTGATGGGGTGTCTTTGCACTGTGTGTTGTTGTCCCCTCCCCTCCATTCCTTGCACTCCCTAAGTTCTGGAAACCTAAGGTCTATTGCAAACATGCTTGCAGTTATTTGTTTACCTGTGTGTGCATCCTACTTATGTATTTAAATATTTATATGAGCTACAAGTTTTGCATTATACCAGCTTACAAAAAACGAAGGGTCCAGTTCTTTAAAAATACACACACATGTGTCATGTCAGTAGTTTTTCTAATTGTTGTAACCTGCCCTGGGACCGTGAGGTGAAGGGTGGGTGAAAAGCATAATAAAATAACTAAATATCCTGATGTGCAACTGCAAGGAGTATTGTGAGTCACAAGCATGCTATTGTTCATTTAGCACAGATAAAGAAACAGCAATAACTGTAAACCAGAAGTCTCTATCCTGCTAGAATGCTCCCCTGCATATGCTCATTTTAGGGAAGGGTTTGTGCTTTTTTCCTTCTCCAGTCTGTAGCTTCCTCCTCTCTTTTCATTTCTCTTTGCACTGAGAGTACTCTGAGTGAAGCAAGTATATGTTTCCAATTCTTATTTCTCAGGTTCTGGTGCCTCCCTGTGGCTCTGTTTGCTTCTTTAAAGTTGGAGTTAAAATATAACTTATCTATATTTTCTGCAATGATTACAACACTGCTCATGGCCTCCACGCATGAGTCATGGAGCAGTCAAGCCATGTTCATCTAAAAAGGTATCATTTGGCAAATCTCTGGAGCTGATGATTTCCTAGTCAACAGGTAAATAGCTAAAATAAAAAGTAAATAACAGGAGATATCAAAATAACGGACAGACAAAAATATATTCAGCCTACTTTCATGAAGGTGCTACTCTTTAGTGCCAAGAAAAGCAGGTAACAGTTATTACTCTGGTATACATCACAGCAAGGTCAAGTAATGGAGGACTGGATTTCAACCCTTCTTGGAAGAGAAGCTACTCCACACTTCTATGCTTCTTGAATAGCTTCAAGTACTGCCTTGCCACTGAGAAACATAACCACAGTGATGAAGTTATGGCCTTGCAGCCCACAACTTACCATGGACCCAGCACGCCACATCAGAAGGGTCACTGTGCTCTTCTGCTGCTTCAGCAAGTTTATGGCTGGATGTGCTATTTCTCGGTACTGGCTCTCAAAGACAATGAAGATTGGCCTCCGGGATAGTTCCAGCAGCCTCCAAAGACCTTCCCTGCAAAACCAGACAATTGGTTAGAGTCCTAAAAAAATCCACAACCAAACTATTGACAAAGCTTTGAACCCAATCTAGTCACCCACAATTTTAATTCTAAGCACGACTAGTTTCAGTTCAATGAAAACTTCAGGAACTGGTTTCAGAGGCATTAACACTAAACTGCCGTGCTTCATATCCAGATATATGAGAGAGATTCTGGGTGTTGTGATTGGAGGTGTATACAGAAATTGGATAAATTCAGAGGCCCTTCTAACCATAGATAGGAGAGCCAGGAACATACTCCCTCCTGCCTTCCTACTCCCTTCTACCTTCCCTCCTCCTCTTATGAGTACAACTTATTGGAACACTTGACTGGTTTGACAAGCCATAGTTTACCAGGACAACCAAATAAGCAAACTGTGATTTTAGTGATCCCTCCAAATCAGAATTGCACATACTATTTGCCTGTTTGGTCAACTTGGTCAACTTTCTATTAAACAAGGTGGGCAATAGGAGGGAGTGCACACTTGAGTCATTCCTGATCCTCCAAAAATGAAAGGAGGATCAGAGAACTTGTCTCTATCACTGACTCTAATTACCTGAAATTATTGTTGCACCATTCCTGTTCCAGATATGCATTAGAGAGAACCACAATGAGGCGGCGGCACCGGCTAACATTCATAATCAGATCTGCAGAAGGTTCTGAAAGAGAGGAGAAAAACTAAATCTCTTCTGAGAAGGGCCAGAACCAATCCATTGTTGTTTCAGCATTCATCCTTCACCTGTACAAGAAAGAAATACCCTAGCATCCAAATGCATATCCGCTCTGCTCTACAGAAAGGAGAAGCCCCGGGCAATGGAATAAAAACTAACCAGCCTGTTTAGAACTTCCCTGTCCTTCAGACAGCACCATTGGTTTTGGATGTGAGTGCCTCTGGTGGAACACTCAGGACATTAAAAAATAAATAAATGAAGAGTATACTCAAACATTGCATTTTTTTATTATTAGACACACCACAAAGAGCACAAATGCTGTTTTGTGGTGTATTCTTGTTTCACCAGAACTGTCCACTGTGGACAGCATTACAGAATATGGAGGAGCTGCATTTTGTACACAGCTTGTTTTGCATCCCCATGCAAATGGATGCTGCATACTTTTTATAGAAGTTTTATTAAACAAAACAGTTGAAGATAAGAACAAATGGTCTGAAGGCACCTGATTACAGTGATATTGCTGAAGCCAGAACAGTGGTGGCCCTGTAAACTGCCTGGATAGGAACTACACTTCATGCTCTTTGGAGGAAGATTAAACAAGCTGTGCCCAAAATAAAGAAACAACACATTGTCAAACATATGCAATAACAGCCTGGAAACGTGGAGGCACAGGGAGAGGCAGCGGGCCAGCACAATGAAATGCATATCTGCAAGGTCATGCAAGTTAAGCAATGCATCATGCCACAGACTTTGAACAGGTGTAGAAAGCCCACCAGTTGTGCTGAGCATATACTGGGCAGACTGTGAATACATCCTACTTAATATGCAAATGGAACCTAACTGTGAACAACTGGGTGGTTAAGGAGAATACATTTTTCTTTGTACAACAGAGAGCCTGTCTATAAAATATTCAGTTCCTACTTTGCACAGCTTTGCCATTATTGGTGTTTAGAATTAAAGCTATTTTAGGTTGCTTCAGATGCACAAAATAGTGTGCCAGAGGACAAAGTAATTTTTCAGAGCCATACTTTTGCATCTATTAAGTAGCAAAGTGCAGCGTTCAACAGGCTTCATTTCAGATACTGCATTGCAATGTTTGTGGCCCTTTTCTTCACTCTGAAAAAGGATACAGATGTCAAGCTGGGATCATATATGAAATGCACAATGGTGTCCTGAATGTACACACCTGCCTGTATTCTAATATCTCAGTCAGATATAGCACTGCACTATGTTTTACATCTTTCCAATCTACCTTGGAAATAGGGACATGGATTAAGCTGTACTTGAAATGCAGAATGTTGCCCTGAAGTTGCATACCAACTTTCATCCTGCTGTCTCAGTGTCTAACAGAAATAGTGTTTTTTTGCATTCTCCTCCTCTTGTTTGAAAATGGATGCAAGAGTTAACCTGATATTCAGACTTAGTGTGTGTACCGATTTCAATTGGATATTTTAACACTTAATAAAGCTATCATATTAAACACAGGATGCCAAATGGGCAAATTAAACCGAAGGTTTCTCTTCATTTAGCCAACTAATCCATTTCAGATAAGTTATTTGCAGCCTGAACTCAACAGCAAGTCTGAGTGCCCAGGTACATATTAAATGAGGTGTTGGACAAGGTTCTATACCTGAATTGGGCAGGATGTCTTTATCATCCAGGAAAATCTTGTAGCCGTGACGATTCTCCAGCTGTGGCTTCACTATGAAGTTGACAAACTTTCTATCATCCGTTGAGTTAGAATAAGACACATAGGCATCATACAGCTTTCCATCTGTGGAAAAGTACCAAGGGGAGAAATTTATTATAATTTTTTTATTAAAAAAAACCTGTGCTGACTAGCTATAACACTGAGAGGATAATTCTTGTAGAAGTTCACACTTTGGGTTGGACTGTCAGTGAAACTCGAATCTCACAAGGGGAAAAGTGACAGCCAACTCTCCAGCCCAATATTTACCATTGATCTCCACCTCTCCATGACGGTTTCTGTACCAGAGGAGCACATTCAGACGGCACTTCACATACATCACAGCCATTAGTAACAGCAGTGCCACAGTGACAAGTGCAGCTAGCACAGCACCCAAGTGCCCAGCAGTCTCTGCTGTAATAGAAAGACATATTTTAAATAGCATTAAATGAGAAAACAGCCTTATAATTGATAGCATGGTAGAGAAAAGAGGAAGAGAAGAGTTGGGTTCTATGGTCTCCAAATATACCAAATTATAAAGAAAATGAGGGGTTATGTCATTCTTGAACAATTTTTAGTATCTTGATGACTGTTCTGACTATCAGAATGTGCAACCATGATGAGGAAGAGATGAGCAGAAGCTAAAAGACAGATTTATTCTGGTACCACATTGTTAGATCATCCTCCAGATTTTCCAAGTATCTCCTTTCACAAGATGCACATGCAGAAGTAAATCAAAGGTTTTCAGAGTAAAGATGTGCATGAACTAAATTATTCACATTCTCCAGTACCAATTCAATTTCTTCCTGCAAGTGCGCGGGCATGTTCATTTAGACTTTTTGTAAAACACTCTGGAATACACTGTTAACTGAGCCATTTGCTGAATGTTGCTTTAAAATACACTGAGGCTCTAATCTCAGAATTGCTCCATCAGCCTATGGAAACTTCCAGATGGAGGAATTTGAAAGTGTTCAAGCATGCCAAAACAGCTGAGTTGCTTGGGGGCAGCCTAATAGCACGTTTGCTTTGGTGTGCAGAACCATTTGAGGCTGTGACTGATTGAAAACCTCAGAAAAGTTTCTATTGTCTGCTGGTGCCATCATGTGGCAATTTTCTGCCATCAGATTCACTGATGACGCCATCATAAAATTGCTCTTGTAAACTGAGCCCCTAAAGCCAGCATGGAGCAATACTGAGGGCACTAAAGGCTGTCTTTATATTAAACTCCTCTAGAGACATGGTAAGTCTGGTTCAAAGCCCTTTTTAGCAACCCTACTACCAGTTAGAGCAAAAACATCTTCTAAAGTCTAAGAAGAGGATCAGGTAGGCTCAGCCGAGATTCTTGAATTCCAAGTTAAACAGGAGAAACTTATTCAAAAGAAAAGGAAGGCATCTAGATACAGCATAAAAGCAAATACTCTTATCACCCCAGCTAGACTTCAGTCTATCAGATGGCCATGCATGGGCTAAAGTAAATTACTCTATTTTTTAAATGAGAACAGTTAGTTTCTATATAGAAAATTAAGCCTTGCTTCTTCCTTAAAGAAGTAAAGCCAAGCTGAGATACCCAGTTCATAAATTCTCAGAGGGTCATACAATACTTCAGAATTTTGAAGCCATCTTAGTTCAAAACTATGTTTCTTCCCCCCCATAACACATTTGCCTTTGCACACATGCCAAGAGTGATCTGAACAGTGGCACTACAAAGTGAAAAATGTGGACTGAATTATAAACTGAATGTATAGTGAAGCTGTCACACCTCTATAAACTCACTGTGGGTCAAACTCTGACCAGATTCCATGCTACCCACATCCTCAATAGACCATACTGAATCCTGTACATTGGACCTAAGGATGTAGTTTCTTACACACACACACACACACACACACACACACAGTTCCATTCCAAGACACACACATAATGTGTGAAATGGCCCTTAGCATCTTACATACACCAATGGAGAAATGAAATAATGATGCTGAGCCATGGATCATTTCTAGACTGTAATTAGAAAATGTAATCCAAAACACTTAGGCTACTTGAGTCTCAAGAGGAGGCAGACAGAATATAAATCACATTCAATTCCTCAGCTGCTGCACAATCTCAGATTTATCTAGTTCTGCCATTTTAATGACAAATGTACAAAGCAAATGCAAGCTCAGTTATCACACTTGCCCCTCCCATCATGCTTCAGATAAGAAGCCCTTCTAAAGATAATTAAATTAAAAAGAGTTTAAAGTATTGCATTCATGTTTATTTGTCATCTTGTTAACCAAAGTGCAGAACTGCTCTGGGGCGGGGTCAAAGATGTGTGTGTGTGTGTGTGTGTGTGTGTGTGACACTTCAAAGGCATCAGCCAATCAATGCTGTACACAGCCATATTCTTATCTATTGGTTTTCAGAGGTCACTTCTGAAAGGGAAATTTACATAATAATAATAATAATAATAATAATTTATTATTTATACCCCGCCCATTTGGCTGGGCTTCCCCGGCCACTCTGGGCGGCTTCCAAAAAAATATTAAAATACTATAATACATCAAACATTAAAAGCTTCCCGAAACAGGGCTGCCTTCAGATGTCTTCTAAAAGCCTGGTAGTTGTTGAATTTGGATTGAATGCCATAAGTGTGTTTTCAGAGTAGTCTGTCAACTCTTAAAAAAAAGTATCTCCAACTCTCATTTCAGAAATACTCATGGGAATTCTACTATGGAATACAGTTAGTGAGTAGCAGAATCTTTTTTGAACAACTTAATAAAGATAACAACCTTCAAATAGAGTACCGGCCCACACCCAAATGCACATGGTATGAAGTACAAAGAAATGCTACCTGATTTTTGCAGTGTGAAAACTGCTGTACTGTTTCTAACCCAGCAGGCAAATGCTCCATAATTTTCATCTGTTGTTACATTCATATCCAAAGTGCTGGAGATGAATATCTCTGATTTATTGTCATTGAACCTGGGGTGCAAATAGAAGATGATTTACGTTAGCACTGATTGAAAACAAACACTAGGAAATTTCAGTCAGAACCGGACAGGAAGAAAACTCAGAGGTCTCCACCCTATCAATCTTGGATTATACCAAACATTAAATTTGGACAAGGAATGAACTGTGAGTTGGTAACAAGAGTGTCCATTTGAGTATCTATGATCTGGAAATACTGTCACTATTTTATCACGTTGGCCTTTGAAAACCTTTTCTTCCACAAAAACTAGTAGACATTTGGGGGGCCGCTAGGGGTGCATTGGAAGATGGCCGACAATAACATCTCTCCGTCTCACACGAGGTAATTAAGAAGCTGATATGGGAGTATGCAGCCTCCCTTGTTACCCCAAGGGAATGGGGAACACTGCCTTGCCTGCGGTTGCCATAAATCACCCCCAGATTCGAAAAAGGGGGTGAGGGCACTAGGCGCACAGCCCTCGTGTGGGACGGCTCTCCCGGACGCTGTCTCTGATTGCGCGGCCTGGTTGCAGGAGCTCATAATAAACAATTAGAGAGAAGCAAATGCACATATTTTGAGTGAAGATCGGGAGTAAAGACTGCTAATTGAAGTGACCTCTGTGAAGTGGAGCGACGGGCTGGATTTAACAATATATCAAGAAGAAGATACATCAAAGGGTCGGTATGTTGAAACGGGACTGAAAGGGGGGGGACTTTTCTTTTTTTATCTTATGTGAGTACCTAATAACCCCCCCCCCCCAAGAAGAATCGTTGCAATTACTGATTACAAGCAGGATGATTAAGAACTGTGTGGAAATAAATTACTAATCAAAGACATGGTTTGTGGAATGTCTGGAAAGGAATGAAAGGTCTTTGTGACGCAGTTATAAAAAGAGACTTGTTAGGGCAGGCCTGGCTACAGGATTTATGATCGAGGGGGAGGAGACCATGGCTTGTTATTATATCGGACTGTGAGTTTGACCTGGCAGAACCCCCTAAGAGACTGACAGGCCTGCAAGGATTAATGGACAGACTTTAAGAATGTTTTGTACGGAAGTGCGGAAATGGCGTCTGTCTGTTTGAATATGGCTCTTGGAGGAATGAAAATCCACACAGGATATAACAATGTTTGTTTTCAACCCGCTTGTGGAGACTATCAGAGGTCACAAAGAAAGGAATATATGACAACAACAAGAAGATGAGGAAAATAATAAAGAGAAGATTGAACAGAGCTGTGAATACTGTTTGGACAGAACTGTGAACATTAAAGCAGCAGCAAGAGAGATGTTTGGATCCCTTTCTGAGCTCAAAGCATGGGTAGCCCCAACAAAAATTTAAAAATTTGGCTGTGTAATTTGGAATTAATGTGATTTGATTGGTTTGTTAATAAAAATTATATTTAAAAAAAAACTAGTAGAAATTTTGGGACTTTCAAAATCATCTTTTTCCTTGTTCTTTTAAAGCAAAGGATTAATTGTGGTTGCTTAGTTGTTGTATGGGATCCCATTGTCTTACATAAAAGTACTTATTTTGTGGAACTATAGTAGCAATGTCCTATTGCTTAAAGTGCATTTTTTTCTTACTAGTGAAATGTCAATTTTTCTTCTCCCAGCTACAGCCTCCATGCCATTATTGAGTGATGTACAAAATATTACATGAGTTCACAGTAACCTAGTAGAACATATCTATGACCCCACTGATAACGTACAACACAAGTCCCCTGCAGTGGGAACACTAAAATAAAGGGGGTGTTCATGAAACCAGATTTGTTCTGAAGCCACAAACATCTGAAAGGGTCTTCTTCCTCTCCCTCCCCATTGAAGACTGATACATAGAGCATTCTCTTAAGCTCTTCTCCAGGGCTTAAGTGTACAATTTTCTTTTTAACAGAAACACAATCTCCCACTCTCACTCAATCTCACCCTACTACAGCAAAGATATTTCCTCCCATTGAAGTATATATATTACACTACTGCCCCTATTCCACAAACCTATAAGGCTAATAGTATACATAAGCCCTTAAAGATCCACCATTATCTTCAGAGTCTGGGAGACACTATTTTAATTTGTTTCTAGTTTATACAGCCAATTTAGCTTTATTTTCCATTATACATAAAAGCCTTCTTACCAATGAGTAGAAGCAGCAAAGGTTTCGTTGTCTAGCAACTGGTCATCTTTCATCCAGTGGAGGCCAAAATCACAGCTTTTCGTGTAGGGCAGCTGCACAGTGCAGTTCAGTGTAAACTGGCTTCCCAAATCACGTTGCAAAGTCAGATTGCTGGAGGGATAAAGGAAACGAGGAAGGACACTGCAAATATCTGTTGGGGAAACAAAAACAGTACACCGTAAGAGAGCTTTTCAATGAGAGCACTGAACTTCCAGACTGCATACTGCAAATCTTATATTGGCTATTTAGGTCTGGCTAACATAACAAAGAAAGTCAAGCTACTCTTGTCCCTGTGACCCTGCACCTAAGCACAATCTCCCTTGCACAGTGGGTTCGCCGACTTAACTAGACAAATTGCTGAGTATAACCTCTCTCTCAAGGCTGGTTCTGCAGTTCTGATTTGACTTGAGAAAACAATGAGAAATTCAGTAAGGACTATAGTGGGAAAGACAGAATGTTCAGGTTATCTGGAAAGCATGTCATGTCCCATAATAGAGAAATGCCCAGGATAAAGGGGTATGCACATCACAGAAGTGCTGAATATGAGATATGGTATTAATTATTAACTTTTGAAGTCCTAGTGCCAGTACTTTAATTATTCTCACTGCCTGTTCAGAGTCCAGCACAGTGCTGTTCTTCCCCCTCTGTCTTCCATACTGTCAACTCATTCATCCATGCTAAATATTTTCAGCATATGTGACACATTTTCAGCATATGTGAGCGTGCGTTTTTTAATGAAGAACTTTCTGAATCCTATTACGGAAAATAAGGTGTTTAATGTGCAAATGTCACATTGCATTAAAAACTAGAATATGTCACAGGTACTTGTCCCTAATTTTCCTTTCCCTTACATTCCCTTAAATTCTGAAAAGGAGAACTAGGCCATCATGGCCATCATTTTTTAAAATGTAAAGGCTCTCCCTTCTGTAGGTACCTCTGTGTGTATTGGACTCATTTCCAAACTTTACCTTTATTTAAAAGGGAGAACAATACAAAAAATATGTTTTTTAGAGCCCATATCCAGTCCTTAGCCAATTCAGGAGAACTTCCTGAGAAATCAGCAACTACCATCCTTATCTTAATGAATAACAAAAATTGAAGAGTACAATCCTATACAAATCTTCTCAGAAATAAGACCTACAGTGCCTAGCAAGCCTGACTTCCAGGTCTCAGGATGTGTGTGCAGGATTTCAGCTCAAATGATATATGAGCTCCCTCTGACCATCTTTAGCTAATTTATGTTTCTAATAGCATAATGAAGTGCTCCAAAATGGTGATCCATCCTAGTTTAAGTGCACTATAAAAGATTAAGCAGAGACAAAAACACACTTATCTGTCCCAACAAGTCTGCTAATTTTTTTAATCTCAACATATATATTTTTTTAAACCTGTCTTTCCCCATTTCAACTCTGACAATGCAACTAGCAAATGGGGGACGGAGTGAGCTTATCTTGGTAGCTTCAGGTACCTCTCACCACATTTTAGGTACTATCACTTGTTATCACAGCTTTAGAAACATTAAGTCTTTTCTCTCTCTCCTAAACTATGTCTCCACCACAGTGAAGCCTTCGCCAGGTTTATCTGTTTACACAGTTCTATCAGCCAGTAAAGCGAGATGAGCGCCGAAACCTCAGTGTCATCCGTGACTGGACCAAACAGTCAGGGGTCCCTTTACCTTTATATGTCATCTTAGATATAACATAAAATGCAGAGAGGGCTCAGAAAGAGCTCCGTGTCTGCCTTTTTCTCCCAGGTAAAAGGAAGCCCTCTTCAGCAACAGCCACACATACAGTCACAGACATCAACCCGCCAACTTCTGGTTGACAATGCATAATTTGGATCATAGCACTTGATAAATTGGCTCATATCCCCAGGGCTTATCTAATGCCATAACTTATTTGAGTATGATCAGTACCTTATGTTTAGGAGAAAACGGACAAAATCATGCCCTACATAGTTAGATACTTCACAGCTACTATGTGTCTAATGAGCAACATAGGATCCAGACTTAGGCAGACAAGTGGCCCATCTTGAAACAGTAGCAGTACTGCTTCTCCTGGGATGGGCCCAAGAGGAGACGTCAGTGTTAGGTTAGGGATCCAAAGGCATGTTTGCAAATTCCCACTTCTTTCACTCACCTGCCATGACCAGCCGGACAGTGAAGGAGCTGTTTCTCTGATCGTTCAAGTAGAGCGTGCAGGTATAGTTGCCTGCATCGCTGGCATTTGCGTGCTCAAAGGTGAGGTATGTTGTTGTGTTCTGCAGTGTGCTGTGCAGGTGGCTTAACGCGGTGAAGTTAAGCAGATGACAGTTTTTGCTCCACTGGATGCTAAAGTTTGAGGTAGACTGAAGAAGCTGGAGGCTCTGGTTATCCAAAGGGCAGAACAAATGATTAACCTGTTCTTGCTGGGTCCAAATGGTGTGATCATAGAAGTGATCTGGGTCCACACACGATAAATTAGATGAAACTGTCAGCGAAAAGAATTCTAAATAAAGCAAAGCAGTTAAATTGCAACTACTTCTGTGATGCCTAATCCTAAACCTACATTTCTACAGCAAGCACAGAATACGCAACTCCAACAGCAACAAAGTCATTCATGCCCAACCAGGTCATAGGCACTGCCCCCCTGGCTGAACTTACTTTTAATATGCATACCATGTGATGTCTCCTGAAAGACTGTTTAAAGTGAATTTACTATAGAGAAGAGAGATAAATATTTATCATCCTGATAACAAGATCAGCTAACTATGTGATTCTAACTATAACTCTATCTATGCCATAGATTCCTTATTTATAATGAACAGAGAACAAATTGATAATAAGGGCATTAACACAATGATCACATTCAACAACCCTCCTCATAACACACACACCACACACAATGCACCAGAGGAAATGCACTGAAGCAAGCACTATAGAAAAAGGAAAGAACAGGGGGGAAACCTAGCCAACCAAATACTGCTAATGTATAAAAAAAAGCATTGGTGGTATTCACTGGTCATTTGCACACCTGGAAACTTTTTTTTAAAAGATACTATAATTGTAATAAGTGCTTCAGAGCTACAAGTTCAAAGGAAAAGCAATCAACCTTCAAAAAAACCTGTACAACACAGTACATTTTGCTGAGCAAAAAGTTGCATGTCTGTATACTTGTTAGTATTTGATATGAACTGGAACTGGCACAATGAAGTACATGAAATGGATGCACTTGTTTGTCCATGACAGTGAACCTCCACCTTATTTGATACCATTGAGAAATAGATAGAGGTTCTGTATCTTTTCCAGTGCTCAGACATATCCAGTTTAGCTGCTATAAACAAAAGTTGATAAGTCTTTGTAAGAATAATAATCATTTTCAGAAATGTCCAGAAGTACAAAGCATAAATCATGTCTGACTGATCAATACTATTTTGGTGTGGGGTGACTTCCAAGTAAAATTCATTTTGCACACATGGCCATCACATATGATAGTTAAATGACCTAAGTACCATCTATGTACCAGTTCTAAAATAGTCTCCCTCATGTTAGCAGATAAATTTAAATGGGAATTTATTCCACATTGCGCTCTACTTGCCAAGTGATGTAGCACATGGAACATAATTTTCTCATGCAGTTCTCAATTAAGAGTAACTTATGTATTTGAGACCTTTTTATGTGTTGTTTGTATGCTATAAGCAACCAGAGATTCAAACCCAACTTCAAGGGCTCTGGTTGCCTGTTGATGGACTATTCTGGAGGCACCCAATGGTTCTTGACTACCACTGCTGGTGTAACAGTAGGCATAAATATGCAACTATAGGGAACAGGTGGCGCTGTGGTCTAAACCACTGAGCCCCTTGGGCTTGCCAATCGGAAGGTCAGCAGTTTGAGTCCACGTGATGGGGTGAGCTCCCATTGCTCTGTTCCAGCTCCTGACAACCTAGCAGTTCGGAAGTATACCAGTGCAAGTAGACAATTAGGTACTGCTGTGGCAGGAAGGTAAATGGCGGTTCCCTGTGCACTCGTCACGGTGTCCCATTGTGCCACAAGCGGTTTAGTCATGCTGGCCTCATGACCCGGAAAGCTGTCTGTGGACAAACGCCGGTTCCCTAGGCCTGAAGCAAGATGAGCGCCACACCCCAAAGTTGCCTTTGACTGAACTTAACCACCCAGGGGTCCTTAACCTTTACCTTGCCTAAATACGCAACTCTACTAAAGTTAATGCCACTGCTGGCAGAACGTCAGGTGAGAACTCATATTCAAGTGAGCACTTCCATTATCAAAGGTTTTCACTGTTGGTGGGACAGCAGTCCTATATAGACAATGAATTGTTCACAACTATGATGTTCTGGCAGAAATGGCAATAACTTTAGTAGATGCAAACACAGTTGTCCACTGACTACTGTGATGCTTTGTCCTGAAAACACTCCAAATAAGCATTACTGCATTATCATCATTGTTGCAGTTGTTGTTAAAGTTATATGAATGAAATTTCCCAGGTGGAAACTGAATTGCTTCGTATATGAATGGCTTCTTTTTTTGCTAACACAAAAGTTACATAGGATTGCAGTTCTATACCTTACAAGGGAGTAAAGCCCACTGCTCAGCATCTGAATACATGTAGCCTAATCCTACACAATTGCTCTTGTCTGTTCTATCATGACCATAATTATTCTACAAAGAACTGCCAGAGTAGTACTGCCACAAAATTTCATTTCATTATTTCATCCTTCTATCCATAAACTATGAATAAAACAACAACACCCTACTGTGACTGGGCTGGGTCCCTTCAAGTATGCATAATATGTTGCCTTTGTCTGCTAGACAAACATTCCCATACCTGATCAGGAAGAAACTGAAGAAAGAAATGCTGCTCTTTTTGCTTACACACAGGAGCTGTTAAGTACACACCCAACCATCAGATAGTGGGAGGGAGTAAACGGCAGGTATGGATCTCAGCATTAAGAAGCAACCAAAGACTTATCTCAGAGGGTGCTAATTCTCATAGGGTCCTTTCACAAATATTTCATATACAGTACTGAATGCTGATTTATAAATGGATTGTGTCACAGCAGGATACACTTACCATGCAGCTTAATTCAGGGCCGTTTCCACTATCATCCCTCATGCTTTTTGCACAGGTAGTGCTTTTGGTACAAGAATATCACATTTTCAGAGAAGTTACTCAAGCCAGTGCACTGTTGTACTGGTCAAATACAGCATATTTCTGACTCCTGGTCAACAAAAGAGGTTTAAAGACTGTCTCGAGGTAAATCTAAAAAAATGTAGTATAAACACTGACAACTGGGAAACACTGGCCTGCGAGCGCTCCAGTTGGAGAACAGCCTTTACCAAAGGTGTCATAGGCTTTGAAGACACTCAAACTCAGGACGCAAGGGAGAAACATGCTAAGAGGAAGGCATGCTTGGCAAATCCACACCGTGATCAACTCCCGCCTGGAAACCAATGTCCCCACTGTGGAAGGATGTGTGGATCCAGAATTGGCCTCGACAGTCACTTACGGACTCACTGTTAAAACCATGTTTATGGAAGACGATCTTACTCAGCTACGAGTGATCGCCAAAGATTTCTGACTCCACAATGTATTTATAAATGCAAAAGAGATTGAATCATTTGTGTCAGGGGCACTTTGTGGCTGCAGTTTGCTGCACAGTATCTCCTTCTTCAGCTCATGGTTTTATGCTGCATTATTTTTCAAGCAATGTTTGTGTGTTCCCTTCACTCAAACATCCTACAATCTTCATTGTGTTTGCAGGAAGTCTAGAGGAAATGGATGGAATTCACTGGGACTGGAGAGCAAAAATTGGTTTGGAAGTAAGACAACTACTCATTCCATTTTGACCTCTGGTAAACAGGTTTCTGTATTGACTAAAAAACCTGCCAAACATGTCTGACCAGCAAAACAGAAGAAGCACACACATAAGGAAAGCTAATTTCAACTCTCTTCAAAAATTATTAGCGTTTCCAGTTTAAATTATCTGAAGTCTCTTTTTTACTTCTGTTTCATTCAGAGGGCAGAGCAGGAAGAGGAGCTCATGCTGGAGCCTGTATGGTATCTGCTTTCACTCATTCCTTGCTGTGAAGTCAGCCCTTTATTCTTACTCCTGTTACTACTGCCACTACTACTACCACTAGTCAGAACTTAGTCCTGGCATGCTTGGCCTGTGAGAAGGGATCTGTTGTAGAGAAATGTATACTTCAGTCCTCACTACACCATGAAAGCATCCATTTCACGCTGTGTGCTCAAAATGCACATATACAGTGGTACCTCTGGTTACGTACTTAATTCGTTATGGAGGTCCGTTCTTAACCTGAAACTGTTCTTAACCTGAAGCACCACTTTAGCTAATGGGGCCTCCTGCTGCTGCCGCGCTGCTGGAGCACAATTTCTGTTCTCATCCTGAAGCAAAGTTCTTAACCCAAGGTAGTATTTCTGGGTTAGCGGAGACTGTAACCTGAAGCGTATGTAACCCGAAGCATATGTAACCCAAGGTACCACTGTATTCCTTTAAATTGAGACTACCTGTCCATGCATATACATGTATAATAGAGCATTGTATGTTCTGCATCCCAAGACTGGGATATTAGACTTAAAAATACTAAGGCAGTTCCTTTTATCTTCTAGTATGCAACTATGAGATTAAAAACCTGTCCCTTTTATTTTGTAAATGATTCTCAGATATCAATTTGGTATATTAGACAATGTACAGGAAGCAAGATTCCATTATTCATAATGGTATTATGGTCCCAAAGTATATCAAAGATCATGACCACTATCCACTACACACATAAGCTCTTGTGCCCCATTTTAAAAAGACTTCAGCACAGCTAACAGGTAGGGGCCCTTAAACCCATATTTATTCCTCTGCTCTTATATTTTGCCTATTTCAGCCAATACACAGATTTCCATTTCTTTTTTGGCATTTACTATTCCTTGTATTTTGCACAAATCAATATTGACTACATAATTCTACATTTCAAAACAAAATGTAATTGTTTCATCCCTTTCAGATGTAAATATAGCACTCCTTCAACACCAACCATCCCAAATCCTGGGATCAGTCCAAAGTATTGTACACTTTAGACAGTAGTAGAGAACAGAACAATAGAGTTGGAAGACAGCACAAGGACAATCTACTCCAAGGGTAGGCAAACTAAGGCCCAGGGGCCAGATCCAGCCCAATCACCTTCTAAATCCATCCCGCGGACAGTCTGGAAATCAGCGTGTTTTTACATGAGTAGAATGTGTCCTTTTATTTAAAATGCATCTCTGGATTATTTGTGGGGCATAGGAATTTGTTCTCCCCCCCCCAAAAAAAATGTAGTCCGGCCCCCCACAAGGTCTGAGGGATAGTGGACCGGTCCCCTGCTGAAAAAGTTTGCTGACCCCTGACTCTAACCCACTGCAATGCAGGAATCTTTTTGCCCAGTGTGGGGCTTGAATCTATGACACTGAGATTAAAGAGTCTTCTGCTCTATCGACTATCTCCTCACATTTCTGATGAGTTAAAGGGCTTAATCAGATAATCAATACCCTACTGCACTGTAGTAGATATATTTAATTTAAGGGGTAAGGAAACTCATCTGCTAGAACTGTAGTAATCTGGCACCTCACTTTTATGCATCTTATTACTTGGAAGCAAATCCTACCAATTTTGAAACGTACCTCCAAGAAACTGTGCTTAGGATCCAAGCCACAGGCAGCTAACTAAACAAATAATGATAGGGAGAGCCTTTGCTTTTTGCAGGGGCAACCCTATCATTACAGAATGAGGTAATTGTCTCAGGTGGTAACAATGCCACCCTGGATGTTCCCCCTAAGTCTCCTGGCCATTCCTACCCTCCTGTGCCAGTGAGCCTGCTTGTTGCTGGCCTAGTATGGCTATATGTCTCACCCAGTCACTTTCTTTCAACACGTCACAGTACAGGAAAGCCCCAGACTGAAGAAGTATGCATTGCAAAGAGGCAACCAGCATAAGCCACACAGTCCAGAAACTTTAGCACATGCCCATGCAACACATGCTGCTACACAGCAGCATCTATCCGTGTTGGCAATGACCCAATTAGGGCGAGGAGTAGCGAAGTGTTGAAAGACAGAACTCTATGTGCCATATGGCCTGTCCTGGGCTTGCTGATGCCTTCAGGTGAGGTGAAGGATGCTGTCTCGTTGCCAGAGTCAGCTTCTGTACATGGAAGGGGAGTGGGGAAGTCATGCTTTCCCTCTCAGGCAGCAAAATGCCTCAGGGCAGTTATACCAACCCTAAACATCACCTATTTCATTAACAAATATGGCAGGCTTCAACTTACAAACAACAAAGCGTGCATCCCTGCAAGATGGTAAACTGGTTTCACATCATCATAAAAAGAGTCTGGAAGGGAGAATCAATTATCTACTTCATTATGTGATTGCCACAATAAACTTAAAACCAGTAACTGCTGTGCAAAATGCTTCCCTGCAAAACTGCACAGAATAACGTGGTTAAAGCAAAACTAAGGTGCAGTGTAAATGGCCTCAAAGAATTTTCATTTGTGGTCACACCCCTAGGACTGGTTCAGACATAATGCCCAAGCATGGGTTGGCAGCAGAAGTATGAGCCACATAGATCCATTTTCTTCCTCCTTTCTTTATTTTAAACAAACCACAATTTGGCATTTTGTCCAAACCAGGCTTGCACTGGAGTACACATTCAGTCCTGTTTCTATAAGTGAATGTCAGCATGGCTATCCCTTTGCAAAGGCTAACACAAATACAGCGCTAAATGAAAAGAAAACTGTGTAAATGTGTCTGTAAATGGTCTGGGAGGCACTCAAGGGTTCTCCCAGTATACAGAGAAGACACAAAGAAATGTCACAACAAACAGAATACTTTGAAGATACTGACACCTATTACTGGCTGAGCAAACTAGCTCCCAAGATCACTCTCTCACTCCCCCCACCATGACACACAAACTTTCTAGCCAGTTTGCTTCTTTGCAAGGTGTGGTCAATTTATACAAAAGCATTATCAATAAAAGCAGATTAGGTTGGTCTGTTGCAACAGCAATAACTGAAAAGGCACCTCTATGTAAAACTCAAAGATTATGGCTTATTTATTGGTCCTACAGACAGGAATGTTATCGTATTGACTTTGCCAGTGCTTTTCCCAGGATCACAGCAGGCATACACAAACCCATATAACTGGGAGGGGCAGAGAAAGATAAGGGTTATCTCAATTTCTAACCAACTTATAGCTTTAAGACTCCTTCTATGAGACAGAAAATTAAAATAGCCATTGTTTTAAGAGGTTAGACAAAGGCAATATTGTATCTTTTATCCTCTTGGGCAACATGTATAAAGATTTCTGCACTACTCATCATGGATACTCAGAGGGAATTTAAGAGACAAATCATATTGCAGAAGAAGAAAAATGCATCTAAGAAACATCAAAATGTTGCACCCCACATCATCTTATGTTGCTGTTTCAATTAGGCAAGCATAAATTGCCTAAGGGTGCCTCCAGACAGTCACTATTTTGCAAGTGGGATTCAAGAGCACATCAGAAACTTATGTCTGAGCCGTTAAATTGAACTGAAAGGCTCTGTTGCACTAGCTCAACAAATCCACTTTAAAAAAGAATCAGGCTTTCTGCGGTTTGGAAAGTCATGGGGAAAAGCACTGGAAGTATGGGATAAATGAATGAATAACAGAAGGGGGTATTATTATTATGCTGTGTATTTTGTGTTTTTATGTTGTAAGCTGGCCTATTGTCTTTGGATGAAGAGTAGTATATAAATTTTAAAAATAATAGTAAACTAGGTCTGTTGGCAGACTGTGTTACAAAGATGTCTGCAAGTGTGATATGAAGGCTGGCAACATTAACCCCACCATGTGGGAACTCTTTGCAGGCAATCACAGTGTCTGGAGACAGTCAGTCAGTAACGAGAGGAATGACCACTGGTATGAGCAAAGAGAGAAGAAACACCATGGTGTAACTTTAGCAACAAAACCAGATGCCTTCTTCTGCTCCACCTGCAAGAAAACATATGTCTCCTGTATATGTCTCTGGAACCACTGTAACTCTCCAACAGCTTGACTTCACTCCAAAAGGCACACTCGTCTATTGTCTCCCAAGACAGACGGATACCAACACAACCCTATTTAAGCATACGACTTAAGAGATGCAGGTTGTGTCCCCATTGTCAATCGATGGAAATGGAAATGTTAGCATCCTTACCTTTGTAGTAGGATGTGTTATGAAAGAGTACTTCATCTCTGTACTAACAAAGCTATTTTACCAATACATAGGGATAGCAAGTTAAATCTAGAAGGAGCACAGTAGAGTTTCTTCATCGTGCACTGCCTGATCATTTTGTGAGCCACATCAAAAATAAATCATAAGGAAGTAAAAATCTTGTATGCAGATATCTGTGACACTCCAGAGATAAATCTGCTCACTTCCTAAAACGACAGTTCAACTATTTATTTATATGGTCATTTGAAAGCACTAATAATGGGAATAAATGTGTCAGTTCCATGTATGGCTAACCTAGTGTTTCATTGCCCCACCACATACTAAATTTAACCCCATAGTATCCAGCTGTGGCACAAACATCACGGTGGCAAAGGCAGAATGAGTCTATGGCACTTCTGGACTAGAAGCTGAGGATTTATAGGCCCGACTAAGGCAAAATCAAATGTATATTCTTGCCTGTCTCTTCAGCACTGCAATGACACCTACTCCTGAGATTAGAAGACTAGAGCGAAAGCCACTAGTAGCCTAACACACACAGGTTTGCACAGGTACTGTAATGCAATATAGAGTAGCACACTCACATATTTTGAAGATCCCTACAAGTTGGCCACTACTAATTAATTTCTTTTTTAAAAACTGTATTCCACTTCCTTCTACATATGTCCAAGGCAGCCAACAGTAATGCAAATGAAAAACAGAAAACAAATAAACACCATATAGCTGGTCAGCAAATAAACTTAGGATTTGATCAGCCAATAGGATGACTATGTTGCTGTACTAAGCCACCCCTTAGAATGCAACTGACTAGGCAGCATCCTGTGTTCCCAGAGAAGAATAGCCCATTTTTTTCTCCCAAGTTCCTGTATGCTTTGCCACTGGCTGCAGGGCCAGCATGGGCAGAGGCCAGAGTAAGACTGGATTGTATAGGTCAGATTAACAGTGTATGCACTATTCATTCTCTCCTAAAGCTCCATGCACCCCTACAGCAAATGTTAAGCAGAAGGCAAAGAGAATGATGGATAGACAAATGTTGACTACTGAAAAGCCCTCACAGGACAGAAGCCAGCCATATCAAGCATCAGTGAGCTAATGTGAAGCCTACAGGAACCTGGCAATGTGTGTCATGGGAAAATGGAATTCAATGAGGCCTCAAGAACAAATGGAAAACATAGGACACCCCTATGATCAGATAGCAAGTGTTAAATACAAACGTACGCACACAAATCTCACTGACCATAAAACAACAATGGAAAAATAATCTCAAATTGGGAAGCAAGGCCTAGGAAAGCCCACTGTGCCAAACAGAAACAATAATGGAAATAGGCCTGCCATGTAAGAAGTTTCAAATCTTCCCTCAAAACACTCATATTGTCTCATAAATAAAGTGTGTCTCTTCCAAAAAGAGAGATCCAAACACAGAAGAGAGCTTAGTGGTTGAAGCACAAGTGACTGCAAAGGCAGGAGGCCTAATCAGGTCAAGCAAGAAGGGCACAGGGAAGAAAAAACAGTGGGTCAGACTGCCTTAATTGCTAAGCACCACAAGCCTACATATATTCATAAAAGACACAGACCAACACCAGGACAACTTTTTCTTTTCGTCTCACCTTGTAAAGCTGCTGTCCTTTCCTGCTCACTCCTTGTGGCAAGGCAGAAAGCCAAGAGCACAGATGGCACAGGCAGAAGAGAGAGCAATTTCACAGTCATTTTAGCTTATTCACAAGCAGCATCCTACAAAATGGAAAAGCACAGGGGAAATAATTACCTTTATGGACTTCCCTCTTTGAGATTCAGGCAGCCACCTTCAAATCCTGAGACTCCTTGTGTGTCCTTGCTGTGCACTCCCTGATCGTAGCCATGTTAATCACATGACTGGCCAACAGACTGGCTTTGCCAGTTAAGTATCTCCCTCTGTTTTTTTGTTGCTGTTCATTCCATGTCCTCCTTAAATGACTTGTTCTATTCTCCACCCCCAATCACAATCTTCCAGGCCTGCACTCGGGACAGCCAGTTCCTCCCACCTGCTATCATTGCTCCACCCACCTTTCCACCTGCATACAAGGAGAAAATGAAACCTGGACTCTTAAAATCAACAAACCCACCCAGCGTGTTGGCAGCAAAACAGCCGACCAAGAGTTTGCTCAGTAAAGAGCCAGGAGGCAGGTTGCTCAAAAGCTCTGCAGCTGTGAGGATTGCCGCTCTGTGGCACTAAGCCAGCCGGTTATCCAGGATCCTGGCAAAGACTGCTGTGGACTATAAACAAGAAAATGCCCCAAGGAGTAAACAAGAACCCCCCTAAGGAGTAAACAAGGAAAATACACCAAGGAGGCCTGCTTTCATGCAAAGGGAAAATGTTAGATCTCAAGACAAGACCAAACCTGACAGCTACACCATGTGTGTAAGTTCTGTTACAGAACTGAAAAACAATACTAGTAGAGCTGAATTCTCTTTTTTAATCTGTAAAAGATGTGCTGCTGTTTTCTTTTTAAATGTAGCATAAAATACACACTCAGGGCTACTCATAATTCTAATCATGAAGTGCAGCTGATATACAGTTCAGTTGTGAAAGAAAATACATAAAACAGGAACAACTCTCCAGTTACAGAGAAGCTTTCAGAAACCTAAACATGAAACATGGAATAACCACTAGGCTCCCCAAAGTTGTATTCAGAATCATTACCTGATCAAAGCTGCTATCTCATATAAGCAAGTAATCCTTAAGCACAATGACTATATGAATGGCAGGCAAGTATGTAACAGTAAGAGGTACCTGATCTATGTCAAGTAACTTCCAAAAGAGACAAAAATGGCTTAATACATTTTCCAAGAACAGAAAATGCAAATGACAAGCCATACAATGGTGGTAACAATATAATACTAAACTAAATAGCTGACACATTACAGCCCTTTGTTTATGGCATTTGCATATCACCCTTCACACACAGGGCGAGAATGCTCACAAACAGGAAATACTGTATATCAAGTATTACCACAGAACTCTTGTCTTGCAGACACGTGGCTTTTACTACAAAATTCTACTCATGCACACATTTCTTTCACCATCCTCTCAGATACCACAGGCACTATCACCTGAGGCACACCAGCTCTTGAACAGGCCTTGAACAGAATTGCTGTGCTCCAAGTAGGGCAACATTTACAAAGCAGACACCCACTGTTTGGGGTTCCATCCACTGCATTTCCTGTTCGCTTTCCTCTGTCCCATCTGCTCTGTGTTGCCCATGGGCATGGGTACTAGTATGAGATGGAGCGTGTGGCAGTTTCCAGTTTTATCACCGCACAACTGGTGTCTTTGCCTATGCCCTAGGAAGGCTCTGAATTACAGGCATCCAATATTCATTTTTAAATTATTTATTTATAATTTACATAGTACTTTCAACATGCAAAGCGCTTTACAGTAATGGTCACATTTGGCTAATTTATATGGTTTGTGGTCACAACACTGGTAACAGTACTACGGCGGGAGGTCTCCCGATTCAAGGATTTTGCAGAGTGGCATCACACTCCTCCACACTCCACATATCTGACTTTTGCAAGACCTCACACAGAGCAACTGCAGTGTGTTGTGTTGGTATACCCTGAGTATTTTGCTGCACTGCACTGATGCTATAATTGCTACACAATTATGACCCGGCATGGTACTCCTTGTGATTCCTATTTGCCTTCCACGGGAGACAACAAGATCAGGTTTTTGTTCTTAATACTGTTTCTCATTTAGTGCAATGGGAAGAGCAATATTCAGTCTAACTAACCACATCTGAAAAGCAGCTTGATGGTAGAGTACAAGCCTTACAAGCTGGAGCAGAGTGGGGAGATATTTTATTATGGTTTATGCATTTTGGCCCAAATGTTTTGTAACCTAAGTATATTGGCCCATAAAATCTGTTTCTTCAAGTCACAAAAATTATTTTCATCTGTTCTGTCCATGTGATGCTGTAGCATTGTTCCCAAGAAGCCCAAAATGATGCATTTCAGGGAACATCACAGATGCATAGCTTATTAGTTATAATGTATTTTGAATTCTTAACAAATGTTGCTTTAATTTGCCTGGACAGTCCAAAGCACTCATGAAATTAGGGTAGAATCTTACCAACAGATTATAGACTTCTCCCTTACGCATGGCTTCATTCTTTTTTGAACAGCTGCAGAGAAACCTGTTGCCCTAGAAACCAAGCCGTACAATTTCAGCTCCACAGTATCCCCAGCAATCAATCATCTTCCAAACATGTCCACTTCCTTCCAATTATTCATTTTGTAGCTAATAAATTAAAATTCAGTTTTACAACAACAGCTTCTGTATAAAATGTCCAAGATATCCAATATGATCTAGTAATCATATTCTATTTTAGGATTTTTTTAAAGCTCAGAAGCAACAGTATAGTCGTCTAACAAATAACTAGTCACACCCAGCCAAAGTTAAGCACTTCTGAGTCCCATTAGTTTCAATAAGGAACAAAGGGTTCATGTGGTAAGCCTAAGTGTATACTCAGCACTGTCCCACCAAGTATAAGGAGGTCCTAGCTGCAATCATCTGTGCACTTACCAGGAATTAAGCCCCACTGAGCAAAGTTACTTGCTTCTGAGTATATGTGTAAGTTTGTGTTGTTAAAAACGTCTCAAACATTGGCTAGATTGTGCGCCTACACTTTTTTAATGAACACAAATTAAAATAAGAAAACTGAATATGTGGTGTAGTCGTAAATACTGTTGCCTGGATCACTAAAATCAATTTGACTTGCTTAAATGGTTTTAAGACGGAAATGTTAAGTTCCTGTTCCCCACCCCACCTCAGTAGATCTTATGCCTGTTTACTCAAAAGCAGCAAGTCCTACTGTTTGTATGCATTGTATGCACAAATTGTATGCATACAATTTAATCCAAAACCTGTATTCCTATGTTGACCTCCTTAGGAGTAAGCCCCATTCAACTTTGCACTAATGACTTCCGGGTAAACAGGATCAAGCTATAGGTCTTTTAGTTAGGGGAGTTCATGTTTTGTTTAGGTGTCCCAAGCCTTTTTCAATTAAAAATATGGATTATTATCTCAACACAACGCTAGGCAAACCTCCAACCCACACACTTTGCCCCAAGGTCCTACTGTGGGGACTACTTCTACACCAATTTCAAGCTGCAAATTTAACTTCAACCTCAATTCCTAACATGGGCAATCATAATCACTGCTGAGGAATACCTGCAAAATAACGCTAAAATTGTGTTACAAAAAGGAAGAACGGATTAATCTATACTAAAGGCAGCAATCCCATTTTCACTGTATGTCCCAACATACGGCTTTTGTACTGAACGAAGGCACAGCCAGAAGCTGTTACCTCTCCCACAGTAATAGTCTCACGTTGCCTAAGCTCCACTCTTGGAGGCCTTAAGAAGAAGAAAGCCTTTTTTTTTTATCACCATCATGACACGTGCGTGTTTCTCTCTTCCTGGCCTAGTACAGAGAAGACCCAGCACGCGAGACTCCAATGAATAAAAGAAGCAACACCAACCTCTAACTCAAGAAGTCATGGCCCAGTTGCACCCCCAACAAACCCTCTTGAGCGAAGATAACAATTTTAGCAGCTGAGGGGACAAGGAGGCGTCTTCATAACTAACCCTCTTCCCTGTTGCTATGGGAACCCACAACCTGCGCTCAGGTAGGCAAAGGGCGGCGCCTCACACCTCTCTTCGCAGAGGAATTCTGGGTAGTGTAGTGCGGCAGCTTCCTCGCTGCTGAGTTCCTTTCGTGAGAAAATACTACGTCTCCCAGCATGCAACTGGCTGCCTCGGCCTTAGGCCCCACACACCTGTGCAGGCAAGTTGTTTACACTCTTCAGCGTAGACGGATCGAAGCAAGAGGGTAGATAGGTGGCTTGGAAAATATATAACTTCAACATGCTAACTTTTTGCTTAGTCAGCAGGCTTGGAAAAAGTTGTTGTTCAGAGCCAGCACTTCAAGCGGTTGTACTAGGGCGGAATGGGTCGCTTTGCGGCTGTTCCTTTTCGCAGTCCATTAGGCGCCAGCTTGGAGTCCCAGGAATGCGGACAAAATGTCTTGCTTAAGTAAGTTTTGTGTATCAGGCCTGCATATTGGTAATGTTGTTGGCGACTTCCTTTCATAGGTCCATTAAAACTATCGATCTAGAGAGATACTGATGTAAACTGTGCCGCAAACAAGAAACGGAGATACAGCTGGTTAATATATACCTGCTACTCTCAACTTCTTGTTTTTAACGATATATACAGAGGAGAATGGAGAAAAGGACCGGCATCAGCTTCCCCCTGCTGTTACAGAATTTTCAGCCTTTTTTCTCCTAACTAAGATGCTGCTTGGGCTAGGTTTGGATGCTGCTGGTTCTCTTCCTTTTCCAAGAGATGTGCAGGGAGTTGGAAGGCTTTCCTGCAACCTTTTCTCTTATATAAACTTATGAAGACTGTACTTTGAATCCTCAGTGTGGTTTACATGAAGCCCCATGAAACAAAGTGTATGTAGTTCGCTAAAAATAATATTCCCCGTTTCAGGGTACATTTAAGGAACATAGTGGATTTCCAGACAGGGACCTTATATTGCAAACAGGTCATCAAGTCCAATTTTTCCTGTGTGCATTTTTGGCATGTTAGCCTCTACACATTTCCTTTATTCATTGCTGTTCTGCTGCTAGCTGAGCTTTGTAGAATGAGTTGGTATGTTTCCGTTACGCTGCCTTGTCTATCTGTTTTCCTTATTAATGAATTTGAAGGTATTTGGGCTGTTTTACTGTCCCTTTCCTCAGTTTCCAGGCCTTTTTTTTTGTTCTGGGCACGTGTCCAGCTATTTCTATACCTGTTTGTGAACAACTTAAACAAAAAAAACCTTTATCCAGGAAGTGAACAGGAGTAAATATTACCAGCCCAGTAGAGCAAACTAAATTATAGGAATCTGCCATGTTGCATGGCTGCTGCAATCTGCTGGCATAAAAACTCTTGATCCATATCCCACACAGTGGTGGCTAGGAGGGACTACAGAAACTGCCCAAGCTCAGTGAAGATAATGGACACTCACTGCATCCATAGCAACACCACCACCCAATCCTGGCACACTTTCTGCCACCCCATGCATGGCCAGTCACAGACACACACACACAAATGAGCATGCCAAAACACGACACTGTAAACAAACGCATGCACACATTGCAGCCCCTTCTCCAGCCTGCATACTTGCAGCCAGCACTTCCACAGCATTCATGCCAAGAAACCATACCAATATACACAAGGGATAGAGTCACAGAATTGTAGAGTAGGAAGTGACCTCGAGTGTCATCTAGTCCAAGCTACTGTGATGCATGTGGGTGAGTAAAGGGAGCTTTATTCCAAGCATGGAAGTGTGTACACAGTCCACATGAGCAAAACAGTGTCAGAGACCTCAAATACCCATCTAGTGCCCCTGCACCCGGTCATGTGAAGCAGTGGAAGCAAGAACATGAGTGATGGCAATAATTTTGAACCAAATGTCAGTGGTTTGCAACAGTGACTTGTTAATTTGAGCAAAGTACAATTAAGAGCCTCCTGCCAACCTAGCAGTTCGAAAGCCTGTCAGAGTGCAAGTAGATAAATAGGTACCACTCCGGTGGGAAGGTAAACGGCATTTCCGTGCGCTGCTCTGATTTGCCAGAAGCGGCTTAGTCATGCTGGCCACATGACCTGTACGCCGGCTCCCTTGGCCAATAAAGCGAGATGAGCACCGCAACCCCAGAGTCGGCCACGACTGGACCTAATGGTCAGGGATCCCTTTACCTTTACCTTTACAATTAAGAGCAACACAAATAAGCTTTAAGGTAATTTTAATTTTAAGTAGAAATTTCATTTCCTTATCTTTTATGTTTGTGTATCTCATTGTACTGGCAATGGCCTATGGCTGCAGGCTATAAATATTGATCATAGCAATTCAGTCCCCCTGTTACTACATCACTAATAGTGACCACATTAACTAGAGTGTCAGATTAGCACTGGGGAGACCCATTTTCAAATTCTGCCAGCCAAGAACCTCACTAGGTGATCTTGGGCTAGTCATTAGTGTTGTGTATGTCACAGGATTTTTGTGAGGTTAAAGGAGGGGGGTATTTTTGCCACCTTCAGTTCCTTGAAGGAAAGATGAAAAATAATATAAACATATACAGATTGTGCAGATTTATGTTAAAGATTCTGAACTGTGTATTAGGCAAATTGAGACTGAGGACAATATGCAGATCACTTCATATTTGGGAAGAAGAGACCCCATATAGCTAATGACTGAAAGGTAACCTACTTAATGGGATTATTAGTGCTCTCTGGCTGTCTTGAGAGAGAAAACATTGAGCAGCATTAAAGTAGAAAAGGAAGTAATAGCAGACATTAGACAAGCTTTGGAAAGTATTAATGATGTGTGTAATTTCACTTTCCTGCTTCTTCACTCCTGAGCATAAATAAATGACTGTAAGTTACAATAATGAGCCCATCAGACTAATCCTGTGTATGAGAATTTACTGCAACACTAAAAGCCTTGTCTTCTAAAATAAACCCCTTTTTATCATGTAAGCTTCCAGTACTATAAAGAGCATTAAGAGGCACAAAGTAGTGAGTGTCTCTCCATGGCAATTCAGATGCAGGTGCCAGGATGTTCCTTCTGCTGAACGTGCTATAATAAAATTCTGTCTGTAGTAGATGGATCCTTTAATAGGAATTGCCATACTAACCCGGACGTGATTAGGACAAACCTCCGCTCCATTCATTCCACACAGACTGGATGTAAACTCTGAATATTAAACAGCGCACTGTTTAATGCCAGGGTCTCACCCACTCGGCATAATAGCTTTAATTCAAATTGGAAAGCAAATGATGTGAAGGCAAAACACCCTGAGATCTATTATATCAGGACAGAAAAGAAAACACTTTTGACATAATTTGCTATAATTCTTAACTTTTTTCTTTTTTAAGGAAGCACCTCAGCTCCTGGAATGTGAGTATGAATAATAACACTTTCCAGTTTGAAACATTTTGACTTTTGTGTAATTTACTCCAGTTGATGAAGTTTTATTCTCAGTAATAGAACTGACATCTCATTATGTATTTCCAAATATTTTAAAATATTGGTGCCAATAAAATATAGGAAATTATATCTTTTAAAAAGGACAGCAATAAGATCTAGCAATGTTTATTAGCCTAGTTCCACTACCAGCTGCTTGTACAATAAGGGCTTTCCTTTCCTTTCAAAAAGTTCAACCAAGAAGCATTGCTGCAATTCTTCTAGGTACATTTCTTATCACTGTCCCTATCCACAGATGCTGCTACTGGAAATTCAGAGCAGATGCATGTTCCTTACATCTCTGAAATTAGCATTATCACATATGCAGACAAGCATGATGGTTAACCTGTTAAAATAGGGGTGGCTAACCTGTAGTTCTGCACGAAGTGGTGGACTCCACCTCTCATCAGCCCCACCCAGCATAGATGATGTGTGTAGGCCGGAGGACCACAGGCTAGCCACCACTGCTTTAAATGTTCCTGTGTCACAATACCCAATTACAAGTTGCTAGGTAGCTAACCTATCCAGTAATAATGGTTTACCCTTCTATAGTGATAGAACAAAGCATTAGCACCGAGTGTTCAATAATATTGAGGTGGTCCACTAAAGTTTAGTGACTCAACAGAGATGTTAACAACGGGTTCAGCACTCCTTTAGTTACAGGTAATGCATGCCAGGTGACTTCCCAAGCCTACACCTGTGCCTCCCAGAATATATCACTGAAGCAGCAGTAAGCTTAACCTGGTGTCCAAAAGATGTTGATGTCAGCATCAGGTGAACCTCGGGCCACAGCTGGAAAGGATCTCCCCCTTTTTGCCAGCTTCAGAAATTCTCTTAGAGAGGAAGGACCTGGAGAAGGACCTCAAATAATGAACACAAGATGTGAATATGTTCAAATCTGGAACACTAATATAGGGTTAAGGAAGGATAAAAATCAGCAGGATTGATATTAGAAAAGTAGCAGTATGCATTATATTCTGGAATACAACCAACATTATAGAGAATATAGGAAAATTCATAGATTTGTAGTATTGAGAATGAAAGGTTTCCTTTTGCCTAGACAGATTTTACTTTTAAAATCTATTATTATAATAAACAAATAGCATCACAACACATATTCATAAACACATCTAAACAACATAGTCATATATAACAATGCCATGTGCAGGTAAGGAGGAGGATGTCTATATTGTATTGTTGCGCTTCTCTAACACATCATTGTGGGGACTGTCCATAAAAGTAGTGTCTCTAAACTCTGGAGTGCACCAAAGTAGATATGAAAAGTAATATCTAGACCAGGGGTCAGCAATCTTTTCCAGCTGTGGGCCGGTCCACTGTCCCTCAGACCATGTGGTAGGCCGGACCATATTTTGAAAAGAAAAAAAAAGAACAAATTCCTATGCCACACAAATAACCCAGAGATGCATTTTAAATAAAAGGACACATTCTACTCATGTAAAAACACGCTGATTCCCAGACCATCCGCTGGTCAGATTGAGAAGGCGATTGGGCCACATCTGGCCCCCCGGGCTTAGGTTGCTTACCCCTGATGTAGACTCTAGTTTTTTGTCATTCAGAAGGCACCTTGCCAAATTAAAGTTTTCAAAATTAATACATCGGTGCCAGGGTGGTGAAGGAAAGAAAGAGCAAAATAGGAGTTTATGGGAAAGCTGTAGTCTATACATGCATGCTCTTAGAAAAATAAAAACAATAATGTAACGAGGGGACTTTCAAGGTGTAGTGTCCCACTTCCTATTAGCACTGCCTATAATCGCTGAAGAATTATGTTTTTTAATATCCTTTTTATTTTATTTTTCAGAACTCAGTACAACTTAACAAAAACATCACACACATTTTACAAAAATAAGAGATCAGTTGTAGTTGGCTCCACTTTCAGGACTCAGTGGGAGAGCATCTGTCTTGCATACAGAAGGTCCCAGGTTCAATCTTCATTTAGGGCTGGGAAAAACTCCATGTGTGAAATCCTGGAGAGCTGTTGCCAGTCAGTGTAGACAATACTGAGCTACATGGACCAATTGTCTGACTCAATATAAGGCAGCTTGCTATGTTCTTATGTAAGGCAGCAGTGGAGACCAACTATTGCATGTTGCATTAGTGGCCTATCCAGGATTCTGTTTTTGAAACACATTGTTCCTAAGGTTTCCATGTGGAGTGCAAGATTACCCTGGTTAGTTACATGTTTAAGAAAGTTATCTTACATCAGTTAGAAGGTGTCCTCATTTTTGGTTTATTTTCAACTCCACTTATGACCCACATTGCACATGGGTTTTTTTATACCAGAGCTATACCCAGCACCCTTTGATACAAAACCTCAGAAGATAGGTCTCTCTTTAAACATAAGATTTCTGACTACTCTGTCCAAACTAAAATAAAGCCAGTCCAATCTTTATGTTTAAAAGTTTTAAAAAGTTTATTGTATAAAATTTCATTTGATAAAAATTACACATTGCACAGTATTTCAGAGTAACTGTGTTTTCTTTAAAAGTACAACTTTAAACAGGATGACACAAGAACAGAAAGCCTAAGGAATTACAAATTGAATTAAGTTCCCTAATTCATTATGTAAGGATTTGTGTTAAAGTAATCTAGAGCCAAAGCTTCATATTGCTATAAGGCGCAATTTTAAAGGCACTTCCCTGAGCAAGATGCTTCCAGAATTACAGCATTATAGAGATTCTCAAACAGATATGTTTCAGCTAGAATCCAAGTCCCATTGGCTTTCAAGGAATGAACATGTGATTGCTGCTGAAGCTTAACTTGCAATTAAATTTATAATTTGTCAGAGAAAGGGGGGAAAGGAAAAATATAGGTATTAGGTACATAATAGGAATTTAAACTTTGCGTGATCTTTTCAGTCAAAAGTACAAATTGCAAAAACGACTTCAGGAGCAATAGAGCATAACTGCAATCACTGATATCCACAAAGGATTTTGCTGAGGCTAAAAACAGGATAGAAGTGCCCTTTAGCATGTTACATCTTTACATTCTCAGTGCTATGATTTAGTTCCAATACAAGTAACTTAACAATACATGTAAGATGTAACATTTGCAAACAAGAACAAAAGAGAATCCAAATGTCAAATTGATAAGTTACATATGAATATCAACATTAATTCAGCAGTTCTACCTAATCCATATAATAAAAGGTGAGGGGACACAAGTCATTTGAACTTACATCTAAGAACACCCTGAAGCCTTAACATTTTTTGTATCAGGATTTTTTAAAATTGTGCTTTATCTCTGTGTATTATTAGATACTTGATTGGAAAGAAGGCACAAGGGGTATGAAACAAAATAGTTTTTGTAGAATACATAGCTGTCCAATGAAGCACAGCCTTTGTGCCTTTAGTGCTTATGCAGAAAAGTAAAAGTAAATTTCGTCAAGAGCAGCTTTTCTAACACATGTAGCTCTATGATGCAACAGGCTGAAACTGCTAACCGAAGCCCAGTGTTCTGCTGTGTCCAAGAATGATGCATATACATAGTTCTATGAACAGCTGGCCTCTTTAGGATGAGTGAATTAATAAAGGAACTACTGTATATAATCTTTGTAAATGCACACACATTTTTGGATTGGTCAGAAACTGGGTTCTAACAGTATCATGAATTAAGAATCCAAGGAAAAATATACCTCTTCTTGTGAAGTTTATGTGTGGGTACACCTGACCCCAACTTATATGTAAAAAAGTTGAGTGAGGTAATACAAACATTGCCACCTTTGAGAGGTTTCATTCATAGTTTCAATGAGGGCAACTATCCTAGTGGCTCGCTGGAATGATAGAATCAAGAGTGTTTACAATATAGGTAAAGGCCTTAAAGTGCTTTTCAGAACTGAATTAAACTTCCCATCAGCTTTATGAGGTAGACAGTTAACTGGGTCCCTTTTTATAAACCAGCACAAAAGAAACTTTTATCAAATGGTGTACCATTAAAAAGCTAAAGGGAGTAATCTCTAAAAGGATGTCAGCAGATAGAGAAATTATGGAAACTTCAAAATAACTGTTCTCTTGAACTTTAAACAGCAGTTTGGAGGCTTTGATGCAAAAAAACAAACAAACAAAAAAGCCCCTATAAAAATAACTTTGCACATGTGCTGTTCAATTATACAAAGGAAATATATGTTATACAAACAATATATTTCTTTCCACTCAAAGAGCACCATCAAGGTAATGAAGGAAATGAAAAGATATTAATATATATTCCTATGAGCCATGAGAGTTAAGAGATTTCATGTTGATTTATACTGTGAGTCTGAGACAGCTGTGAGAGTTTCATGGGCGTTAAGTGTCAAATCTGTTATGAGTGGTGGCAGCAGAGCATGGAAGTTTTGGTGTAACCAAAATTATTTTAACCTTATAGCAATAGAGTTATTTTATTGACAGTGCAAACGCTCCTGCTTACTTCTGCCTCATGCTCTGACATGTGACATTGTTCCTACCCTGTATTCTCCTAGGAACACTTGAATATTCAAAACAATCTTACCATGCAAAGCAATGGCGTTGTTTCCTTTCAGTGAAGAGGTAAAATCCAAGAGCAGTAAGCAAAAGATCACGCGACGCCTGCAGAGTTCAGGTGACATCTTCAAAGCCTACAGCACCATTCTTCTAGATGCTTGGCTCGAGGATTTCTTCTCTTGATCCCAGCACTCTCATATGACGTTTCACTATACTTCTGTGGAGTCATCCATTCTTCTAAAATATATAGAAACAACTATTCTCAATTTCAGTTGGAAGATACAGCATTTTAATTGCAAGGGGGAAAATGGTGAAGCTAAAGAGGTGTGGGCTTTACTAATACCTGGAAGGGAAGCCAATGAGGGTCCTTCCTATGCCATTTAAGCATTTAAAATAGAAAGGAGAATACAAGAATATTTAATTTCATATAAGAGAGCATGAAACCATCTCAGCTGTGGGGATAAAGCAGAATTCACTGCCACCTGCTGTATGGAACCACCTTACAAAATGATACGTCAAGGATTTATTTGCACATTGAACAAAAATATTCCCACAGGTCACTTCCAGGAGACAAACTGATGTAGGCATGATATACAGCAGGGTATGTTTGTGTCTTAAGCAGAGGAATCACGTCAGCTGAAGCCCTAGGAGTGATGGGGCTTCATTCCCTTGCTCTCAGCTATGTGATTTTTAAAAGACATCTGAAGGCAGCCCTGTTAAGGGAAGTTTTTAGTATTTGAGGTTGTATTGTGTTTTTACTATTTTTTGCAGGGGCAACCCAATCAGATGGGTGGCATATTAGATGATGATGATGATGATGATGATGCAAAAAACACAGCAGTCTCATTCCCTCTGAATGATGGAACATCAAAAAGCTCCATTGTTCCCAGGGAGACTTGCCCTATTCTGTTGAAGAAGACCCACTGTACTGACCATTCTAGACTCTGAATGGCTGGAAGACTATTTCTGAAACTTGTAAAAAGGGATGGATGGAACCATATGAAATGAACAGAGGAAGCCAGCCCTGGAGCCCTTGGCTCAGTACTGGGTTCTGCAGGACTGTGGGTTCTAAAGTAACCTATTGATCTAATCCAGGTCATGATCTGCTCTGATCAGATTAGTCCACTGTGGAATCAGAGTTCTGTGGATTTTTTTCTCCATCCCCATTGTAAATCAATGCCCCAATAGGGCTCAACCTGGAAGTACATACAGGCTTAAATTAAACTAAATTTAAATGTTAACGGTACAACAAAAAAAGCAAGTAAAATTAATCTCTGCTGCCATAACATCTGCTGTAGTGCTATCCACTTGGGACTATTCCAGGCATCATCATTTTATTTGTATACTGCCTTTCCATAGTTATAATCATGCTAAAGGTGGCTTACAGCATGAAATGATTTACATTACAAACATAAAAAGTAGTTGTAAACAATAAATAAAATGCATCAAAAAGTACACAACCAAACTGAGCAATTTCCATATAAATCACAATAAGATCTGAAAATAAATATACCAAAAATATATAAATAACAACAATCCCCCTCCCCAAACAACACCGCAGTTCAAGAGCCTGCTCCCTGTAGCTTTATTGTCCATTGTTTGCCTCTCAAGAGAATCGTACTCGGATAAAACACACACCTGAGTCTTTTCAACAGCCTTTCACGTTTTTGTTGTAGATGCAGGTTCTTAATGCCCCTGGGGACATCAGGCACAAACCAGGCTGCAATCAGTTTGATGCAAAGAGCCACATGCTGCAAAGAGCCAACAGAATCAGATTTTATTCCTTACAGGAGACATACTGCAATCACCATCTAATTTGTTCATTTAAGCAATTTATCTACTGCTTGATTACAATTGTCCCTATGGCGTATAAAAGTAACTCAACAATACAATTGTTGGTCTAGATAACGACCAACAGTAAGCAAAGCAACCTGCTGTTCTTAAGTGCTTTACATTGGTTCTTTTGGACACTTGTGTGTTTTACTACATCATGGCAACTAAGCATCGTGGATCAACATTAATCCAAGTCCCTCCACTGACTGTGAAAGGACTGAACAGTCAATTATAAACCCACCATTAGGCCGTGTCCAGAGGAAATCTAAAGCGATGTCCCAATTATCATTCAACACAGACTTTCAATTTAGTCCTGGGAAAGATAGTCAAGTCCATGTACAGTTGCCCCTCGCTAACTGGCAGAGTTTCTGTTCCTGGACTCAAAACACACTGAAAGAGATATTTCATCTCCAAAGCTAAGAGGGCTTATAATGTCTAGTACCTGGATGGCAAACAACATAGAAACCTTATTTGCATGGACATATAGAGAGCTCTGTGGACAAAGAGTGAAACACAAAACTTACAATACTTTAACAGTTCTACAAAATAAAAAGTTTCTCCATTCCCTACTGCCTGCTGTTTCGCCAAGTCCAATATCCTACAGAATGTGATCTGGTTGTTAGCAAGGGAATCATCTCTAAATGGAACAGAGTATATTTATTTCTTCTCATATATGAAAGCTTTTTCAGAGTGCATTACTTTGTGAATGAGAAGCGTGGTTGGGGATACCCTAGTCATACTTGGCTGAATGTGACCCAAGATTATTCCATAAATGTTGCCCTAAGCTATGATCAATGCAGCTACACTCTTAAGGAGCCTAAATGTAAATGTTCCTTCACACTCACATTTGTGTTCAGCTGAAAACTAACCTACTAGAGCTTTTACAACAAAAATACTTACTTCAAACAAGATAAGGAAGGAAAGGCGTGCTGCAAGAATATGCCAAAACTCAACAGTATGACTGTAGTCCTCACTGTTCCTATAATCTCGGTACCTACAGGAAGGGCAAAAGCAACACATAAATGCTGCAGTATGTATTGCCTATTACAAAAATCCAGTTATTTGTTTGAAACATGTTGTTTTTAGTGTCTTATTTTGACAACAAAGGATTGTGGTTGTCTTTGCTGCAACAGACTAACAGCCAGTGCTTTTTTTCTGGGGGAGGGACTCAGAGGTACGCATACCTCTAAACATTTTGTGAATCTTTGTACTTTTGTCCATTTACTATATTTATTTTTCCTGATTTGAACTATAAAATGGTGATTTTCTTGAGTCAAAATGAGAGTACCCCTAAACATTATTTTTTAGAAAAAAAAGCACTGCTAACAGCTATTTCTTTGGATGTTTGTCCAATGTTTGCTCTTATGGGGAATTTACTGATATTTGTTGTTTTTAACTTTTGTAAGCTGCTTTGGGGGCTTTTTGAAGCAGAAAAGTGAGGCTAAAAAAAAGTACTGTACAGTTTTCAGAAGCTAAATCAGATGGGAGAACAATAATCAGTACAGTTCAGTCATAAACTAGTACTAAGAGAGCACTGTCCTCTCTATCAGCTAGTAGGGCATCTAATACTGGGCAATACACGCAAGACTTTGAGATGTTAAAAGCAATCAAATGCTTCTTTCCCTGCTTGCCACTCCTTTCTGTCCCTCCTTCAAGAAAGTCTTGCTGCTACTTATATGAATGATGATGAGGTCTGTCAGCAAGCAGGGCTCCAACATGTCACTTGAAGTGGAGCCCCTCCCAGCCAATGTAATGATAAAGGACAGGATCAGAAGTAGAGCACTGGCAGGTTGCGTTTCCCAGCTAGCAGGTTCTGTGTTTCTGCCATGTCTACTCTGACACTGCAGTGAATATTGCAGGCAAGCCATGTTCCTCTCTTAAAGTGGAATTCATTTTCCTGCAACCACATCTGGAATTGGATCAGTAAACTGTGACTCCACACAGCATTTGGTTCAAACAGCACTCACTTTTGAGCATTATGTATCTTGGGAAAATATTTGTTGCAAACACACCTCAGGTGATCTATGGCTAATACTGTCTTCACAGATATAAACCAATATAAAGTGTTGATTTTCAGAATTCAAAAATAAGGCTTTAGTTACTTCCACAAAATTAACAGATTCTCCATCCCCCACCTCCCCTGGTCTTCATACATACACATTTGTGTGACTGCAAAGGGAAAAGAATATAATCTCCAGAGTAGCCCAATGCTAGGTTGAGTTTCTCCTCGCACACACACACACAAAAGTTCCAACAGATAACACAAGCTCTGTTGAAGGGATGGAGGACTGCACCAATAACAATTGGGCTGTGGAAGTTTCATTGCTAAAGCTGAGGGCATGGAAACATCACCATACATTTGCTAGTACCTGCAGTGCGTTATCACATCCCCCATGGGATCTTTACGTTCTGGCAGATTCTCATGGTTCGCAAAGTCCTGGACGTTGAACACCGAAAGACTGTAGTTGACATAACCTGCCAAACAACTATGGGCAACAACAACAAAATGTGACAATCAGATGGGGTGCAGTAGGGTCCCAGTTAAATTGTGCAGCTTAAAAGACTTTGGCAGGAAATAAAATAACAAAATGTCAGCAATTGCTTGAAATCTGGGCCTTTTGTTATTCAACTTGTTAGAATTTTTTTATTTGTATATATTTTAGCAAATTTTGTTTGACTAGTAAATGTAAATATGGAGAATATTTGTATTCTTAGTGCTAAATTTTACGTATTAAGTAATAAATTGAGAAGTTGGTGCTTTGTTTATGCACCTTAACTATTTTGTTAAGATTTCCAGTTGTGACCTTTGTCAAGTTTTGATTTGGTGCCTATCGGAAGAGCTTCATTTTATAAAAATAAAATATTTATTGAGTACCTATCCCTACAAAAAAGCTACAATACTCTTTTAAGACATTGGATTCTTAGGTGTTCTAATGGAGGAGGTACTCTTCTTCAGTGCAATACTTTCTGCCCACAATGCATTCAAGTAACATGATCCAATAAATTGAGTCTAAACATTTATGCAGCCTGTAAAGAAAGGAGGGGGGATAAGGTAGGGAAGTTGGATACTTAATCCCCCAACAACTCCTGGGTACAAACATCTTGAGTTGCAACAGGATGTTGAATCACCAGGGTAAAAAACTATCCTGCCAGGTAGTATTGCCAGAGCCCCTGTTAATCCCCCAACCCAAGCCAGGAGAAACTCAGGGGGTTTCTGGACGGACATCCTTGGGATTCACAAAAACAAGAGGCAAAAAGTCCACTTTTTGACTTTTGAGCCCCAAGCCCACAAATTGCTCAGTAGCATAGTACCAAGCAGCCAAGTACCAGATTTAGAGCCAAGCTTACTCCAATAAGGTACACCAGGATAAACACAAAACTTTATTAAGGAGGTTATAAGCACACACATAAGAACCCATTTCCAATAAGAAAGGACAATTAAGAAAAAGGCTAACAGTGTAAGTACACATTTGGGAATTCAAGCACAGAACAGAAAACAACAGAGCTAGCTTGCCTCACCCTAATGGACCGCATTGGACCAGCAAGCTGCATCCAGACACATGTGGATGTTGCAATCCATGAACTCCATCAAAATGGGGTGCCAAAATTAAAAAACAATTTTTATACAAAAAAAAAGCCCTGTATACAGAACAGCAGATACTGCTTAGTCAAGGAGCATACTCTCAGCACTAGATGGTGTATGTGCTGGTTGATCATGCAGCCAATCGGTTAATTTCTGAACAGTCACAGTGACCTTGATGCCATCTTACATTAGACACTCACAGGCAGCAAGATGAAACTAATTAATGAAACTTTCTTCCTCGATGAATACTGTATCCAGAATTCTGAGTAAAATCCCATTTTAAAATGAGCCAAAGAAAGGAGGATTAATTTACACAGCCTATAATTGAATAGTCTTCTATTTTTCTGTAGGGAGGATTCAAGAAACAGAATGAAATATATTGATTTTCTCTTTCTCACACACAGTATTCATAATATATGTTACACTTTTAAAATTGCCTCCTCCCTGCTTATCATACTTTGCCTCTTTTTGTCCAAAGAATTTGTCTAAATTCCTCCTCTGCCTTAACTTTCCTACCCTTTTCTCCCTCCACAATGCATCACATACTTTATGAATGGTCTCGTACACAAAGACCTTTAGCAACAGAAGCTGCTTGTGTTCCATAACAATAAATTAATCTCTGAAGTAACCCCACAGAGAAAAAAATATTCTCTATACATGGTGATATTCAGTATCACTTATCCTGCTAGCTTTAGCAAACTTTGCTGTTTAGCATCTGTCACATATAACAAGTGTACACACAAGTGCCACTGTATTCTGCCCTGGTCAGACCTCACCTGGAATACTGTGTCCAGTTCTGGGCACCACAGTTCAAGAAGGACACTGACAAACTGGAACGTGTCCAGAAGAGGGCAACCAAAATGGTCAAAGGCCTGGAAACGATGCCGTATGAGGAACGGCTAAGGGAGCTGGGCATGTTTAGCCTGGAGAAGAGGAGGTTAAGGGGTGATATGATAGCCATGTTCAAATATATAAAAGGATGTCACATAGAGGAGGGAGAAAGGTTGTTTTCTGCTGCTCCAGAGAAACGGACACGGAGCAATGGATCCAAACTGCAAGAAAGAAGATTCCACCTAAACATTAGGAAGAACTTCCTGACAGTAAGAGCTGTTCGACAGTGGAATTTGCTGCCAAGGAGTGTGGTGGAGTCTCCTTCTTTGGAGGTCTTTAAGCAGAGGCTTGACAACCATATGTCAGGAGTGCTCTGATGGTGTTTCCTGCTTGGCAGGGGGTTGGACTCGATGGCCCTTGTGGTCTCTTCCAGCTCTATGATTCTATGATTCTAAGAAGAAACTAACTGAATATATGCTATACTTGAAAGCTACCAAAAGGACTCAAATGACACTCACTCTTTGCCTGTGTAATTCTTCTGTATGCAGGGGCTAGATGTGTATTTGTACACCTGCATTGGAATGAAGTCTGAGGTGATGGCAATTACCATACCATTGCCAATGACAGCTAAAATACCAATTGCCTCCAGAATCAGCAACCAGGTACCTGCAACAGGGGAGAAAATAAGAGAAACACATTCCCTCAAGCAGATGGCATTTGCCTCAACTTTAATTAACCCTCCCTCCTCTCCACAATCTAACAATCTAATATCTTTGTCCAGAGGATTGGTCAACTTCTTGCTTTGGACAGGGTCATTTTCCCCCTGAAGGAGCAGATTTGTAGTCTGGGGTTGTTCCTGAATTCTTCTCTGACAGTAGAGGCCTAGGTAACCTCAGTGGCTAGGAGTGCTTTTCATCAAATTTGGCTGGTAAGACAGTTAGGGCCATTTCTGGCCCAGGATAACCTGACCACTGCCATCCATTTGCTTGTAAGTTCCAGACTGAATTTCTGCAATGCACTCTAAGTGGGGCTGCCCCTGAGGCAGGCCCAGAAGCTGCAGCTAGGGATACAAGAAGGCAAATGTTTCTGTTCCAACTTGTCTTCATCACAATGAGCACCATTTCCATTCCACTGCAGTTCAGTTTCTCCAAATACTATGTTATTCATCTTGCCTTCCGTAATTTAACGTAATTTATGTAATTATTTACAAAAGTTACACAAGTTATAAATTTACCATAATCAGTGATGTCATTATTTCCATACCATTCATTTCGATGGAAAGGAAACAGAATTTAAATGGACAGGGGGAGAAGGGTAATCAATTATGTATCATTTCTGAACTGAAAACAAAAAGAGCACAATTTGCTAGATTGATATATTTCCATTTCTGCTTTTTTGTTGGGATTTCCTGACATCCTTAGCTGCAACCACTGCAAAAATGCAGCAGCTCAATTGCTCATTGGAACAGAATACTGCCACCGTGTTAGTCCACTGCTGAAAAAACTGCATTGCTTTTCAATTTGCTACATTCAAGGTTCTGGTAAAGGTATATAAAACCCTATACGGCATAGGAGCGGGATACCTAGAAGACTGTCACACCCATTTTATACTCAATTGATGGCTGCACTCTGTAGGAGAGGGCCTGCTGTAAGTATCATCTCATCAGGAGGTCTGTTCCATGCAAAATAGAAATTGGGCCTTTAGTGTGGAGGCACCTAACCTTTGGAACTCCTTACCATTATGTATCAGACAAGTACAATCTCTCTTGCTTTTTGGCCCCTATTGAAGACGTCCTTTTTTCAACAAGTCTCTTAAGTGAAGATTTTTGTCCCAGTCTAGATCCAACATGTATTTTTTTCTGTTCTTTTAATTATAAAATCACTTTGGACTAGTTCATAGAAAGCGATTCATAAACAAAATGAAATAAATAAAATTAAATTAAAAGGTAGCTCAGTAGGTTAGGTTCCAGCCCCAGGCTCTAAAATTTGCAACTCAAGTTCCAGAGTCCCTTACATTGGGCTTCTCTCCTTGGCTCCTTTCCCCATTTTTATTGACTGTTGAATCCAGCAACTCACAGAACTCCTATGGAAACTGCCTCCTCTACATTTCTGTCACAGGTTTCTGTACAAGCTACACTGACGGTTTCTTAACGTCTTCTTCCCCCTAGAGTTTCGTGGTCCAAGTATAGCTTGAGTGGCAGAATGCACTTCATCTACCCCAGTGCCCCGGAAACCTGTACATAGTCTTTCCTCCCCCCCCCCCCCCCGAGTAAGCTCTTAATTCAGCTCCTTCCCTGCGTAATCTACCACTTTGAAAAGAGTTAAGTATGACCACTAATAATATTGAGGTAAAATGAAAGCCTCTCCTCAGTGGTCTGAAGTAGAAGCCCCTCTCCTTAATCCTCATCTTACCAATATCATTTGCTGTCCTCGGAACCATACGCCTCTGCAATCTCACCATCTTGATAGCATCTAGTCGAATTTCTATGAGATTGTTGATAAAGGCCAGGAGTGGAGCAAGGGGAAAGGCAGCCACAAAAATAGTGGTGAAGCTGTACTGGATCACTGAGGATTTAAAAAGAGAACACTGAAAAGAGGCAGCAAACAAAAGGAGAATGTTTAAGTCATTATTACATTTGCTGGGCCAGAGTTTGCACATAGCTTCTAAAACAATATAAGTAGTTAAGAGACATTTAAGGAAATGGAAATTTCAGAACAGCAAGAATTGGGTGTCCTAAGTATCTTAAAAAGCTAAGAAAAACTATTCAAATCAGCAAAAGTGAATAGAATATATGAAGGATGCTAATAGGCCAGTGTGAGGAATTTTTCAGTGTTTGTTTTTAATTGCATAGAGGAAACAGAGTCCTGTTGCAGGCCCTAACATTCTCTTTGTAATCTAGATAGAACAAGCATATACATTTTTCAGTGAGCTAAAGTTTTGATAGAAGCAGTGTTCATTTTTTACGCACATACATCCAAACTATCATCTCTATTCAAAGATTTCAGAAACCTGTTTGACCCAAGGCAATAGAGGGAAAGGAAAAAAATGGCTGTACAACTGTTATAACACTCCACTTCAATCTCTTTGAAAACCATCAGCCAATCTAGTTTGGCTAAATACCTAACTAGCTTACTAATGTAATGGGAGTGCCAATGACAGAATGTTGAGTCCTGTCCCAATTTAGTCTAGCATTTCAGTTGAATTTCACTTACTCATCTCCAGAAATTCATCAAACAAACTGAAGACATTGACTTCATTAAGGTTATAGTTCCATAGCCATTCCTCCTTGCATGGGTCCCGAGCACTCTCCTCCATATGAACCCTGTTGTTGCTTTTGGGATTTCTGAACAGCAGTTTGTACTTGTAGCCTATCCAGCTGCAGGGGTAAACACAAGTGTAAGCGAGATAAAACAAGTTTCTAAGTACAAGATCTGTAAGCTGTCAAAGAACTATAAGAGGACAATAATGTAGTCCATGCTGGAGCTCCCTTTACAACAAGGGGCAAACTGCCCTGGGTCTTCAACTTATTGATCCATATTGCCCAAAGTCAGTGCAACAAACAATGTTGCATATGGAAATATTCCCCAAGTCTTCATAGGCGAGTCTTGGCCACACTCCACCCTGCCTTACTCTGGTCCTGTATCCTGTTCCTACTTCTTAATTCCCCTAAGTACATGACTGAGTGAAAAATTCCTGTTTCCAGCATGGTAAGCATAGTTCCCTGGGAAGAGGGACTGTTTGGTAAGCAGTTTTGGAAATTGCAGCTCTTTGAAGGGGATAAGAATCTCTTAACAACTCTTAGCATCCTTAAACTACACTTCCCAGGATTCTTTGGGGGAAGACATGACTGTTTAAAGTGGTATGAAACATGGTCAAAGAGAAAATTATATGAAAATGATATACCAATGGTATCTAACACCGAGGAAATTGGCAAAAATGTATAAATCTAAATTAAATAAGTGTTGGAAATGTAAAAAGAAAGAAGGTTCTTTTTATCATATGTAGTGGTCTTGTAGTAAGGTTAAAGCTTACTGGGAAATGATATATAATGAAATGAAAAGGATGTTTAAAATAACATTTGTAAAAAAAACAACAGAAGCCTTTCTTTTGGGAATTATAGGGACAGAACTACCTAAACTGTACAGAAACTTATTCATGTATGCTACTACAGCAGCAAGAATGTTACTTGCCCCAAAATGGAAATAAGCAGAAGTTCCAGCAAAGGAAGAATGGATACAAAAACTTATGGAATATGCAGAAATGGCAAAACTTAACAGAAGAATAAGAAATCAAGATAACAAACTTTTAACAAAAGAATGGGAATGGTTTATTGAATATTTACAGATTAATTGTAAACAAATAAGAACATTGGTAGGATTATTGTAATAGCCTGCATTTTCATAAGAGTATATATTTAAAGAAGATGAATAAATGAGCAAATATGCAGAAGATATTAAAAATAAATTTAAGGAACTGCAGAAAGAGGGGGAAGGAAGTCAAGCTTGGAAATGTCAAAATGATTGTAAAATCAGTGAAATGTATAAACCTGAAAAGTATAAATAAAAAAATTAAAATAAATAAAGTGGTATGAAACAGCTTTAAATGTATAGTGCCGATATGGCCTCTTAGGCCTCTCCCCAAGCCACAGACAGGTCACACCCTTCTCTAGTCCTGCTCCACACCCTCTTCAAGTGCTTATGTAGGTGGGTGTAGAAACCTGTGACTCTTAGCATCGCACAGCAGGTTATATTCCACTCAAGAGTCACATCCGCTGCTCTACCACTTTTGCTTCTATAGCCCCTTCACACTACTTGCATGTGGCCCCCTAAAGATTGTCCGTAAGAGAATGTGATCTTTGGACTGAAAAGGATTCTTCACCATTTCCCTGTCCTAAATTAGATGATTCAGACAAAAGCCAGGCCACATCTTGCCAGAGAACAGAATTCCCAACACACCAAGCCATTAGCCAACCTGATCTGAAGAAACAGAACTGCTCCCTAGTCCCAAGTGCAGCAAGCTCTGACTTTCCACAAGGGCAAAACACAATTCACCAAATATTTCCCACAAAATTGTTATACTGGCACACAAGCCAACCCCATACTATATTCTCACTCCAGCTGTGGCAGTCTGTGATGCTCCAGGGGAAAAGAGGTCCTGGATCTAACCCCAAGGACCAGATCATGCTAACTATGCTGACTTACGGCAACATGAACTCCACAAAGTTACTCAGTGTTTGCTTTAATGTCATGATTACGGCCATCTGGATGAAGAGATCTACAAGGCAGCCGCTGGGGTGGCACTGGAAAGAACAAGAGAAAGAGAGTTTGCCTCTGAAGGTCACTGATTCCAAAGTCATTTTTAGGTACTTGCAGTTTAAAAATTCTCACAGAGCAACTGCCAGGAAAGGCTGCATGCCTGCATCATTGTAATGTGATGCAATGCATCAACAGTAATGCAAAGCTCTAGGGAATTTCCACTATTCATTTCATGTATCTCAGATTCATACCTCTCTATATGTATATTGAGCTCACACATGCTTGCTACCATTTTTTTGGATGTATTTTTTGTAATGATAGGACTTTTAAAAACTTTTTGAGGTTGTATTTTAAATGGTTGTAACTTGCCCTGGGACTTTGGGGTAAAGGGCAGACAATAAATTAAATAATAATAATAATAATAATAATAATAATAATAATAATAAATTCATATAGTATAGTAATCTCTGGATGCAAACAGAATGAAGTAAGTGTGAGCTATGAGAACCAGAATGGTGGTCTGCTTGCACTGAATATAATAATGCCCCACAAACTTATTAGTCATTACATTTTTAAACTGTCTTCAACCTGGGGATTCCTAGGAAGATGGATTAGAAAATATTTGGGGAAGATGAAAGAGAAGGCCTGGGCAATTATTTTAATGAACAGGACACCAGGTGGGGAGGTAGGGGAAGACATCATTGCAACAAAGGAACTTACTTCTTCCAGTCTCCACTTGCCGCCCACACGTACATAGTCCCCTGGACGACCATTAATCCTAACAAGAAAGTACAATTGAGATACAGTCAGTTCCTAATGCTATTTATAGTTTTGATAACCACACAATTTGGAAGATATTAGTCACAATGAGTAATGAAGATGCAGTAGAGCTAAAAAACAGCATCTCAACCAACAGAAACGAAAGTAGTAAGAATGACAGAGAGCAAGGGTGGCTGTTAGAGTTACGGATAAACACTCTGTTTTTAGAACACAGGCCTTCAGTTTTGTCAGAGATGCACTACAGTAAGCAAAAATGGAGGACTAACACATTGCCTCTGTATCCCCCTTCTCGCAGCATGATTCATATAGCAATTTTAAAATAAATAAAATGCCCTATTAGCCCTCACACAAACTATGGAAAGAAAACCACCATTGTTCCCTTTTTATAGCTGCACATCTGAAGCAGGAAGAAAGTGGTAAAGATTTAATTCAAATCCAAGTCACCTGATCCAAATTTAACACCCTCACCAGTGGGCTACACTGAACTCTCCATTCTTTGCTATTTGCGTTTACCTCCCAAGGAAGAAAGCAACGTAGATCACGGAAGAGAAGTGGGTGAAGAACTGGAAGGTGAAGAGTTTGACGGTGAAGTTTTTCTCACGCTCAGTGAATGTTCTTGGTTTCTCTGGAAATAAGATAATGGACACCAAATTTAGCTGTGGCACCTGACATCCCATTCTTATTTTTATGTATGCCTTATTCTATGCACCAAGTCACAAAATGCATTCATGATAGGGCAACCTTTTACTTATCAAGTTGAACATATTTCATATAGATGAAATAATGTATATATATCATGGATATTTTCTTACCCATATCACAGAGGTACAGCGCTACATGTCTGTTCACCTACAACAGACAAGAGGCAAACAAAGCAATATGATACACCAGAAAACAACTGCAAGACAGATTGCTGGAAAATATCACTGTTTGCTCCATACCTTGCTCATTATGATGATAGTTAAATAATGCAACACAGCCCCTGTCATCACTGCCATGGTACTGGCTCGTTCTCGGAAAAATTCTGAGTCAGACTGAGTAAAGATGACTGTCACCACGACCCTATAGATGACAAGTGCATGGGCAATACCAATAATCACGCAGATCTATAAGGCAAGAATGTATTGTTAGAATTATAAAGCAGCTGGGGCTGTGCAGGAGGCAGTAAACAACAGGTTAATGCCCCCACTGCTCTAGAGCAGGCAGGATCACATGGCATCAAAATGATTGCCACTGCCAGCTCCTGAGTCTTTAGACGTTTACGTTTTAAGTGTGTTGTAAAGTGCAATATACAAATGTGACACTAGATGGCAATGGTGAGCTATGGCAAATTCAATACATTTTCCAAAACTTTTTTTTAAGCATTTTCACAGCGTTTTTCATATGTGTGTAGATTCCACCTTTGTCTCTTTCTCCAGTTCTGATGCATCCAAGCCAGAGACAGAACAAGCAGGCAACAGATGAACAAAGACAAAGGCAACCTAAGAAAGGAACAATTCAAAGTAATCCCCTGACCTAACATGACACAAACCAGTGGGACTTGTCTAAGCTAAGCCTGATAAGGGATGGACATGGCAAGTGGCGCTCCTAGCACGGCAGGAGTACCTGTCATGCCAAAGCACACTGGTCAATTTTGTGGAAGATTCAGTCAAACCTAACAATGCCTATTTTCTAGTTAATATATGATGGGGTTAAGGACCACAGAGTTCTTATTGCTAGAATAGACTCAGTTAGGCCACACCTAACAGGAAGCCTGTTCCTGTTCCCCTCTCTCTCTCTCTCTCTCTCTCTCTCTCTCTCTCTCTCTCTCTCTGCTTGCTGTGCCTTAACTTAGGTCGCAGACATGTGTCTGCGTTATACTTGCATTATTTTATTGTTGCTGCATGAAGAAAATGCATGTTGGAGATCAAGAAACTGCACATAAACCATTTTAAACTTCCTTTGCAGTCTGTGGTCTACTTACTGAAAAAGGCAGTCAGCTGCTAAATGCAGCTGAATGCAATAAATAATGTTTAATAGTCTATAAACCTATGCTTCACTAAACTGCTTGAGGATGGGAATTAAATTCTGCTAGGGGCTTTCTTCCACCGGAAAGATAGCAAAGCACCACATTTTAAAAGCAGGCACCTGGCATTGTCCTGACCCTGCATCAAGTTTTGGAGATGCAGCACAAGATCCTGACTTTTTAGAAAAACAATTTTTTGAAGCTTTAAACTAGGTGTTGGGAACCTTTGGCCCTCCAGATATTTCTGAACTACAGTTCCCTAGCAAGCAGAACCAATGGCTACAGATGATGGGAGGTGTAGCTATGCAACATCAAAGGTTCCCCTTCCCTAATTAATCTGCTAAGAATGATACTGTTGATTGTTCTTCAATGGGAAAGCTACACAGTATTTAACCATCTGATTTCTGCTCAGATTATATACTCATTCTGGAGGTATTTGTCAAAACTTTATTCCCACATCTTGTAAAACACTAGGAAAAGAACATATGTGATGCTTGCTATGCTGCATTATAAAGAGACATGAAATAAAAAAGCACAAGAAGTCTTCTGAAATATCCGCTTTCCTGCAAATGAAATTTTCCAATCTCAACTCAAGAATTTTGCCCCTTGTGCTGTAGGGTGGCTTAACAATGCACCATACACAAACCAACATTTAAAATGCATACCAGAAGTGCACTACAAAAATAGTAACCACATACCATAAGCCCAACTAAGATGAGTACAACAGTGCTGCGGATGTAAGAATGCTGGTGCAGTGGGGAAGCCGTTTCTGGGTTATTGATGAGTTCCATAGCCAGTTCCTCCTAGAAACAGAAATACAGCCACACTGACAGGTCCTTAGAATTCATAACTTCTTTGGCTCATAAGAGGAGCCATGGGTTAAAATATTTCATGAACACCATCCCTCACGGCTCACCTGTTTTGTGATTCTGGCAGCAACAACAATCACATTTGCTGCTGATGCTGGGTGCAAGATGCTAGTATGGAGAGAGAAACCATTGCCCTTATTTCAATTTGACTGTGATGACGTCTGCATCCAATGAGATGATGATGACTGAAACCAGAATTAAAGTGAAGACAATGTTTCCTCCTTCACACTGGCATTTTGTAGGTTTAAAAAACAAACAAAACCACAATATCTAACAACAATGTGAAGTCAGATTGCCACTACTGCCACGTTTGGCCCTGACCTTGCCTGTTTGCAAGACGCCTCACAAAATGGCTAAAATAACCTCAACCCCAACCTCTGAACAAGTTGAGGAGGGAAATACTCCAGCTACTACTGAGATCCCCTGGCAGAATTATGACTCTTTAGGACTTTTGTATCCCTTCTGACCTGGATTTGAAACTATTTTAGCCACCTGTGCCAAATTATCTGCAGCGTTTACTGGGAAACTTTTTCTGTCAAAACTGAGATATACCCAAGTTAGGGTTGCCATATTTCAAAAAGTGAAAATCCGGAAACAAAAGTTGTTGAGCATTTGTTTGCACTTTTAAAAAAGTTTTTGAGCTATTTTTAAGAAACTTTGCCAAAATCTACACTCCCAACATGGGTCACCATGGCCCCTGTTAACAATTTATTTATTTTTAAAGTAGTCTCCTTGACATCAGTGACAAACCGTTGTCTAATACTGAGTCTAGCCCAGAATTCATAGAATCATAGAGTCATAGAATCATAGAGTTGGAAGAGACCACAAGGGCCATCGAGTCCAACCCCCTGCCAAGCAGGCAGAATTGTTTAAGAGCTCTCCAGTCAGTTGTTCCCAAACTAGATATCCAGACTCCACAGTGGCTCCCTAAAGATATATCTATGGTAGAAATGCTATTTTGTGAAGATGAAGATGCTGGAAGGCTTCAGGCATGATTTCTTGGTGATGATGCAGAGCAGAGGTCTCCCAGGAGCCAAAGTGCAATGGCAAAATGATTGGAAAGTTGGGCTCAAGCCAGTGCCACCAAGAATTGGTTGCTGATATAACAAAAGGTACTGATGCCCTGCAGGTGAAGATCATGACCCTTGAAATCATATCAAGTCCAAAGGGCAGGACCCAAACCTGAAGAGATTTTCCTCACACCCATGGGCAGCAGTAAATACATTTCTTCCTGTTCAGAACAAGAGTAGGACTGCCACAGTGAACATATATATAAAGATGGCTATATGAAAGAGTTAACCTTACCTCTTCTTCATCCCACAGATACAACTTCCAGTTACTGACAACTTTAGCTCTCCTTCTCTTCCACAACTCCAAGAATACAGTGGCTATAAATTTAGAATCAAAACACAGAATTGAATATATACAGGATAACAAAATCTGTCTGTCTTCTTACAGGGGTCCCTCCACTCAACTATAGGCCAGTCAGCTTTATAGTGTGCAGGAAATAAGAGAAAGATAGCTTGAAATAAATCCAGCAATTCCAAAGAGAAGATCTAAACAAAGGGCCTTTCAGAGTATGAGTCATGATGAAATTAATCTCAGAAGGACCCCGAAGGATCTATATTATATCAACTAACATTTATGTGTTTTCTAGAGTTACATTTCATTCTTAGATGCAAAAATACGCTTTAGCCACATCTGTGTTGAATATTGCATACATTTTAAGAATGGGGTTTGTCATAAAACTTAGAACAGGTTCTAGATCAACCTATGCTAAAGCTTACCCCAGACAGCCATGAATATTGCAAAGAGAACTGTCCCTTCATTGTCAAGCAAGTGGGTGACCTAAATTGTAAAGGAAAGAAGTAAGAGTCACTGTTGCAGGGAGAGTCCTAACGGCAAAAAAAGAAGTCACTAGGTGTGCTGAGGAAAACTGTGTTTGAAACAACAACTTTCTGCTGAAAAGCTGTACCCATTGAAAAATTGGGACATAATGAGAGGTGTATAAGGAATAAAAGTGGGGTGTTCACTACCATTCAGGCACAAGTACAGGGAATATCTAGATTGGCAAAGGAGACAAAGTCTCTAATATCTCTGTGTACTCTCTGAGAGATTCTTCTTAATCTTCACAAAGCAATCATAATCAACAGTTTATGATCTTTTACATCCTTAGTAGTGGGCAACGTTAAAGGACTCCACAACAAGAGACAAATAATATACATTTTGTAGGTTAATCTTACCTGGGCATATGTGCAAGTTTCTGACAATGGCCAAAAAGGGCACTTCTGGTCACAGAGTGGACACATCATAGTAGTATTGGCTGCACAGATTTCCTTGCTAAATCAGGAAGGGTAGCAGAGGATATAGAGAGTGATTTGCCCAATGTTTATCCAACTTAACAACAGGGCAAAGGCAGAGCAGTACACAGAACTAATAGACAGTCTTCTTTGCCCACATCCTATCAGAACAGGTGAGGAGATACAAGCCAATTTGTTATCCCCAATTATAACACCCACAATTTCCATTACAGATAGCAATCACAGTGATCAATGCCATGTTCTTGGATGTGTAGCAGGTCAATACTAAGGCAACAATTATTAATCTTATTTTATTTATTCACTTCTTTATTTGATTTATATACCACCCTTTATCCAAAAATCCTAGGGTGATGTACAACATTATGAACATAATTTACACAGCATAATAATAAAAACATAATACAGAGCATAAAATACTAAGCATAATAATAAAATCATCATAACAACAGTACCCATCAGCACCTTAAACAGGCCATAGGTAATTTAATGGCTGAAGGCCTGGATAAAGAGGAATGTTTTCGCCTAGTGCCTAAAGACATGTAATAATGGTGCCAGGCAAGCCTCACTGTGGAGAACATTCCACAGATGGGGAGCCACCACAGAAAATGTCCCTTATCATGTTGTCACCCTCTGAACCTCTAAGGAAGCGGGGACATAGAGAAGGGCCTCAGATTATAAACGCAGGGTCTGGGTTGGTTTGCATGGGGAGAGGCAGTCCTTAAGGTACTGAGGTCCTGAGCCGTGTAAGGCTTTATAGGTTAGCACCAGCACTTTGAATTATGCAGCAGCCTGTCTTAGTCCAATATGATATTACAACCAAAGCAAATGAGGACTGCAGCTACATGTTGTTGTTGTTTGACTCTATCACATTTATATTCTGCCTTTCTTTCATGGTGGAATCAAGATGGAATATATGTATTCCCAGGTGGCCTCAGATCCTGCCATTGGTAATTGCTGCTTATCTTCAGCAAGGTTGTTACATTGTCATTTGCCAAAACAATCCTGCCATAATCTCGCAAGTAGCAGCCACAGACAGGCCAAAGTGTATGATGCAAAATTATATATTATTCTATCAGTGCTTACACGCAGGCCCATGCGGTGGGAGGGGGGAAGCCAGGTACACTTGTCCCAGGCCTCAGACAGCTGAGCTGGCCCTGGGCTTCAGACAAGCTTGCATGGGCCTGCTTACACTCTCTGAGGTGCATACATTCTTTTACAAAGGCATGCAAAGACTCATGAACATTTGTGCACACAGGTGGCTTGCACATAGCTCACCAGCTTCCATATGCAAAGCTTGTTTTCTCATAATGTTTACTCACCTGATCTGACTCGAATTGAAGCTGATTAACCCATATATGGCAAGGATAATGCCTGGCACAGCAGCCACGAACAAGATGCAAGTATACCAGCCCAACCAGGCAAAATAAAGGGCAACTTTTTCTCCAAAATATGTCCTGGAAAGCAAACACAAAAGCTTGATGCTATTATCAAAAGAGCAATACTTGCCTTAATGTAACTAGGGGTGGGGAACCTGTAGATCTCCAAATGTTGTTGGACTCCAACTCCCATCAGTCCTAGCAAGCATGGCCAATAGTCAGAGATGTAGTCCAGCGACATGTGGAAGGCATTAGCTGCCTCTACAAAGATCAGCCAGTTTATCAGGTACTTGCTACCATCCTTCCACATTTATTGCAAATGATTCTAACACCCAATAACTTCTTCCAGTGGGGGTGGGGTGAGAGTAGGGAGGGAGGGATTAAATATTATTCCAGTTCAATTCCCCTCTTGTACATCAAGTTCAAATTTACTAGATGGATTAATGTGATGAGACCTTTCTAATAGTGGTTTCTGCACTTCAGAACATCTTCCCTACCATTAATAGGGTGAGGAGTTTTGCATTATTTTCCCTTACCTGATTTTTTCAATTGGCTGTCTATAGAGGATGTCTCTCCATCGGGCCCAATTCATCTTCAGAAATGCACCCAGATTCTCCCTCTGAATTTAATATGGTTATATGTATTAGATCTCTTGACAGATTATATAAATTTTCCCTGACCTGCTGTCCTCCTGATTTTTTTGGACTACAACTCCCATCAACCTTAACCAGACTAGTCAATGATCACAGAGTTCAATACTGAACAGAAATGCTAATATATCTCCTAGGATTATGCTCTTCTTTGTTGATTATGTTTAACTATTTGATTTATTTTCGGATATATTTAGTTTAGTCAGGGGAGAATTTCACTGAGACAAAGTCTGGGAAGAAAGGATTAAAATCTCTCCACCCCATGATTCTGCTGTTGTTTCCCCTGCTCCTATGATTTACATTTTTTTTAAAACATTCACATTAATTGCATTCATATAATTAACGTTAAGTCTAGCTTGGCCTTCAAATTTTCTCACCTCATGTAAAGGAAATGCTGTTTCAAAGACTTTCTTCTTTATCAGATCATGAAGGTTCTCTAACAGTGCAGGGCAGAAACAAGAGGACGACAAAGACAAAAAAGACAGTTTTTACAACATACTTCTGAACCTATAAACCAGGGCTAGACACTCAAGTATTTATGGTTATCTTGAAATGAAGCAGCAAAAGCCAATCACTTATACGTCTGAACAGGAACACAGTCTTTTTAACACAGGTTGCAGCTGTTTCAGGTACCTAGAAAGCTGTCTGTCTCCTCAACCTGTGTTCTAAATGTGACCACAGGGTGGCATCATGAGAATGGGCCTTCTCTGCAGTGGCTCCCCATTTGTGGAATGCTCTCCCCAGGGAGGCTCAATTGGCACTGGGCAAAAACATTCCTCTTCACCCAGGTCTTGGGGCTGATTAAACAATCTATAGACTTTAAAATGTGCTGGGGGCTATTGATTATTATTGTTGTTGTTGTTGTTATGTTCTGTTCTGTATTGTGTGCTTTTATACTGTAAACCACCCTGTGATCTTCATGTGCAAGGTGATATATAAATTTAATAAATATTAATAGCATATATCTTGCCATTTAAATGTAGGTACTTTTTGCACCCAGGCTTTAGATTGTAAAATATTTTTTGGGTAGTTCTGAGTGGGAATTTAGACCAGGGTTTCACAGGTAAAAGCATCACACTATGGCCAACTGATTATACCAACACAGGTCTGTTGCAAAGCAAGCACTGAGCTGTAAGTGAAAACTGGCGTAATAATATTTTTGCTAGTTAAATCTTTGTGTGTGTGTGTGTGTGTGTGTGTGTATGTGTGTGTGTGTACTCTCAGCTCATCACAGGTTGATTAGCAGCCAGATGATTGCTTAAATAATACTCATGCAAAAATGATTGTATGTATACAAATACAAGATTGTGTAGTAAACAGCACTTATGGTCTTAATTTTACTTGTAGAATGGATACAGCAATCTGGAGGGGAAAATACATTGATTGTCTCATATAAACAAAGAGAAAAATCTTCCCATACCTTTGGTGCTTTGAATCTTTATGTTCTGCAGGATAAAGCTGACAATACGTATTCTAAAACACAGAATTGAGAATAGCAAGAACAGACTAAATTTACCAATGGACAGCAAAAAGGAAGTGCAGCTATCCCTATCCATGTCAGGAAAGAAACTTATGCCTGATAATGCAGTTCTTAAAAGTAAAGGTCCTTTAAAAAGGCAGCAACTCTAATTTGTCCAGCACACGCAGTGGAAAGAATAATATGTAGCACTAGCATGGATAGGATGCTTCATACTTAAGTGGTTATCAACCACTATCACTTTCAGCCCCTAATCCTTGACTATAAGGTTTCAGATAAAAGCCTACAATTGGCACAGTATTCTCCATGCGGACACAAACCTGAATGTTTCTTCCTGAATGTTTACACACAGTGATATGGAAAAAGTAATTGTAACCATGTGGGGAACAGCTCCTTTCAACTGGAATGTTTCAAAATGGGCTTTGGCTAGTGCTGGAGTAGGTAAACTTTTTCAACCAAAGGGCTGTGTTATCTCATGGAGAATCTTCAGGGGCAGTGGAAGGTTGGCAGAGACAAAAATGGGTAGAGCAACAAGTGCAACTCTTACCTTTATACAGCAGGCTACATTCTAGCCATGCAAGAGTGTACACACAACTCCATCTAGGCCAGCAAGAAGCATCATCACAGTTCAAGAGCACACACTAGCCAAGCAAAAACACTGGAGGATGCATAGTGGGGAGGGGCACAGACTGAGGATGCCCAATGCCCTAATAAAAAGCACTTGCCCCTAGGCCTAAAGTTCCTTTACCTGTGCATAGCAGCTGACACATGTACAGTACTAGAGAGTGGGGTTAGGGGATATTTTTTACCTTGTTGTACTCATCAATTCCCAATAGTCCTCTTCCTGCACTCCAGATATTACTTCTGAATCGGTGTCAACATTCTTCAGAAGCCACTGGTACTTTCTGAACATTACACTTGGGGCGTGAACTCCATAAAAGAGCTTTTCATCTTTAATCATCTAAGCAATAGAGAGAATAGGGAGAATAAAGTGGAAGGAATAATGCATCATGGACTGTGAGAGGGACTGGACGGGTATTTTCCAGTTGCTGCTTGATCAATTCAGTACATGGGTCTCATTTGAAGAGGTGGTTCAGCATCAAACAGCTGACTTCAAGGCACACTCCCAGAGCTGAAGGGGCTTGCTGTAATCATTTGGAGGAAGCTGTTTGTATCAAACTGCCTTGTCAAAGCAGAACATTTTTCCCTCAGCAGATGCCTCCAGAGGGAGAAAAAAATGTCCATTTGGAGGAAGCAGTTTTAATCCAAACATTTTCCTCCAAACAAAGTACCAGTATACGGGGTACAGCATGAGACTCTTAATCTCAGTCATGGGTCCGAGCCCCACGTTGAGCAAAAGAGTACTGCACTGCAGGTGGATGGACTAGATGACCACCAGCGCCCCTTCCAGCTATACATTTCTATGATTCTGTCCCTCTGTTTGGCCTCAAACCACTTCCTCTGCACAGGAGGAAATGCTCCATTTGGGGAATGAGGAAACATAGTATTTTTTCCTCTCTTGCTCCAAACAGAGAAAGTGAGCCCTGTTCTCCCGGCATTAATTCTATCCTCAGCAGGGTAGGGCTACAGGTCTCTTGCCAGGAAAGACCCTCAAATGCTGGCATCGGTTCCATAGCTAGAAAGGTTTTCAAGAACATGGTGCTGCCTTGTGCTTGGGAAAATGTAAGTCTCACCTTGATAATGAACCCTTTCCTGTACAGTTCGTCCAGAAAACTTTTCTTCTTCTTATCTTTCTCGCTGTTGAGGCTGTGATCATCACAAACTAGGACAAAATCCCATTTGGTTGGAAACTAGTCAAAGAAAATAACAAATTGTATCAACTCGTAGAATGATGCAAAAGTTTCTCACTCCCACATATATACATGATCTGTAAATATTTCCCTTCCAGTAGGCACTGAAAGATCACCTTCCCCATTAGCGTACTTTCCATCTAACATACTCATCTCACATACATGACAGTCCTCCTGTCCCGCAGTCACACTTCCGTTAATCTCTGCCATGGGAGAAAACTACAACTCCCCACAAGAACTACTTAGATCCAGTAGTGAGAGTTGCTTTGCACATCTTGCCTCAGCAAACTACTGTTTGCCACCAAGCATATACTTGGCAGGGAGCTGTCAGGAACAAGCCCCATCTACTGAGCAACAGGATAATTTAGCCACCATAAGAAAAAAAAACATGTCCTTGGTACGATTCCCCCTGCCCCAGTCTTCTCCACACATCCCCATCCTATCTGCAAAGCTTAATAGTTTTAAAACACAGACGTGCTTGCACTTATGCAAGATTTAACGTACTGCCACCAGTCGTACTTGAAAGTCGTTTCCATCGAATTCCGCTTGAGAAATGATTATGTCCAAGCGGAGACGGCAGCATTGAATCAGTAGTATATGTACTGCTAGCTTGTTCTCTTTATAAAAATCTGCATATGAAGTTATTACCCCTCTCCTATTATCTATACCAGCTCGTTCATTTACTGCTACAGTGTCCTTCCTTCTTGCAGACCAAGATTACCAGGTGACAGCAAACATGGCAAAAGATTTAGCTGAGGCAATCAGAATAAGATCTACCAAATGACTAACCCGCTTAATGCCTGTTAAGAAAGCCCATTCATCCATATGTTTTATTTGTGGTCAAGGACAGTTATTAACTCTTTTATTTATATAGTTGTAAATTCTTAGAATGTATTTTGTATAGCCAACCATCTAGCTATATACTGTATGTATTTTATTTCTTTGCTATGGCTTATGGCTGATGCAAGTAAAGATTTTATCTATCTACTTAGCAAGTGTACTTAAATTTAATACATGTATTTAGAAATATACATTTATTCCAAACCTACATTGCATTTTCACGTGCACATGTCAAACATATTATAGGTATGCTTTAAAAATGTTGTCTAAGTATTCCTGGGAATAAACAGGAGAGACAAAAGTGGTGTTAGTTCTCAGTCTCTGTGTAACATAATCTAAGCCCTCCATACTTCTCAGAAAGCATTTGATCTGTGACTGGGGCTTAATAAGGGGTTTTTATTGCTTTAAGAGATTTTTATTACATTAAGCATTATTATTAAGCAGTGTATTTTTAAGAAGAAAGAAAGGTTAAGAGAGGAGTTAATTTGCTGTTGCTTCAATGATAATGATAATAATAATAATAATAATAATAATAATAATGTCAGGGGTTCAGGGACAGAGGCACAGGGTAGGCAGGAGATGGAGAGCGATCGGGATGAATCCCAGGACAGCGAGGAAGAGGATGACAATGACTCAAGAGATTCCATGAGTCTTTCCAGCGAATCAGAGGATTCCCAGAAGGGGGCGCCGGTGGTCAAGGCCAGGGGAGCCCCAGGGGGGACGTGTCAGGAGCAGGGGGCCAGCGGGGCATCCCAAAGTGGCAGCTGGGCGTCAGGACCAGCCTCCCCACCAGAGTGCAGCGAAGGGGGTGGAGGTTTCAGTGTATCAGGGGAAGCGGCTCCGGCAGCAGAGAAAGGAGGGAGGTCGGAGCAAGCCACCCTCCCGGAAGGGGAGGGGAGTAGTGAAGGGAGTAGTGTAGCTGTTAAAAGGAAGGTTAGAGGCTGGGCGCGCGCGCCAAGTTCAAATGTAGAGGCGCGCGGAAATACAGGGAGCCCGGAGGAGGGGCCAGGTCCCAAAGCCCGCAGGAGGGGGCAAGAGCAGTCTGATTCCGCGTCAGAGGAATCCAGGAGAGGCGAAACCCCAGCGGGCAGAAGGACCCTGCAGAAAAGGAAAGAGAGAAAGAGGTGGAGCAGCGCAAGCCTCTTAAACTGGTGCAGGGGAGGGACGGATTTAGAGGGGACTTCAGCGGTCTAAGCGTAGCAGACGTAGGGCTGCGCGCCTAGGATGTCAAGCAAACAATAAACTGCAATAAACACTTTTGTATATAAGAAGAGATAGGCGTTGGTCTTTTGTGAGCTGAGACTTGAGGCAGCCCTGACAAATAATAATAAATTTTATTTATATCCCGCCCTCCCCAGCCGAAGCCGGGCTCAGGGCGGCTAACAACAATCCATGTGGTTTATATATATATAAAAAATTGGACCTGCCTTTTTGTTGCATTCCATCCAACTAATTTAGACTCCAAATTAAATAGGACTTATTTTTTACTGTAAATGTTGATGATATACTATACCCTGTATTCATAAACAATATAATTTATGGCTAGGTAGAATTTTAAAACAGATTCCTACAGCTACAAAGAAGAAAAGTATCATTATACTGGTGATTTTGTAAGTGAGTGAGCTCACGTTGAGAGATTTGATACAATATTTGTGACAAAACTGAAAATTTTGTGTAATCATGATCAGCATTTTTCTTACACCTCAGATATTTGGGCAATTGACACCTATGTACTGAGTGCACCTTCATTCACACATGAGCATGTTCAATTTTATGCCTCCAAAATCTTGTATGTTCTCTTCTGTCTCTCTCTTCTTCCACTTAGTTTTCTTTTCACGTGAAGTTACTGGAAAAAAGTGGCCAGGATGCTGAACTTTTCTTCTACAGTCTCATTTTTTCTTCTTCTTCCTACTATCTATCTTGTATTGCTATGTCCCTATACTTTATTTTTCATGCTAGTAACTCATTTCTCACACAAAGCTAACATATGTTCTGTAGTTGTCATACCAACTGCCATTTTCAGCTGTAAACAACTGTCTCCCAACTGTCAGTCTCCCTTTCCCCTTCCCCTCTCCCAATTTCATCACAAGGCTTAAAAGCTGTTTCTATCTTTCTAGTCCTATAAGAATAGGCAAAATATAATTCCATGATAAATTTACAGGGTGAGAGCACTGACAGCTGTTTTAACATCACAGAAAGGTGGCAAATAAATTGGACAAGGGTGACCCTCTCAAAAATTCAAGGAAAATTAAAAGTGAGAATTCAATATGGCCACCACCAAATAATAATTTTAACATAGTTTACCTTGCAGAAGTCTGATGAAGATGCATTTGAGTCTAAATAGGGGTAATATCTTTAGACAAGGAATCATTTTCAGTCAACGCAAAACATCCAGTGAGACTTCTATGCCTCTTAAACAGATTATTGTACATAGATAGTATTGTTAATACGTAAAACAGCCCAGAACAAATTTCAGAAGAAATTTTGTTACAGTGAAAAAGAAACCTGAACATCATGTTTAAAAGATTATTGAACTTAATTCAAAGCAATATGGATTTCTAACAGTATCAGCACATGTTACATAAAATAAAAATATGAAAGTTAAACATCTTATAATTATGTTAATGCATAATCATTTCCATCAAACCAGAAAGGAATATTCTTCTGATCTTTAAAAATAATAGCCACAAACAGCTAAGAACTTCAGGGGCAAATCAACAAATATATCCAGTTATTATATTCTCTTTGTAAAACCTTTGACTCTCTTATAGCTCTCGCTGTGTAGACTTTCTGTGAAAAATTCCATAGGGACAATATTGTCTTCACTGACTGGCAGCAGCTCTCCAGGGTTTTAAGTAGGAGTTTATACTAGCCCTACCTGAAGATGCTGGGGATTGAACCTGAGACCTGGGACTACAACTTCCATCAATCCCACTCAGTATGGCCAATTTTAAGAGATGCTACTCTTAACATCTGGAGGGCACCACTTCAGCCACACCTGATCATCTGACCTAGTTCTACCCTCTGGGACAGCAGATAACAAGGATTTTTGACCTCTTGCGTGCAATAGTCCTTTGAAGAATGTCTGCCCTTAGTCTCCTTTTTCAAAGCTAAACATACCAAGTTCTTCAAGCTTTCCTCATAGAGCGTGTTTTCCATACCCAGCCATCTTCACTGCCATCCTCTGAGCTATTTCAATTTGTCCTACATCCTTCTTACAGTGCAGGTCCCAGAACTCTCAAGCCCGAGATTTGGTAGTAATCACTAATGATGCAGGAAATAAAGTTGGAGGAAATCAGAAGAAAGAAACTATGAAGGAAAAGTTCTTTAAGAGAATTTTCATCATATTTTGTTATGAAAGCAATTCTCCAATCAAGATATTGCACATATGAAACAACAATCAATGGGAAGTTTATTATCATGAGGCATGCAGTTGAAACCTGAGAGAAGAATTTCTGGCTGCCTCAAGATATAAGCGTAATGATTTCCAAATGCAAATGCACAGGAACCTACCTTCATGAAGGAAGATACATTGCCATTAAAGTTCCGTATGTTGCTGGTGTTCAGACTGCTGTGGAATTCCAAGTTCTCTTACACAATCACTGCAGCAGGTAATAATGTACTGACATTCTAATCATTATAAAATCCAGATGATTTAATGTTTTTTGTGCACTCATAGCATATCTCCAGTTTTCAGTTTTGCCAGTTTAGCATCTATCAAAAATTCAGGAAAATTGCAGAAGTGCTGCCTTTCTGGTTTGATGAAAATCCATTGTATAGTTGAAATGTTATAAGTCACAATCAACTTACAGTCATAATTAACTGTATATACAGTGCATTGATAGTATCAGAAATTTCATTTTGCTTCCAGTTACATTCGTTTTCCATGCAAGCTATAAAGAGAATTTGCTGAATGCTGCTCTGGAGGTGAGGACTCAATGGATTCTAATTACAAGAAAGGAGATTCCAACTAAACTTCAGTAAGAACTTTCTGACCGTAAGAGCTGTTTGACATTTGGAACGATCTCCCACGGGAGGTGCTGGACTCTCTTTTCTAGAGGTTTCTAAGCATAAGTTGGATGGCCATCGGTCATGTATGCTTTATTTGAGATTCCTGCATTGCAGGGTGCTGGACTAGATGACATCTGAGGTCCCTTCCAACTCTACAATTCTATGGTTCTATGTCAGAATAATTTCTTTTGCAATTTACTTTACATACTAATTACCATCCTAAAAGTACCATGAGGGAAGGCAGAAGTCTAGGCCAGAGAGTCCTGCCTTCTGATAGATTCTGAAGAGACCATCAACAATCTGAGAGAACTCTGCTGTTCAGTACTTAATAACTTCTATTTGTTTTTAGCATTTTAAAATTGTAAACCAGCTTGGATGCATTGGAAGAAATTTGTTCAGGACCACTTTATATTGACAGTGCTAATTAAAACATATGTACAACAATCTGTAGACATTCAAAACAAGTATTCAATGGTCAGACTTCTGCAAGGGAAAATGTTTTTAAAACATTACTATTTGGTGGTGGCCATATTGAGCTTTACATCTATCAAATTTTCCAAAGTTTTTTGGAAGGTCACTATTTTACATTTTTTTCTCTCTCTACTGTTCCAATGTATTGCAGCAGCTGTCAGATATTTGTCCCAGTATAACGGTCCCAAGGGCTTTGCTTGTGTGTAGACCTCACTAGGAAGAAGGGGGTCTCCTTTCCATTTGCAGCTTTTACATACCTGGGGAGTCCTCAGAGTATGCAGAAACCCCTATTTTGTTTTTAGGTAACCATTTCACCGCCCTCTTAGACAACCAAGTTTGCAATGAGTAAGAAAAAGTTAGGGTTACTGAGAAAAAGGAATAAAGCAGGTGAGAAATTTCAACTATAGTATTCCCATACTACTTCACCCCTCTACCAATAAATCACAACCATCCATTCCCTATGGATTCAGTTTTAAAAGTAATTTTTTAAATAAACATCTTTCTGATATTTGATCCATGTAAAAATGATTGTGGAGCAAATAACTGACATCTCAAACACTATTCTAACAGATACACAGTACCAAATCAGGATAGATGCCAAGGGGCTCAGAATACCCAAGTATTTTCATATATCCTGTTCACCCTTCTACTGAATTGGCAGGCTTGGCTAAGGTAAAGGATTTTAGGTACCATCTCCTAACTATCAGTGAACTTAACATCATTAATTCTGCACAACACATAAAATTTCCACCTCTTTTTTTTTCCTTTTTAAAAGGAGGGGCAATTTGGTAACAATCAGGACTGACCCAAGACATTTTGTTGTCTGAGACAAATCAGCAAATGGCACTCATTCCCCCATCCCAGCACCTCTCTGGCAGAAAATATATAAAAGAATAAATTAGTAACCAGTATTATTAGTTTAGGACTGAGGTGAAAAACCTCTAGCCCTCCAGATGAAGTTTGATTGCCTCCCAACTCCCATTATTCCTAGCCAGCATGCCTGACCTCTGAGCAATATTTAAGATTAGGATGAATAGGCCTTGTTTTGGATCTCCATTTTGGAAAAAAAATAAAAATTAAGGAACTTCAATCTGGGCTTTAAAAGGCTTCCGCTTGAAATGAAGGTCTATAACTTACTGAGCTTAGAGCCTCGTGGTCTTCAAAGGGAGATAAAGGCATCAGCGCAATTTCATCCTAGAGAAAGAGATTTTAAAAGTTAAAAGATAGCTTTTCTTTTATGACCGCAAAATGTTGTTGCACTTATCAAATCTTTGTTTTCCCATAATTCCTAAACATTGTCAACTTTTTTTGCTGGCCTTGCTCCTGAAAATGTAATTGCTGCATTGCTAAGTTAAACAGCTAACTACAAGCAGTTTCACCTGTTAAGTATTTAGACAGAAGGTTGCTGTTAAAGGTGCAGGAGCAAAACCAACAAAGTGTTGATAATTCTAATACGAAATAAGTGTCAAAGCATAAGTATCATAAGAAGAATATGATTGGAGACAGGTACAGTGTAGTGGGATGCGGGTGACCCTGTGCTCTAAACCACAGAGCCTAGGGCTTGGTGGCTCCTGCCCACCTAGCAGTTCGAAAGCACGTCAAAGTACAAGCAGACAAATGGGTACCGCTCCGGCGGGAAGGTAAACAGCATTTCCGTTTGCTGCTCTGGTTTGCCAGAAGCGGCTTAGTCATGCTGGCCACATGACCCGGAAGCTGTCTGCGGACAAATGCCGGCTCCCTCAGCCTATAGAGTGAGATGAGCGCCGCAACCCCAGAGTCATCCGCGGCTGGACCTAATGGTCAGGGATACCTTTACCTTTACCTTTACCGTATTGATCACTGCCTTTGTAAAGATAAGGCTTGAAATGAATGCATTAAGTTAAACTGCTGGGGCAGAAATCCAAGAAACAAAAAACTAAGGTGATTAATTTTTCCTACATTATCTATTGACAACAATAGTTTGATGCATTTATTTGCCCCAGACAAATATAGCATTGCCATAAAGTTACCGTTTTCAGGATCTGAGCTAAATTGGGTTCAGAGTTGCAGGTTAATAAAGTTACAGATTAACCAAGTGAAGGTGATACTGTACTTATTCACTATCCTACATTATCAGAGTATCCGTTATCAGAGTATAAACTATGTTCTATAAAAGTTCATTTTAACCGGTGAAACAAAAGTTCATTTTAACTAGCGAAACGAATCTGGTTCTCTTTAGCATTTCTTGTCTGCCTGGGGGGATGAGGACTGAATCCTGCCCCTTACTTGTTGAACGTTATAAAGAACACAAGTTAAGTATTGCAAAAACTACTTGTAAGCAATTAAATCATTCCTCCATTGTGAGAACTGTCCATTTCTGGGTTTATTCTAAGCTTCTCCTACTGCACAAGCAGTCAGCACACTGCTTGCCTTTGAACTTTTTTTTAACTGAAAGAAACATGAAAGAGGGAAGATAAAACAAGAACTGACAGAGAAAGAGACAGGAAGGAAGAAAAGATGGGAAATTTGAAGAAATACGGTAAGAAAGACAGGGTACAAGCAAAATAGAGGTGCTTTGAAAAGAATAGAGGAGTAAGGGGATGTCCCCCTCAATTATAACTAGGGAGAGTGGGGTTATTGGGTTGTTTTTATTATTATTATTATTATTATTATTATGTATTTTTTATTTTCATATTGTGTTTTTATGTTGTAACCTGTGGGTATAGGTTGGTATACACATTTAATAAATAAAATTAACAATAAATATTTTACTTATACAAATAAAACATACAATTTTATTTAATAAATAAACCCTCGGTTAGAACTAGCCTATAGCTGACTACATTACTGACACTCCCTTTGCTTGCAATATGAATCTAAGCCCCCACCCCAGATTACAATTTTTAGTATTTTCCCTCTGTTACAAAATGACTATCCTGTAAAATAAGTTATAAAATATGTTTATATTTACTGTTATGATATGCTAAGGATGAACAGAGGCTCTTCACAAAATGGTTCTCCAAAACTGTGTTGTTGCCTCAAACCCATGTATCATTTACTACACTGCTTTTCCTTCAACTTGTCTGAGGCTTTCTACTCCTTGGCCTACCCAGTTCAATCTGCAAACCCTCACAGTGTGTTTGGCCTAGCAGGTCTCAATCTGAAGTCGCTCTGAGGTGTTGCTTTCTATAGAACCAAACTTTCTAGAAGTATAGTCATGGGATATGTGTCTTCTTCAAGGATTTGTTCTCTGGGATAGGTGGAGGACAAAACTTAACACAGGCAAATGGAAACAAAGCTCCAGGAGTCCTGGGAACTGTTGTATGACCCAGAGACTTGTCCTAGGCCACAGCTGCTGTTTTAATTGAGAAAAGAAAACAGAAATGTTGGAGAAGGAAGGATTAAGGAGCCTGCACAAGGAGCTAAAAGGAGAGTCAGGGGGTCTGTGCTACCTGGGCTATCAGGCCTAAGTTCTACTGAAGAGCTGGGCAGGAAGGAGCCACTTCAAGGCCTGTGAAGAACTGTAGCTGCTGGAGGCAACTTTTGGCCACTGGCTGCTGAACACTAAATCACACCTCTTCGCCTTTGGAAAGCTTATTGCTTGCTGGACAAGAAAAGCACAAAGCTTGTGCCATAAGGATGTTTAGAGGGGGACAGAGAGTAAAATTTGCTTACACTGCTTTCTTTTTACTCCTATGTTTGTTCAGTCACTTCAGTTCTTTTGTGTATCCTTTCAACTTAAAAGTTCATTTTCTCGTCTGTTTCCTTTTTTAAAAAACAACCTAGTTCCTTATTAAATCTCATATGCCCAATTGCACAAAACACTTACTTCACACTGCACAAATATTTTTGACACTGCACAAAATGTGTCTAGTTGCATGTTAGAATAAACTCTGGATCATTTATTCCTCTCTCTGCTTCCTTTTCTTTAACCAGTCACCGATCTGTAAGAGGATCAGTCTTTTTATCCCACTTATGCAACTTTTTTGGTGATGGACATTAAACATTGTCAAAAGCTTCTTGATAGTTTTTATTTGCATATTATTTGCTTACATGAACAAGTGTGTATTCCCACTGTCTTCATTCTGGCCAGACTGAGAACCACCACACTATTGGGAAAGGTTAATGGGGCAGAGACCGGCAGCTGGGAGGAAGATGGCCTCATTCTCACAGGCTTCATTCTCACTGTTAGTGAGCCTGTGTCTGGTTTTACATCTTCACACTCACATGGTTTTCTGCCCTATACTCCCCAACACACCTACACAGAAAAATTGAGAGATCTTATGTGTATGGGGGAGGGGGGAGGGACCATTCAAGCATGCAAGTTTGAAATGTTATAGCTCAGGCATAGTTATGTTACCTAAGTGAGTACTGTTAGGTTCTGTCACACCTGTGGGAGCTTCCAGGAACAGCAGGAATTGCTCCAACAAAGTCCATTGCTCAGCTCACTGCTTATATATTGAAGCAGGCCTGATCATAGAATCATAGAATCATAGAATCATAGAGTTGGAAGAGACCACAAGGGCCATCGAGTCCAACCCCCTGCCAAGCAGGAAACACCATCAGAGCACTCCTGACATATGGTTGTCAAGCCTCTGCTTAAAGACCTCCAAAGAAGGAGACTCCACCACACTCCTTGGCAGCAAATTCCACTGTCGAACAGCTCTTACTGTCAGGAAGTTCTTCCTAATGTTTAGGTGGAATCTTCTTTCTTGTAGTTTGGATCCATTGCTCCGTGTCCGCTTCTCTGGAGCAGCAGAAAACAACCTTTCTCCCTCCTCTATGTGACATCCTTTTATATATTTGAACATGGCTATCATATCACCCCTTAACCTCCTCTTCTCCAGGCTAAACATGCCCAGCTCCTTAGCTGTTCCTCATGAGGCATCGTTTCCAGGCCTTTGACCATTTTGGTTGCCCTCCTCTGGACACGTTCCAGTTTGTCAGTGTCCTTCTTGAACTGTGGTGCCCAGAACTGGACACAGTACTCCAGGTGAGGTCTGACCAGAGCAGAATACAGTGGCACTATTACTTCCCTTGATCTAGATGCTATACTCCTATTGATGCAGCCCAGAATTGCATTGGCTTTTTTAGCTGCCATGTCACACTGTTGGCACATGTCAAGTTTGTGGTCAACCAAGACTCCTAGATCCTTTTCACATGTACTGCTCTCAAGCCAGGTGTCACCCATCTTGTATTTGTGCCTCTCATTTTTTTGCCCAAGTGCAATACTTTACATTTCTCCCTGTTAAAATTCATCTTGTTTGTTTTTGCCCAGTTCTCTAATCTGTCAAGGTTGTTTTGAAGTGTGATCCTGTCCTCTGGGGTGTTAGCCACCCCTCCCAGTTCTGATGAATGCCAGAACCCCATATTCCTTGTTACGGTAAGTTATAACAAAAGTAACATAGTCAACATAGCATCGTATCATATATCAAGTGAATTCATTCTCCAAGTGCCTGGCCTTATGTAGACAAAATGACACACTAGGAAATATCAGCAGGCTTGGGGAAATTTCAAGGTATAACCAAGTACACACAAAAAAAACCACCTTAAGGAAAAAACTCTAAGGGATGAACCCCACTCCCAAAATGCAGGCTAATGAAGATATAGAATGGACATAGAACGTAGACTGATTGTTGCAGGTGGAGGGGGAATGGAATGAAGTGGTTGGAACAGCAGCATTCGACACTACAGCATTTGGATACATGCAGAAACAACACAAACATACCGTACATATCTCTAGTTACTTCCTTCTTAGTAGACATCATAACTCTGTGTGGATTTTCAAACACTGATTAGAATCTTGAGTGTTGCCCAACTGTGAAACCAACCATTCAGCTGACAATACCAAAACCAGAAGAACATGTCTGGCTCACTAGATGCATACTGATAACTTCCAAGGAACTGATATCATAGCAACAACATTTTACTTTCAGTAAAGAAACACCTGTCTGTGTACTTATGCATATGACACTTGATGTGTTTAGTATCTCTCACACAGTAATTATAGCATAGTGTGACGTGTAGCTTACTTCACTGTGTAGTAACGTTGGTTTTATTTTCTAAATTGGGCTACAAACTCTATCCTGGATGTCTCCTCTGTTGTTGCTTCTGATTATATGCAGGCTCTCCATTATCAGAACCAGCCCAAGTACTGAGGATCTGACAGCCTAGCAAAAGCAAGTAAGTATGGTAGAAATCTAACATTTGGGGGGTCAAAAAAAATTATTGTTACCAATTAATAACTGCACTGGGTGTTTCAAAATATAGATTTCTACTGATTTATTTTCTAGTTTCTTCCATCATACAGGGCCAATTAGCATAGCATTTTTATGGTAAGCAGCAGGTGTTCAAGATCTGCTCTGGTCCCTAATTCAGGTCCTGTGTTTTTCAGAGCAGAAATGCTCTGCTCAAAAATAATTTAAAAAAGAATTTTAAGGAAAATTTTGTTACACAATAAGAGGTTGTTAAATCCTCCTGCGCATTTCACTAACCCAGTAATTCAGGTGTTTTTTTCCAACTAGAAAACCTTCACAACCAAAGAGAAGGGTAGAGTTGTAAAAATCCACTAATGATGTTGTCCTATCTCTTGTTTCGGTTCAGCCAGTTTCATACACTTCATTGAGACAAATATGTGAGGCAGGATGGATGAGAATGCTTGTGCATACTACCCAAGCATGAGCCAAAAATAAAGGAGCCAGGTGACATGTAGCTTCATCCTGCTGTATTGAGAGACAATAGAGGCTGTATTTGCACATCACAATAAACCATAGTCAATGTTTAACTATAGTTTAATGTGAACAAGCAGTATGCTACAGTGCATTGCTAAAAATCTCTACTTTGCAACAGACCACAGTCCTTGGCTTGTTGACGCATCCAAATCTGTCTTTGTGCTTTGTTTTCCCCAAACAAGTCACAAGTGGTAAGCAGAGATCTCTTGGCTGTTGGTAGTGATTTGTCTGAAGAAAAATAAACCATGAGCCCAGATCTAGACAACATGGCAAGCCAAGGTTTATGTCTTGTTGCTCCCAGTGTGACCATGGGCAGGGAAGGTACAAAGAGAGGACTTTTGAGCTGTATGCATGAACAGCCTGCTTATTTGTGTCAAACCAACAGTTAGTTAAACCAATGGTTGGCAAAACATTATCAATGTGTTAACAAGATGTGCGATTCAGGCCAGTGAGGCATACGTTCATATATTTTAATGCCTATCTATGCATAATCCGTAGGCATCACTATGCCTTTGAATGAATTTTCAGTATGAGGGATATTCCATAATTAGATAATCTGTTTTCCTCCAGAAGACTTGGGAAGTATGAGCAAGAAAGTTTACTAAATCTAATGTGTAAGAAAGATCCGGAATGGGGTAATGATATGTCTATGCCTGTAGTCAGCATCTGTCAGTGACTGGAGTGAGCCAGCAGTAAATCACCCAAGCTAGTTGGAGTTAACTCTTTATTAGCAAAAACAGGACCTGCACAGAATGTCAGGCCTAATGAGCACAGCAACTCCTCTCCAGCAGGTCTTGCCCCCTTAAAGCAGTTGCTGAGACTGTAGGTCCCTGCCTCCTCCACAGCTTCCTAACCACCCCCTTCAGGGTTCTTCCTAAGCAATCTGAGACTATGCCTGTTGGCTGTCTTTGCTCGCCCCCCTTTTATGCCTCTTCTGGTTCTGGGAGACCGGGGGGAGGGGAGCTTGGTGCCCAACCAGTCCCTTACAGGCATTCTTACATTCTTAGTGCATATTTCACTTCAAGTTGAGCTTGGATGAGCTGCTAAAAGACTGAGGTTATGAAGCCACAATGGTTTAGGTTGGCAGGGTAGGTTAGGAACAGTTTGTATTAATGTTTAGATAAATTGGTTTTGTGACTCCCACTACATTGAAAACTTGTTATCACCTTAGCTCTTCATCTGACTCTATATTCTTTTTGGGACTAAATAAATATTCCCCTGTAACTCAGATACAAATGTGCTCAAGAGCTGCTCAGGTGCATGAGAATCACCCAGATTCAAAGCATCACACACAGTTAGGGTTCAGTGTTGCTTTGTTTGGGAATATAAACAGAAAATATTGAGCAAGAGACGGGCAGCTCCTTGATCCGCATCCAAGTTGCCTCTATTGGTTAATCTGAAAATTTATCCTAATTAATTGCTCCAAGTATTATTTAAGGACATTTAATGGCACTTAAGGACATTTTCAGATAGGGTGTTTGTCATCTGGGAACTGGAAGGATTCAAGTAGTACTCAAAGGAGTAGAACAGGGACAGTTAACAAGTCCAGGGGAAGCTTAAAGGGTGGTACAGACATTGCTTCTGCATAAAGAAGTTCCACAAACCACTACATTGTCTAAACAGGTAATCTCTTGCCCTAGCCATCCTGTAACACAGAATGATGCTTCCCAAAATGTTCCCCAAGGAAAGGTGATGGTTTTTAATCATTGGACTGGAGTGGTTTCCTGGTTCCTTAATTTTGTGGTCGGAGCAGCATCAGCATCCAAACTTCAGTGCTACAGGCTGCGCACAGCTTAAAAGGCAGCTAGGTCGTTCTTTTTCTCAATTCAAATCGAAGCTGGATGCGGGGAGAGGGGGACACACATCAGAATGTAGTGGATGCGCACTAGAGGATGCAGAGTAAATGGGGGGAGGTGTACATGGTGGGAACGTGGAACAAATAATAAGGAAGGAAGAACCAACTACAGCCTTCTTTCCCCCCTCTGCCAGTGCTCAGCAGATTGTATGCCACCACCCTTGCCTTAGGAGGTATGAAACTCTTGGGAAACTTTTATTGCAGTGCTAGATAAGAATATTTAACATAAATTACCCAACTGTCAGTTAGCTACTTAAGCTAAACAACAAAACAAGTAGCTGTTTAAATATTGTTGTATCCATTGCAGTTAAGGCTACAGTGCCATACCAACTTACTTGAGAGTAAGGACCCCCTCCTGAACTGAGTGGCAGTTGCTTCACAGGATCCGGCTGCACACCAATATAAACATAAATCCTTATACTTTCAGTATCGAAGTTAATTTGGGGGGGAAGTGCACTTTGCAAAAATAGATGCCATGAACTGTCCCCAAATGGAAACCCAATTCTTCTACATAGCTCAGTCAGTAGAGCAAGAGATTTTTCTGTCCGGCCGCCCTTGGCCACACCACCTTACAGGTGCTCCCGGCAGCCCTCGCTCGATCCTCGCACGAAAGGACCGCGCCAGTTTTCTCCTTCCCTCGAAGGCGACTGGGCAGACCAGCAGCGTTCAGAAAGGCAAGAGCCGAAGCGGCTGGACCACATGAAAGCTACCGGAACAGTTTGAAAAAGGCGGGCTCTCTAGGGGGCTTTGCATGTGCGCTTTTCTTTTTCTCCTTACCTGCATGGTGGAAATAAGCAAGCGCTTCTCCCCCCTTTCCCCGTGCAGCAAGATCACGAGAGGATCTCTCCTTGCTAGAACTCAGCTCGATCCCGCAGCATGAGAGGAACAATCCGCAGGGACCCCCAGATCTCTCCACTCCTGTGTGTCGCCGTCTCTGGTTTCAGAGAGTCCCCGCGGCTCTGGGAGGGCGGACTTCCGCGTGAGGTTGCCTGGCTGCGCCGCGATTCTCTCCTTTCCCGATGAGACGGAGCCGCCTGTCGGGTTTTGCCACAGGCAGGAAAGAGGAGGAGGAAGCCAGCGTGCCCTTTCCGCCCCCTCCGCCTTACCTGGGCACCACAAGTGGCTGGGGAGGGACAAAGCAGGCACTTCCCGCCATTGATGTGTCAGACTGATACTGCTGTTGGCAGCTGAAAAGCCACAATGGTTTTCTTCCGTGTGTTTGTGTGTTTAGAGAACCAGAATCACCCAAGTCCCAGCTAATTCAATAGGCAGCATTTCAGAACTGAAGCATAATGGGTGGTGGTGATATTAATAATAATAATAATAATAATAATAATAATAGTTTATAAGTTGCATTTATATATCACTTTCTTCTCCAGGAAGCTCAAGGTGGTGTGCATGGTTCTCCCCCTGCTCATTTAATCCCCAGAATAACCTTGTGAGATAGGTTAAGCTGAGAGACAGTGACTGGACCAAGGTCACCCAGAGAAGTTCATGGCTGAGTAGGGATTTGAACCATAGTTCTGCACATCCTAGCGCAACACTCTCTAACCACCATACCACCACTGGCACTCAGCGTGTGTTCAAAGCGGTGAAAGCTGCAGTTTCTACTGGACCCCTATTGACTTTAGCCAAGGACCGAACACTTCATATAAAAGCTGCTCGCTAACTGTCACTTATGATGGGTTTGCTTGTATGGTGCTGTCCAGTTTTGTCAGAGTTACATAAGCAAAAGGTGCCCATCCCAGGAAGCTTACAGTCTTAAGTTGAGAAAGGAGATGAGAGAGAAGAGGGCAGGACCCAAACCAGTGGATTCAAGTTATAAGAAAGGAGATTCAGATTAAACTTCAGGAAGAACTTTCTGACAATTCTGTGATCCCTGTGGCATGTGCAAAGGGCAATACAGTGGTACCTCGGGTTACAAACGCTTTGGGTTATGCGTTTTCAGGTTGCGGACCGCGGGAAACCCGGAAGTACCGGAAAGGGTTACTTCCGGGTTTCGCCGCGTGCGCAGAAGCGCTAAATCATGCTTTGTGCATGTGCAGAACCACCAAATTGCAGCATGCGCAGACACGGCACTGCAGGTTACGAACACTGCAGGTTGCGGATGTGCCTCCTACGTCTGCAACCCAAGGTTCCACTGTATATAAATAATCCAAATAAATAAGAACAGAGTGGGAGATCTGTATAGGGATGCATCCCCTTCCTCTCTAATATTATTAGGATTCAGGGTTGTCCCATTAAATCAATCTATAAAATGAGAAATGGAGTAAATGGAGTTAAATTTCCTGTTTCCCAGCCACTGCCCAACCTATCAACCCCTGCCAGCATGGCCATGTTGGTGGGGCAGAGTGAAGTTTTAGTCTAAAGCAGAGTTTTTCAACTTTTTTGAGTCCATGGCTCCCTTGACCAACTACATTCTTTCTGCGGCACCCCGTGGGCTTCAGGAGCCCAGTTATGTCACTCCTTGCCTGCAGAGCTGGCAGCCTCTCACCCTTTTTCAAATACCCACCCTTGTGGAGTGTTCCCTCAGCCTCCTTTCCTCTCTCCTCTCTCCTCTCCCCTCTCATTGGGAGTCCTCTGGGCAGCCGCTGCTGCCACCCCTAGTCTCTGAGCTGCCCCACCACCACCACCCACCCCAAAGAGAGGTGCCTCCTCAAACTGCCTCACAGGGGCCTGGGACTTGTCTGTCCATTCCCAACAGCAAGGACTGGCAGACTGGGCTCCCTTGCCCGCTTGCTTGCTTGCTTGCTTGCTTGCTTATTCTGAGGCCACCCCAGCTCCTGGCAACCAGGCAAGCCCCAGAGGCATCATTTGCCTGTGAAGCTTGTAGCCAGGGCTGCTGCAATAAACAGCTGTGCAAGCCTTTGGGAGGCAGAGACGCAAGAGGAAGTCAGAGGAAGGAGGGAAGGAAAGAGGGACAGAAGGCCACAGCACCCCTGGCTATCATTCAAGGCACCCCAGGGTGCTACAACACACTGGTTGAAAAACACTGGTCTAAAGCATTTAGGGGATACCAGGTTGGGGAAGGCTGACATATGACAAGCAGGTCCCGTGTAAGCAGCAGAAAAGCACTGGCAGTAGTGAGTGATGGCATATATTGTTTTTGAAGATGTGCAAATGACCTGAGTTCCCAGGAACTGGCATTAGGCCCTATAATAGTGTTATATGTGCAAATATAGGGACAGAGTTGACACTGGGGTTTGTTGCAGCAGGATCCAGTCTTTGTCTTTGTGAAGGTCAGATGGTCTCCTGTTGTGGATCTGCAGCATCACATACAATGCTATCCTAATCCAAAGAGGCACAGGAAATGCCAAATCATAAGTAAGCATGTAAAACTGGAAAGTCTTTCTGCTGCTTACTAAGAACTAAATATATGCCCTTTGATAATTACCTTAAATGGAAGTATTTTTTAATTCTGGTATTCTTGCTACGTATGAATCTTCCGAGCAACTGGGAGAAAGAGGGTTGTATTGTTTGGCTGTAAACCAGAGATGGGAAAACTGCCCGCTGCCACCCAGCATTGTTGCCCTATAGCTCTCATCAGCCTCAGCCAGCATGGCTAATGGTTAGGTAAGATGGGAGTTGAAGTCCAACAGCATCCAGAGGGTCACATATTGTAGGCAATGGATCTTGTGGCATACTCTGGAAGAAAGCTGGAAGCATAAACTGTGTGTGGAGGTCAGCACATTTTCATAACAAGCTGTGGTTTTTTTTATGAAATAGGGTGTGTATACACACCTTACATTTAAAATGCATGGGGGGAGCAAGAACCAGGGAACTGTAGCTGACCCCTTACTGAGCTACAATTCGCATCACCCTTAGCAAAGTGCAGCTCCCAGGATTATTTGTGGGATAATGTACTTCAGTTGTATGGTGTATATGCAGTCTCATAGCTGCACAGTGCTATCCAATAAGTGAGCCTGTAGTGCTCAGTTAATAGCGAGATAAAAGCATTTTGAGACTGACTTGTCTTACAGCACCATCTACTGTGCTTTTGACAAGACTGCAAGTATTAGTGTATACTGCTTTATTGTACGCATGATGGATCCCTTTTTATATTTGTTTGGGTTTTTATGCTGAAAAACATGTGATATATGAAATGTATATAATCAGTGCTTTTTTACAGATAAAAAGGTGCTGGTACTCACCATGCAATTGTTACAGTAAGTGTAATACTTTTAATATTTGCAGGGGGGAGGTGTGGAAAGGTTCTCTTGAGTACCCCCAGAAAAAGCACTGTATATAATTCTTAAAATGGTATTGTAAACAAGGCCACAAGAAATTACTACCCTGCGAAACTCTTTACCAGCCTACTGGGGGCAAGGAGAGAAGGATAAGAGAATTGATTCCATTCCTCTTGCAGCAGTCCACTGCACCTCTGGTTGCTTTCTATGCTGGACACAGAGGAGAGAGAGAATACTTTTCCTCTCTGCTCATTTGCCTGAGTGGAATTCCATGAACTCACTTGCATGCAGTTCTTTGTTGCTTCTGGCTAGAGAGCAGAATTCTGACTATCTTGGCCTTGGCAGACTGCCTTTTCATACATAACAGCACTTATTGAAATTTGTTGTGCCCAAGGCATTATAATTCCTAGCCTAGGGCCCGATATCTGCAATGATCTTTTTTTCCAGACTGATGCAGAAACATTGTTTGGCACCTGCTGCAATCATATATATTTCTCCATGGTCTCAACATTGCTTTGTAGGTTTTTTTGGGGGGGGGGTGTATTTACTAACCGTATTTATTTATTTTAAAGACCCATAAACTCATGAGGTGGCAGCTTCGGTTTGCCTAATGCTAGGTCTGGCCCTGGCTTAGCTACTCTTGTGCAACACACTCATTTTTTTATATTATTAATATTTATTAGTTATTTTACTCACAAAAATGGCCCAAACTAACTGACAACACAATATAAGCATTGAAATCAATTACAATGAAACCAATGAAAACCTAAGAAAATGGATATGAAATTTGGTTACATATATCACTTATTTTTGAGATATGTATTTAATTATTATTTTCTTTTTCTTTTTTTGTTAATATTGTTAATATTGTTTTTTCTGTTTTGTGTATTAACATCTTTTTACTATATTTTTTTCACTTTTTATGTTTAATTGTTATATGTATGTATGTCAAGTTTGTCTGTCAGCATACTGTATAAACTTATAAAAAAACAAAAAAACAAAAACCCAATGAAAACCTTTCCAATTCAGGCACAAAAAGTCAGGTAAAAAGGAAAGCTTTGGCTGGTACCTGAATGTAGATAAACATGCCCCCAGGCAAACATCTCAGGGAAGTGTATTCCACAAGTGGGGAGCCACCACTAAAAAGGATTATTCTCATGTTGCCACCCTCTGGACCTCCTATGGAGGACACACATAAAGAAGGGCCTTAGATGGCAATCACAGGATCTTGCAAATCTTGGCCACAAGGCTTGGATTTTTAATTTGGGGGGGGGGAGGAGCATATGGTTTTGAATTCTGAGTTCCCATATAATTTGGATTACCCTGCATATGTAAATATTTACCCCACACACTTTTGAATTCCACCTTTTAGGCCTTGCTGCTCTTTGTAAAAGGCGAAAGATTTATACGATCTGAGGAGAAACCAGAGTATATAAACTATTATGAGGTTTTTTTAAAAAACAATGTAGTGTATGGATTTTGTGAAACAAATAAACAAACAAACCAAGTGGAATGGAATATGGCCAGATGAAAAGCTGAACTATCTTTTAGGGCTCCAAATTTCTGAGTGACCCTTTCTACCTGGCCAGCGTTCATATTTAAAAATGGAAATAGATATATGCAGCCGGGCACACAGCCTCCTGCAGTTCAAAGAATTCTACTGCTTGTGCCAACCAGGCTCTCAATATTCAATTCCCACCCACTACAGATTTGGCACGCTTTCTTGTGATAAAATAATAGCTATCCTGTTCCAAACCACAGGGAATTTTAAAAGGCTGCAATACAAGCATCAATATGAGTATACTCTCCATATTGGGAAAGCTCCCAGATAATTAGAGCATCACAAGAACCCCCATTTGGCAGGGGGCCTACTTAGCAGAGTACTTAGCATAATGATTAATTTAGTCCGTAATTGACTGTGCATAATAGTGTTCTCGTATTTGGATGCTAATGCTTTTAAGGAGTAGCTCCAAAAGCAAATTGAGGAAGCTGGAGATCCCTTTGATTTTCGTGTGCTCTAGGTGAGATTGCTGAGTAAGAGGTGAGTGCAAAAAGAAAAACCTGTTCTATCTGACTTCCGTGTGTGTGTGTGTGTGTGTGTGTGTGTGTGCTCACTGATTCTCATGTTAACTTTTTATACATGGAAACTCATGCATGTGTATTGAAGAGAACGGCTGGGCAAGTGTGTGTTAGGAAGCTGAGGTTTGTGACATTTCTAAAACATATCCCAAAGGCACCCATTCTGTTATTTCATGCACAGGGGCGTATCTAGGGGTTGGTTAGGTTGGCCCCTGCCAAGGGTGCAGGCCCGCAAAAAGCGTGTCTGTCCACTCTGGCTCGGAGTTGCTAGAAGCCTGCCTGCTCCCCAGGCTGTTCCTTTGCTATTATGGGCAGCCCGGTGAAGCATGCAGGCTCCTCTGGGCACCCCAGCGGAGGAGTACAAGGGACTGGGGGGGGGCACCAATACAGCTTTTTGCCCAGGGTGCAAGGGACCCTAGGTACATCTCTTTTCATGCATGCTTTTATTTTAATTTTAATAAATACAACAATAAACATGCTTATATTGTTTTTCAGTTCTAATAAGGGACCAAGGCAATTTACAAAAACAAATATAAAACTGGTCTGAGAACTGGCCCTTACTGCATCAAGCAAACCTGTACACTTTGGGGAGTGGACTTTGTGTTGTGGGAACTGCCATATCATTGACAAAAGAAGTATGCAGTGGAGTGGAGACTTACATTTGATTTGAAATAACTATACATGGAGCAGGCCTGGGAAGCAACAAACTTAGTTTGTTGAAGATACCATGTTGTCTTGCCACTTGTGATCTGTAATGATTAGAAAAAAGATTATTATTTGCTTTTATGTATTAGACAGGGTGTGAAATTTGACTTGCCCAGTCTGTTCATTATGCTATGAATCCACCTGATGTCTGTTCCTGGTTCTGTTTCTCTTTCCTAACTCTCCGTATTTTACCTAAAAGTCAATTTAATTTTTTTTAAAGCAATGAATGTAACTCTTACCTTTGTACAAGAGTCTACATTCCAGCCATGAAAAAGCCAGAGGCTAACATGCGCGCGCACACAGACACCCCTTCCATCAAAGCAAGCAAAAGCATTATAACAATTCAACAGCACATTTCAGTCAGTCACACAAAAGCACTTGAGATGGGCACACAGCAGTGCTTCAATGTAACTGACCAACTATGGTTTTCATTATGTATGTCCTATCCTGAATTACACACCTGTTTCCCAAAGTGAACTGATAGTAATGCTGTCTCATTGCCACAACCACCACTCCTTCCATACTCCACTTATTTTCTGGGTGGGGGAGAGTGGGAGCTGATATTCCTCATAGGAGGCAGATCTGGTTTTGGAGCTTCTAACTGTCAGTATTTTCATCCCTCCCATTGCAAAGATCAACAGATCATGTTTGTTTTACATTCTGTACCAGAGAAAGGAGGGGACGGAAACCACTCTACCAGACTTCCGTCCCTAGCACTGTGCCGGTTTTTCTTTGATCTTTCTAGAGACTAGGTGACAGTATGAGAGAGCTGACTCTCTCGTGCATGTCCATTCTGTTTTGTCTTGTTAAACCAGTAGTAATAAAATTAGGTATGCAACAAAACCTCCACTGTTTTGCTTCCATTACTCTGCTACTATTGAGGTGCTCACAATAGCAAATGTGAGTCCACTGCACCAGGACCTGTTCCAGAGGAATGCTGTGCTCTCCTGTTTCTGCATTCCTGTGATCGGAAGGTCGGTGAAGGTGCTCCTGACACCCAGCCCATGCAGACGCTGAAGACGTGGGCTCTATACAGGTGTAGGGACACTAACTGCTAGTTTTTCTAGCTAGTAAATAAGGGAATACTGTAATGTGCCCAGTGCTGGGTCTGACTGGGCTTTTTTGGAGGGGCTTCTGCAAACCTGCTGCCCAATTTTTGCCAGATGGCAATTTTCTGCAGCATTCAGTTTTGTTGTAGGTTTTCAGAGTCTGACAGTTTAATCACATTGTCCTTCGCTACAAAGCAGTGATGGGGAGCTGCCAGCCTGTGGGTTGGAGGTGGTCAGCATGTGCTCCCTATTCAGTCTGCAGCAGCCTCCCGTCTTTAGCCTCACCCCAATGGGAATTAGGCTTTCTGTTCTTTTTTAAAGCTTTTAGTGGTGCCTAACTGCTGCACGGCAGGGACGCGGGTGGCACTGTGGGTTAAACCACAGAGCCTAGGACTTGCCGATCAGAAGGTCAGCGGTTCGAATCCCCGCGATGGGGTGAGCTCCCGTTGCTCGGTCCCTGCTCCTGCCAACCTAGCAGTTCGAAAGCAAGTCAAAGTGCAAGTAGATAAATAGGTACCGCTCCGGCGGGAAGGTAAACGGTGTTTCCATGCGCTGCTCTGGTTCGCCAGAAGCGGCTTAGTCATGCTGGCCACATGACCCGGAAGCTGTACGCCGGCTCCCTCAGCCAATAAAGCGAGATGAGCACTGCAACCCCAGAGTCGGTCACGACTGGACCTAATGGTCAGGGGTCCCTTTACCTTTACCTGCTGCATGGGGGGTGGGGGCGGAAACCAGCTGGGCAGAGAACAGACAGAGAGAAGGGGGGAGTGAGATAAAGAAAAAGGAGGAAGAGAAAGGGGAGAAAAGAGAATGAATGGGTTTGTAGGAGAGATGGCTCTGGGCTCCACCCACTTTGGTCAGCAATCTTGCTCACAGCTGCCATGCAACACCTGGCAGATTTCCCTTGAAAGAATGGAAGGTTGGGGGACCTGGATTTCTCACACCTATAAAGCAATGAACCCAACCTTATGAGAGTAAGTGGTGTTTCCTAATTTGATGTTTGTTGATAGTTTATGACAGGGTGGTGCAGCTGTGGCCTTCCAGACATTGTGATCTGGGTCTGGTATGATGGGAGCTATAGACACACAACATCTGGATGTATACAGGTTCCCCATTCCTGATTTAAGGGGACATCTCTTAGTCTATAGGTCTTCTTCTACTTTGGCGATCACTCACAGCCGAGCAAGATTGTCCTCCATAAACACAAGTTTTAACAATGAGTCCATAATTGACTGTGTAGGCCAGTTCTGGATCCACACATCCTTCCACAGTGGGGACATTGGTTTCCAGGCGGGAGTTGATCACGGTGTGGATTTGCCAAGCATGCCTTCCTCTTAGCATGTTTCTCCCTTGCGTCTTGAGTTTGAGTATCTTTAAAGCCCATGACACCTTTGGTAAAGGCTGTTCTCCAACTGGAGCGCTCGCAAGCCAGTGTTTCCCAGTTGTCAGTGTTTATACTACATTTTTTTAGACTGGCCTTGAGACAGTCTTTAAACCTCTTTTGTTCACCACTAGCATTACGCTTTCCATTTTTAAGTTTGGAATAGAGTAGTTGCTTTGGAAGACGATAATCAGGCATCCGCACAACATGACCAGCCCAACAAAGTTGATGTTGAAGAATCATTGCTTCAACACTGGTGATCTTTGCTTCTTCCAGCACACTGATATTAGTTCACCTGTCTTCTCAAGTGATGTGTAAAATTTTTTGGAGACACCATTGGTGGAATTTTTCAAGGAGCTGGAGATGTCATTTATAAGTGGTCCATGTTTCACAAGCATACAGTAAGGTTGGTAGTACAATAGCTTTGTAAACAAGCATTTTCGGTACACATAACAGACATCTGTTAAAGTGTCAAAAGCTGACCTGCCGACTTCCATCCTGGACCACAGATTTCACCACCATTTGTCTCCCACCATACAGGAAGGTTATGTCATGTATAGCACAGTCTTATGCAGCCAACATAGAAATAAGGTGCACTGAGTTTGATGAAACTTACTCCTAGGTAGGCGTGTATAGGGTTGTAACCATATTTCTGACAAAATTCACACTGTGCCTTTATTAACTGTGAAACAGACAGAAAGTGAAAAGGTCAAGGCTTTCTCCCATCACTTTGTTTTAGTTTATTAAAGCACCTTGATGCTTGGAAAAATAAAATCTCCAAGTGCCTGCTTGTCAAACACAAGAATCCTGATCTCAAAAGTGGCCCTATGCTCCCACCACCTAGTTCCAGAGGACCCTTCTCTACTTTGCTTAATAAGCTGTTGTTATGGTAACGTGAGATTTTCCTCTGCCATGCCTCCACTCCACGCCCCTCTTGAGCAACGAAATTGGAAGCACAATTTCGGAATATAAACTCCATTTTGAACTAGGTGGGACTTCCTTCCGTACCAACAAGTTTTAGGATCAGTTTGTTTTCCAAGGACAAAACTCCCATTTACAAGCGAGGAAAGATTCTAGCCCGCCATAATAAAACGTCTTCGCCTTTAGGATGCCACGGGGCTCTCTCTCTCTTTGTAGCTCTCACGGTCAGCCGTGGAACTTGCTTCAAAACATGCAAGAGCACGGCTGCAACTTTGAAGCTGCGCATGCACGCTTATCTAGTCCCGTAGGGGCGGGACTAGAAGAGCCTAACAGACCGCTCTTCGCCCACGAGCAAAACACACACACAAAAAACCACGCCCCATTTTGTCTCCCCCCCGCCTTCTCCTCGCTTGGTGGAGTTCATGCTGCCGGCCCCGACTGCGCACGCGCGCCGTCTCGGCAGCGAATCACGCCTTCCGCGAGCGCGGCCCCGCCCCTCGACCCCGGCCTACGTGGGGTCACGAGCAAGCGGTGCTGAAGCGCCGCCTGTGAGCTGCGGAGCGCGCTGTTGCTCTTTGGGCTCGCCTCTTCCTCTCAGATGGGGCGCGCGGAGGGGCCCGCCTGGTGCGCGCGGGGCGTCGCTTGAGTCGCCGCTCTCTCCCCGCCGCCTTCCTGCAGCCAGCCGTCCGCGTCATGAGGCGCAGCGAACGGAGAGGTCACGGAGGGGGCTCCGGAAAGGCAGCCCTGGAGGAAGAGGAGCAGCCGCCGCCGCCGTCGGAGCCCAACGGGGCTTCTCCCCCCGTGACAGAGGTTTCGCCGGGGCGCTGTAGGGGCGCGACGCCGGGAGCCGCCGCCACCGCCCCCACGACCACCACTGCTTCCACCACGACGCACGGGAGCCGGCGCAGCACGGAGTCCGAGGTGTACGATGACGGGACCAACACGTTCTTCTGGTAAGGGGGCCGGAGCAGGGCGTCCCGTGTCCTTCCCCCCTCGTCGCCTCTCTTCCCCAAGGCCCTTTCACCCTGACACGCGGAAGGAAACGGCGCAGTCCATGAACACGGGTTGCCCACAGTCAATAGACGCGTGTATGCACAACTAAAGATGCGGGTAGGCAGGCTGTCCGTTTAAAAGGCCAGGGACCAACAAGGAGAAGGGAGTGAGCGGGGTGAACTTGAGGATGCTGGAACCGAGGATATAAAGAAGGGTGTGCATCTCGTTGGAATCAAGCTGGACTTCTCTGTCTGGGTGTCTCCTTCCCAGGAGCCCTGCTGAACCTGCTTCTTTTCTCAAGTCACTTCTGCTGTTCCTTCTCTTAGGAATTGGCCCTCCTTTGGTTTCTCTCCTCAGCTTTTGCGGTCAGTTGGGGAAGTGATTAGTGTTACATCCCTAAACACAGTTGTTGAGTAAATATCACGTAGCTCTGTACGACTTACTGCTGAGTAAATATGCTTTATATTTACTGCTGGCTTTTTCCACCTCTCCTGGCTTGATGAGTATTTGATATAGCAAAATCTCTGAGAAATATCTGTAATTTACAGCACCAAGAGGAAACTCAGACTGCTTTCCCATGCATACTTGGAAATATATCCTGTTTAATTCAGTTAGACTTAATTTCTGAGTAAATACATTTGATCTTGCTTCAATTGCACACTTGTGGGATAACTTTCCTAGGCAACAGCCTACTTGTGGTAGTTGAAAGGCAAAACCACACTTTCATCTCCTTATCTCAAGAGAATACTTGCCTGGGCGGTTTGTAGAGAAGAGCACTTCTCTAAGTGCCCTTGCTTAATGGTTTGTGATAGTTTTCCAGATATCATTCTACTATTCCAGCATTTGTACTACAAAAACATAAGGTTTTGTAGACACAAGTAGTGAAAGATAGTGTGACTTTTGTAGTTGAGCAGTCTCGTGAAGAGATGGAGGCAGAATATTTACTAATACTTACATACTAGTAAGTAATTTTTCATCTATAGTAAAAGGATTGACAGACCTCAACACATCCATATCTGATGAAGTAGGTGTGCACTTGTGTGATGTTATTTTTCTCCTTTAGACTTATCATGACTACCTTGTTTAGTTTATTATATTCTCAAACAGAACTGGTTAAAACTTTACCTGTCCTGATGCACACCTAAAAGCAAAGCCATACTTTATTATTGTTGAGACAGTATGAAAAAAGACTGTATCGAAACCATCTTCAAGGCAAAAAAGAATAAAAATTCTTTTGCCATGAAAAGCCTACACAAGAACAAAAGATATAGCACAATACCTACCCACAAAGATATCGTAATTGTGGCATCACTAATTCTTGTATATTTTTCCACTTTGTGTCTTTATTTATTCCACTTGCTTTATATCTTTGAGGTGCCACTGGTTCTCTTTCCATTACAGTTGTTAGGCTTGTAATGTAATACCCAGAATGATGGTTCTTTTCTTCCTCCACAATGGGTGTAACTTTTTCTTTTCGTGCAATTCTTGAGAGGGCAAATTATTTTCTAGCAAACAGTATGATGTTAGTTGGAAATCTGGTAATTTAATTAAGCATCAACTCAGTGTCCTTAGTTTCACTGGGAGAGACAAAATTTCCTGCAAACTTTAAAAAAAATTCTCAAGCGTTTTATCCTCCACAGTATGTTAAGTAACATGGTTTCCAGCTTCAAAACCCTTTCTTCTTCTTGTGCCACATACATCAATTATGGAAAAGGGAATACAATGATTAGCTTTAGACATCAATTTATCTTCTTCAAAGACAACAGAGGGCATAGTTTTCTGGTTCTGCAAGAGGCTTAGTAAAGATAGAAGAGCCTGATTTGAAGTGCCTCCGACCTGGTTTGGCTTGAGGTTGCCCCTGAGTCTGACTCCTCTGATCTTGGCAGTAATAAAATTTGGAGTATGTTGATCTTGAAAGATCTGCTGATATTCAGTGAGAGTTCTGCAAACATAGAGTATACCTAGTGAGGCTGTAGTGGTTATTTCATTCCGGCAACATTGTAGGGACTGACTTAGAGCCTGCAATATTTCAGGTTTAGGAAACACAATCTTTTATCAGAGTTCAGGAAGGACCACAGAGAACATTCTGGGAAGTTGCTGTGTATTGGCTGAATTAGTGACCAAATAACTGGATCTTGCAGACATACTGGCACAGTCCTGCCCTTTCAATGGAGAATGGGTAAAATTGTAACTTGATTGCTTCTTTAATACTAGTTTAAAGATTGTATGTTTTATTGCTGAACTATTTTTCCAACACTGTTGATGATGTTTCATTATTCTGGGTGATAAGTGTTCTGTAGTATAGTCAGATCTTTTAGATCGTCTTCAATGATTTGACCATTGTTTGTTTAACTGCTATTTTGATTATATGTGTCCGTTTAAGCTATGAAGAGAAGTGCAGTATTTAATGAGTTCTTAAATACTCTTACATTTGATACTTGAATATGCTCTAACTTCTGAAAAAGGAATCTAAGAACTGTCAGAATGTTGATCTTTCATAGTATTTTATGTTACCTTGATCGCCAAACACATTCTTTTAGAGATTCAGTTTAGTTCATTCTAATAGTGAATAACTGAGGAATGTAATTTTTCATTGATCATAATTTAAGGTGGATTAACACACATGCTGCCACAAAGTGCAGCATGTACACATACTTTCTGATTTTTTTAGAAGGACAATAGTGCATCAGGGGTGGAGAACCTCAGTCTAAAAGGCTAAACACAGCTCTGTTGCTCTTGGAACTCTTCCAGGCATGCCCCTTGCTGGCTTTGTAGTGTCCTTGAGTGTTTTTGTCTGAGATGTGTTTTTGAAGTAATATTTTACCTTTTGTTTGATTGAATGGAGGCTAGAGAGATATGTGTAGAAACTATTGTATAAAGGTAAATTTTTACATTTCATGCTGTGCCCACTTTTGTCTCTGACACGTAGCACTGCCCTGTGGCCCACAAAAGGTTGCCCGAAAGGAAATGCAGCCCTTGGCCACAGAATTGTTCCCCATCGCTACTATACATGTCCACTCAAAAATAAACCCCATTCAGTCATTCGATGTTCTGTATACTATCTGAAAAAGACAAATAAACAGTTAAAAAACCCCATTGCATTTCTTTAGGAGTTACTCCCAGCCAATAGTATTACAATTGTAGTCCTAAGTAATTTTTCACGCTCTGAGAGTTTGTTACAACAAAAAGAAGAGAATCTATTGGCAGTTTAAAGATAAACAGATTTAGTATGGTGTATGCTTTCATGGACAAGAGTCAGTTTCATCAGATACATGAAGTGTTACCCTCAATTTAAAAGCAAACGTAAATGAGGCTGAATGCTCATTAAATGTAAAAGAGGAAAAGGGGGTTGGATCTGGTCAGTGGTCTGGATCATAGAGTCTGACCTCTGCAAGCTAAGTTTGATAGGGACCACCCACCTATCAATCACTTGACATCCCTGTGATGATGGTGATGTTTTTCACCCTGTGTGGTACATGGCTTTGAAGGTCCTGACCATTGTCCAATTGTTAGAGTTTCAAAGAGCTGCACACAGCTCTGCAATCATTGATAGCCTGCTGATTGTTAGTACTTCCAGAGAGCCTTGTATTGCACTTTAAAGCCCCAACAATTAGCTTATTGTCAGAACTTCAAAAATCACATACTGCACTGGGCAAAATTAGATTGCCCAATGTCATTGTGACATCAGTTGGTTGACTTCCTGCAAGCACTGGTAATCAATCAGCTGATGAGTGGTGCTTAGGAGAGAACTGTATGGGGGATGCCTGCAATTCCCCCTTTGCCTGCCCCACAGCCAGTATCATATATGATGTCAGGTGTAGGACAGGTGAGCATGGCTCTGTCGTAATGGTCTCATGGGCTAAGTGGAAAGGCCTGGAAGGCCTAATTGGGCCCCATAGGTCAGAGCTTCTTCACTGCTGGTGTAAGAGGTGTATGAGGACTGTTCGCACACACATTTGGTCACCATATGAATGCTGTACACTTAGGCTTCAATCCCTAAAATAATGCATCCAGTGAAATGCTTGGAAAGGGCAGCCATATTTATGTAAAGTGGCACATGCATGGTTTTTCTTCCTGACATTTTTCTTAATGTGTAGGCATTGTGGGTGGAAGCAGAGTGTAGCCAGTAGATGCAGTGCAACTGTGCAATCCATGCATGGAGAGTGCATGTGCATTTGTAAACAGTGTGACATTTCTATACAAAGTTGAAATGTATACAAAGAAGCACTGTGACCATTCACAGCTGTAGCACAAACTTCATAACATAGCACACCTATAGGGGAAGAAAAAATATTTGGTCTCAGTTGAATCTTAAAATCACTTACTGATTCATTGTAGTTCAGCATGTTCATGCTAGAATTTTTCCTCTGAAATTCTTTTACTGAAGAACTGAGACTTACAGACTAGCAGTATGTTCATGGGAGATTGAAATGTTTGCTGTTTTTTATGTCAGGTTTGTAACTGTCCTTCTGCTTAAGATAAATATTTAATATGGTCCTTAATATAGTCTGTGTGGAAACATTCAGCATTTAACATCTCAACTGAGGGGCAAAGTAGATGTGGCAGCAACACAATTTAGGCTGGATTGTACTGAAATCTGTAGTGAAATTGCAGTGGGAGATCATGAAGTGGGGAGGGAGGTAAACCTTCTGTGCCAACCTCCTAAAATAAAGTCTTTTAAGCTATTTCTCTTAGTGAGGCTTGCTTCAGTCATGGAGCACCACTGATAGAAGGTTCTCTCCCCTCCCCCTTTAAAGCAGGCTTGGAGAGAGACCATAGCAGGGGATGCTTCTCCTGCCTGTGCTGTCAGCCCATCAGTGCTGCCACCCCATTTTGTAGGGGCTTTGCATTATTGTAATTCACTTCTCCTGACGTAACTTCTAGTTTGGCCCCAAGTGAGCTACTTCAGAAGTACATGAAGGAGAAGTTGGGAGTTTATCTGTGTACTGTTGAGAGTTGCGCCAGAACCTGTGGAGCAACCCTCAAGTTCTTTCAGCTTTGCTGTTTTTACAGAATAATGAACCATTGTCAAATGACTTTGTTTTTCATAAGGACTTCTGGAAAGTGCTGGGAAATGGCTGTCTTTGTTTATCTAGACATAGGTGGCTGTCCTGTTGCTGATTCCTTTAAATTGATTCTTGTGTGTTTACTAAAATCTGCCCTCTCATTGAGTTTAATTTTATGCTGTACTCTAATATAGATGATTGGAATGGATTAGAGGTTTTTAAAGATAAATGCTGCCAAAAGAGCACATGATTTACCTTTTATTTGTTTTCATCCCAGAGTTGCTGGGTCTTCATTGATTTCTGGGAGAAGAATGCCCCAATGCTGAAAATAAGTCTTTGAGGGTGATTCTGCCTGTCCTTTGTTTCATACTTAAAGAGTTTATAAAGCAGCTGTCATTCTGTGACTTGCAGAAAATGGGATGGAACATAACTTGGGGACCACATTTCCTTATGTAGGATCCACAAAAGAAAACTAATCTAGTTGTACAAAATTAAACCATAGCTTACTGAACTGGTGGTAATCTCTGCACAGAAGCTAGGTCATGAATGTCCTCTTCCATTCCTTATTGCTGCCTTCTCAACGAAGTATATACTATTGCTATTGATGATAAATTGTTTGCCTTTTCTGTTCCTTTGTTAAATGATGCGTGAATATTGGACCCTCTGTTTTGTGAAGTGGCCCACTAGAGATGAAGAAAACTATTGAGTGATGATCACTCTTTCTGGAATGAATTCCCCTTACACTCTATAACGCCTGTATGCCTTCCAATCTGCTCTGAAGAGTTTGAGGATCCTCTAGAACAGATTGGGGAGCATGCAGAGGGATATAGTGAGCAGGAGAAGAAAGGGAAGTCCCATCATGTGAATTGTGTAACACTGCATGCTTATTCTCTTAGAATAATACGCAAAGTCTTTTATATTTGAAACTGAGAATGTGGATCTTTATAAATAGGAGTTTTCAGTTTACTGAAAGCTGGTACATGGAAAAGTTGCAGACATGTTTGTGTTGGTTAGTGTGGAGAAACAAACCTTTCTGATAATCTTTCGTGTGTTGTGTAACTGAAATTCCTTAAAATTGTGCCTCAACTTCCAGTCTTCTGAGTTGAAAAATTGAGTTCCTGCACACTGATTATGCATAGTGTAGTTACAGTGCTCATATTATTTATATACTAAGCTTCAATATAGTTGTGAGAAGGCAACTGTATTTTCAGAAGCTAAGTTTTATTTACGGGAAAGCTTCCAATGCAGTGTTATGATCCCCTGCTTAGCTAAAGATTGACAGCTTTTGTACTAATGCTGTCAGAGTAACTTTTACTGCAACCTTTGCCATTCTTTTAGGTCAACTTGATCACCATGTTCGGGCGTATGGGCTGTTGCTGCAGCAGTGTCTGTCTGACTGTGCTCAGAATTTTGCCATTTGGAAACTACCGTATTTTTCGCTCTATAACACGCACCTAGTTTTTAGAGGAGGAAAATAAGAAAAGAAATATTCTAAATGAAACAGTGGATGTATGATTTTTGTGGTTCATGCTGTGGCCACAGACATGTGATCTGACGGTGAGTTTGGAGTAGCCCAATGCAAAAATCCTGAGGATCCATGTGGATCCATGCTTTGTAACCACGTTTTTGCACCATTGCGGCCCCAGGCAACAGTCAGTGCGTGCTATGTAATCTGATGGTGAGTTTGGGGTGACCCGGTGCAAAAATCCTGAGGATCCATGTGGATTCGTGCTTTGTAACCACGTTTTAAGTGGGGAGGGAAGGAAAAGCACTCAAGGGACAAGGAGCGCGCGTGGGGTGTGTGGAGAAGGATACTGCTAATAATGCAGGAGAGGGGTTTAAGGGGAGAAGGAACACGCGTGGGGTGTGTGAAGGATGCTGCTAATAATTCAGGAGAGGGGTTTAAGGGGAGAAGGAACACGCGTGGGGTGTGTGGAGAAGGATGCTGCTAATAATGCAGAAGAGGGGTTTAAGGGGAGAAGGAACACGCGTGGGGTGGGTGGAGAAGGATGCTGCTAATAATGAAGAAGAGGGGTATAAGGGGAGAGGGTTCCTTTCCCCTCCCACTTTGCTCCTTTAAAGCAAGCAGGCTCTGCTTTTCTCCCTCCTCCCCGCTCATCCCCGGCTTAGCGAGCTGGAAAACTTTGCTGCTATGTAGCAAGCTGAGTGGGGAGGAGAGAAGGACAGAGAGCCTGCTTGCTTTAAAGGAGCCAACCGCTTTGCTCCTCTCCCGCTTTGCTCCTTTAAAGCAAGCAGGCTCTCTGTCCCTCTCTCCTCCCCACTCAGCGGCTCTTCTCCCGCTTTGCTGTTTCAAAGCGAGCCACGGAGGAGGGAAGGAAGGGGAACCATGGATCCTCTGCTCACGACTGCAGCAGATCCCCCCCGCCACCCGTAGGCATTCCCTCCATAACACGCACAGACATTTCCCCTTACTTTCTAGGAGGAAAAAAGTGAGTGTTATGGTGCAAAAAATACGGTATTTCACCCCTTAGAAATTGGTAGAAAGTATTCCTCAAGGCTTGATGTTACCATCTGTGCTGCTTGGTTTATTACACTTGCAGGCTGTGGACGATCTGTCTGTGGAAGTTAGGACTAGAACTTTCTTTATGACCTTCCAAAGAGTCTGCAACGCTTTGGGTTGTTTGAGGAAACTGTTGGTATAGGGTTTGTTTGTTTTTCTCTGAATCAATTATCATGTTCAACTTTTATTTTTATATTTAGTGTATTTTTAAGTGAACTGTTTTTGAAAAGGTGGTCTATAAATAAGTAAATTTAGCTGCCCTGAACTTTAGATTGGAGGAAGGGTAAATCTTTAATAAATGAAATAAAATAAATACATTTTAACCTGCTGAAGATACTGAGTGACAGTAAATAGTCCTGAAAAATATTATTTGTTGTTGACTTTCTCTCTCTCTCTCCCCCCACCCCTCCTGTACAATAGGCAAGCACACACCTTAACAGTCCTGTTCATCCTGACCTGCACCCTGGGATATGTGACACTGCTTGAAGAAACCCCACAGGATACAGCCTACAACACAAAGAGGTAACTAGCTGTCGCATAAGTGTTGCAGTCAGCTTTTATTGCCAGTTTTTTATTAACTAGCTAGAGTACCCATTTTTCTTATATTTACTTTTAATTTATTTTGGATTTTGATAAATTTATCAGTCCATTGTAAGCATAGCAATGACTCCCCTGTCGTTTGTAAAAATAACATCCCCAAATATGTAAATATGTTTTCTGTATGAGGAGATTCCACAGTTATATCAAAGTTTTAACTTATGTAGTTGTGTAAGGAAAAAAGCCTTTTGTTTATTGACTGAATTCCTCGACTTCTATCAGGAGATAGAAGGGACTCAAGGGACAAGGAGCACGACTGCCCCAAAGTAAAGTAAATAAAAAGGATAAACCAAAAGGCTTCTCCCATAGAGAAGCATTATTAAAATATTCCTATCTGCTGAAAATAAAACAGATTGATGTTTTCTGTAGAGTAAGTCGTACGTAAAATTTGTTAAATAATACTGGGCAGGATTCACCTAGCCAGGATTCACATAATCTGCAGAAGCCCTGTGCAGACTTCTTCTTGCATATTGGGGCTTTCTGCCTCTGTGCAGGTGTGTGTCAGGAGGCTCCCCAGAACAGTGTGCAGGGGGAGGAAGGGACGGGTTGTTCCATCTAGCAGGCTGCAGTGCTTGTGCAGATAGAAGGATGGAAGGAGTATGAAGTTTAATTCTACCACAATTTTTTAAAAAAATATTGTGGGAACTATAGTTCCTGTGTTACAGTTTTCATATAACTGGTTCATATTAGAACCACATACTGAATTTTTGTATATATAAAGCTACTGAACGTGTCTGAATATATTGAAACATGTGTGTGCTACTTGTGGAATAGTTGGAAATTACGGTGTTGTGGTAGAATAGAAATAATAGGTGACAAGGCTAGTGGCCAGCTTTGTTGCTGCCACCTCTCGTTTCCCTCCCTGCAATGCCAAATACTACTTTCTCCCACCCACTTTCAGCACAAAGGCTCACCTGTGTTACAGTAAGATTATAGGGCTATAGTCAAGTTAATGCAGTATGGCCAGAGTGAATTGTATAATGGTGAAACAAAGACTTGGAGAAGAATGAATATGAAACTCCAAATCGCGGTACAGTCTGGACAAAACAGGAAATTATGGTCATCAGCTTCAGAGCAGTGCAGGATATTAAACCAGCTTTAAACTGTTGTGGTTTAATACCTTCGTTTGTGTCATAGTTACTGTAATGTCTCAGATTGAATGAAACAGAAAACTCTTGTTAATTAGAGGTGCACCACGAAAGAAGCAGCAAAGGTCATGTCTTCTCTTATTTGTCACCCCATGATGTATGTAAACTGACTGGCTCTCTTAGGTAAATGTTACCTAGGGCCAGAAATATATTTCAAAATGGTGTGGTTTTTTTTAGTTCAGAACTTGCATTAAGTCAGGCTGTATACCTGTAGAACGTTGGCTGCAGGTTCTTGCGTGTATGACAAGTGTAGTATCAACTGATGTTGCATAGCTGATAGATGCACATTATAATAGGTTTTCCCATATACCATTTAAGTTGCAGAAATATAGCTGCAAAATACGGTCAAACCTTGGTTCCTGAATGCCTCCGTTATTATACGTTTCGGCTCCCGAATGTAGAAAACCAGTTTTCGAACATTTTCCGGAACCCAAATGTCCGACGCGGCTTCCGCTTGAGTGCAAGAAGCTCTTGCAACCAATAGGAAACTTCGCCTTGGTTGTCGAACATTTTGGAAGTCAAATGGTCTTCCGGAATGGATTACGTTCGACAACCGAGGTTTGACTTTATTGTATGTGTGAACTTGGCTATATATGGTTATAAAAGAGAGGCTGGTCTTTAACTACCCTATTGGAGTTGTTTTTCAGTTGACTTTATCATGGCAGCAATTTTTATTGTAGGCTTTTGTAGTTCTTTTTATCAAACATCAGTGCTCTTGAAAGAATGTGATGCTATTCTGACATGCCTTCAGTAATATTTGTAAGTGGAAAATAGGTGTGGAAAATTGGAGTGAGTGGTGTCTGTGGAAAATTTCGGAAATGTGTCATCTGTGTATTCTAGAACTTGGAATACAATTAGTGTTCTTGGTTTATTGAGTTAACTTGGTGAATTTATTTAAAGATGACCTCAGATTTTTATACTGTATTTTGTGCTTCATCATCTTGCACTTTGTAAAGGCACCGTGCTGGTGATATTAATGAATTATTCCAGTTGATCCTAGTTTCCATTTCTATAATAAATGATAGTTATGCCATGCATACCTAAAACTGAATGAGACTCAGTGCTTTTTTCTGGGGGTACGCAGGGGTACACATACCCCTAAACATTTTGTGAATCTTAAGTTTGGCCTCATTGAGGGACAGTATTTCAATATGAGTAGGAAAATGAGAGTACCCCTAAACATTTTTTTTAGAAAAAAAGCACTGATGAGACCCATAAGTAAACTAGCAGATCCCAATCCTTACACAAAGTTGGACTAATAGCCAGCTCAGCCTAATAAATCTAAATGCTGGAGAGACAAGGTTTTTTTTCCATCCTGTAACTTAAAATGCCAGAAACGGAAGCTGGGAATGTATGTATGCAAACCATATGCTCTTCAACAGAGCTTCAGTTCTTCATTCCAGATGTGAGTAGAGCTGTTGAGGGACTCACAGGTTTAGGTTGGAGGTGCATTGATAATGCTGTAAATGGAAGAGTTTCAAATCTAAAGGCCTCTCAGTATATCGTTCTGACCACACTCTGAAGTCTAGAGTAGCACACCTTTCAATCCTCTTTTGGAAGGGCATCCTATTCTTAGTGGTATCTAATGAGGGGCTTTGTCCTAGGGATTCATTGAAGAGCTTAGATTTCATGGAGGGTAATACTATCAAAGGCTGCTAGCCATGATGTCTATGTGTTTTCTCCAGTCTTGGAAGCAGTATGCCTCTGAATGCCAGTTGGTGGTAATTGCAAATGGGGGAAAGTGCTGTTTATACTCGGGTCTTGCATGTAGAGTTCACCTGGGCATCTCATTGGGCACTATGAGAACAGGATGCGTCTTTGGTTTGAACCAAAGACTCTTCTCATGCTCTCACATTGTTGAATAACCTGAGGTTATCGTTAAGTCAAAAACAGTTGACTGCAGATAAAAGAAAGCAACATGATTTGATGGATGTAAAAGATCTAAAAATAATAGATGACATATTTCCTAGATTTCACATTTGGAAACCTCTTATCACAAAGGGAAGAGAGTGCAGGGACAAAAACTTCATACTATGACCTGAATAAAAAAAAAGCTGAGGCATCTCATAATGTTGTCATTGACTGGGCAGAAGTGATAACCAGTGTTTAGCCAATGATTCGTCTGTGTAGGTGGATACAGATATGCAGTTTATTTCTTAATCACATTTTAGATGTCTCTGCAACATCCCCCTTAATGCTGCATTGACTAGGTTGAGCTACTGCTTCAAGCATAGTGTAACATATGGCACCACCTATAAAATAATTGCACTGGCTGCCAGTTCTGTGGTGCTGACCTACAAAGCCCTAAACATCTTGGGCCCAAGTTATGTTTACAGACTACCCAGTCAGTAAGACATTTGAATGAGGCCCTTATGTTTGTGCTACAACCTGCTGAGATCCATCTTGCAGGAACTAGGGTGGTGGTCTTTTTCATTGTTACCAAGCCTATAAAACAGCATTGCCTTGTGTGATAAGTAGGCACTAATGGTGCTTTGTTTTGGTGCCTGATAAAAGTTTTCTCCCCAGCCTTCACTTCCCATTAATACCAGCTTACTGTAATTTGTACTGGCTCTGTAGCTGCTGTTGTATTGTCTTAATTATTTTTAATGGGCTGAATTCAGCTACCCAGTTCCGTTAGTGAATGCCAGCATGAAGATTCCCACAAGAAGAATGGGGCTCTCTCTTGCACCTCCCCCAAATCTTTTCTGGAGGGTTGGGAGAACCCCCAGAACGGGAGTGGGAAGAGAAATTGTTTCATCAGTTCTGTTGGGCAAGCTAAAATGCTTGCACTTTCTCCTTTGTGCTATATTGAATTCCACCCATTGTATATTCTTAATTGATTGAGTGTTTCATGAAAGGTGATATAGAAGTAATATTTAAAATAATAAAACTACTGAGCATATCCTTAATATGTGAGCAGGTTCCAGTGCACTGTGTAGTTGATGTAAGGTGGTGATCAGTGTAATTACATGTGATAAAGTACTGTCAGGCAGCAATTAGAAGATGTATTTCTACCCTGTTTTGGTCTTTTTTCCTCTATAAATTAACAAGAAAGCATGCCTAATTACTCATAAGGGATTAAGAGTTCAAATGGAGGCTGCACTTAAACTTGCTTGTTAACCTGGTGCACCTTGGCTAGCATTATACTCTGGGTATATATCTATAGTTCCAGATTTGAGATTTTGTTGCAGTATTGTGGTTTGCCACTCAAGGCTGCTGACTTGCTTTTTGGTCTGCACACAGATAATTTAGGTTCCTGCAATTTGAATTGATCTTGCTGCTTTGGTTTTATGGAACGTAAAACCAAATGAAGGCGTAAACCATTCATTTAGTTCTTTACATTTTCCATGACGATATAGAGTTTCATAAATAATCTATGTGAATTGGACTCCCTTTATAGAGTTATAAAACTCTAAAACTGTACATAGCCTGAACATTCTCCCTCTGATATGTGTGCCTCAAACTTCAGATTAGCAATTATCTTTTTACTCAAGAAGCAACATAATTTCAAATTATGGTAAGATAAAAAAAGTGATGATTTATAGCAAGATGCATGAATTAAAGCAACATGTTTAATCTAGATTGCCTTCAGTGAAACTTAAACAGGGTCTATAAATTGGTTCCATGTTGTCTTAACTCATGATAACTTGACCCAGATGTTGTTTTTTAGCATTGGTGTAGGGCAGTATACTTTGTTATAGAGGTCACAAACCTGACTGAATCTGAAGACATGGTGTGGCTTCCAATAGTTTAGTAGTTTAAACAGTTCATCCTTATAACTAGGTTTCAGTACTATGGTTCAGTAACTTGATTGATTTGAAAATATTTCTATCTATTTTAGTTATTAAAACTTTTGTGGTAACTTACAGCCACACTAAATAAGGGGATAGCCAACTAAGTCAGACTCAAAGTAGACCTGTTGAAATCATAGGCTTGAGTTTGTATCATTTATTCCAATTGATCTACTCTGAGTATTACTAACATTGAATATCGCTCTGTAATTGTGGCTTGTGTACTGGAAATACTTAAATACTAGGTTGACTTTCTTTAAGGATTAATTCACGTTTGCAGAAATAGAATATGTTACAGCCTTTTCCAGACAGTTTTAAAGTGCCAAGGAGATCACATATGCCTATGGAAAACTAGTATGTAATTAGCCAGACCTGTTGATCTATGACTGTGCCTCACTCCCCTTTTAGCTACACATTACGGAGGCTGAATATTACCTGTGCTTCCCCATAACATTTATGAGCCAAGTAACTGTTTATGGTATGAATGACAAATGGAAGCATGTCAGATTGTATAAAGGGGACTTCCCATGTTGCAGATGACCAGGCAAGTTAATTATAACTCAGCTACAGACTGGTGGATCCATACCCAGACACGCAGTTAGCTTGGGACTTCCATCCCCTTGCTGCCTTTATCAGCTTTGGCACATTGAGAAGGGAAGAAGCTGCCTGGTAGACTTCTCAGGGGGTCCCTGCTAGGAAGGAATTCAGCTGCTACCAAAGCAGGTAGCAATGACCTCATAAGGTCTTGATTCTCAGCAAGACCTCATTAGTGTCCATGGGAAATAATTTCAGTGTTAGAAACTCAGATAAATAAGCTAGGCACCAAATGGCTCCTTAAACCAGGGTTACAGTTGCCAAAATTAAATGTCTAGTTGGCATTTTGGAGCCAGACAGCTCAAAAGTTGTATTTTTCAATACAACTTTCTGGTTCCTGAAATTTGTTCTGATTGTACAGATAAAATATTGGGGGTAGAATTCTAAAGGATGTGTTGTTAGTGTGCAGAAACAGGAAAGATCTAAAGATCCCCAGACATGCACCTTCTGATGGTGGAGACATCAGGCACCAGGTGCCCAGGAATCTTCACTTGATTGTAAGAGGCCAATAGCCAGGTACAAAATGCGCCTAGTGCCCTGCGAATTTCAAACTCTGAATCATTCCCTTCTTGATATGGCCACACCAAAAGCAGAAGCTGTGGAAATTGAATCGTGCCAACTGCTTGACTGATCTGAATAAGATTTTTAAGAACCGACCTGCCTTTCAATTTTAAGAGAATCAGTGTTGTATCTTTTGGTTTTTCTCAAAAGGATTTGCGAACAGCTTTTTAGATACTTTAGATACTACTAAAATGTATCTAAAACAACCTATTTATCACAGAGTATGAACTTCATGGTCATTCAGTCTTCAAGACTAGACTGCCTTCAAATAGTTTTTCTGATTTTAGATGTTCTATGGACTTTCAAAAGACATATTTAACAAAAACCATTCATGAACAGATGTAAATTGAAAGTGTTTTTTTTCCAGAGGTATTGTTGCCAGCATTTTAGTTTTCTTGTGTTTTGGAGTCACTCAAGCAAAAGATGGGCCATTTTCAAGACCTCATCCAGGTAATCAAAATTGCTCATATCATAAAAATTCTCTTGATAATGATACACTTGGTAAAATGGCTCCTAATGGTTATATGTAAATGTTGAAAGTAGTAACCTATGTTTCATAGCCTGTATCCCCTAGGTAGAATGTGATTTCATTATCAGAATCTAGCATAGTTTTCAGAAGTCCTCATCTGACTGTGTACAAATTAGTCACTTAACGGATGACATATTTTACCGTATTTAATTGAATCTAATGCTCACATTTTTTGGCCAAATTACATTGCGAAAATTAAGGCGTGCATTAGATTTGATGGCACATTTACTTTCGCCAGCAAATACTTTTTTTGTTTGTTTCAAGGTTCTGAAAATTGAGGTGCGCATTAGATTCGATGGCGCATTAGATTCAAGTAAATACAGTATTTGCTATAAAAACGTAAGAAGAACCTGCTAGATCAGACCAATGGTGTATGTGTATGTAGGCTGGAGAAACTGCAACTGCGGAGCATTGTGGAACATAAACATTCCGCTTAGTGAGTGCTTAAGAAAAGGACACACATTTCAGTTATCTATTTCAGATTTAGATTATACCTGGAAAAGGTGTGTGTGTGTCCGCCCCCCCCCCGCCTCTTCTACCAAAAAAACTTACCTTGAGTAAGAGAGGCAGGCAAAGAGAGCACTAAATTCACGCTCCTGTTCCACTGTCTGCCGCCTGCCCCCAATTCCACTAGTCCATCTGCCACCAGCCACCCTGTGGAAAAGACTGTGGGATAGAAAGAGACGCAGGCAAAGAATAGCCTTCTCCAGCTGGACTATTGTCTTCCCCACAATAGGGTTGTCTACTATTGAATGCCCTGTGGGAAAGATCCTGATGACTTGTTACATTTTTATATTTTTGTGACTTTATTAATGTATATTGTTGTTACAAATTATTTCAAGTATCCTTGAAGATGTGATATAAATAATTATATTGAAAAGGGAAGTTGATGGAAAATGTATGGTTTGTATTTTGCTAAACACCACTGTGCAGATTTGTAAAACTGAAAATGATTAAAAAAACCCCCATTAAGGTATTTAACACCAATGTATGTACTGTATTCACCATCCCTCACTTGAAGTTTTGCTAAACATGGTAACTTGATAAATGTTTTGCGTCACAAAGACAGCTTCCTCTGTGGGAAGTTTTACACACAAACACTCTTCTTCAGAGCATTAATATTTTTGTCTGACTTATTTTTATTTCATTGTCAGACGTACAATGGAAATATTGTTGTAGACAATTTGCTGAAGTATGCTACTGTGATGCACGAGTGCAGCAGTATGGCTCTATTTGTTTAGATAACACAGTATCCTTGTTTCTTGTTTTAAAAATTTATTATATTTATATAATTGCAGCTTAGCAAATACAATCAAATTTTGCAAATATAACAGAAAAAATAACAAAACAAATATAAATAACAAGAAGAATAAGATTGCCAGCTGATATTAACATTAAGAATATTCTGACACTTCTGATATAAACATATGATATAATTCTGATATAAACACGGGTAATTCAAATGTCCAAATAGGTGCCTAAACAGAATTTACAATTAAGAAGTTGTTCATTCAGATGTAAAGGACAGTGAGATTCAAACCACTAACTGATAGATGGTAGACATTTGTCCATCCAACTTCTCAGTATAGGTATTTTAGCTACCATAAGGTTCTCAAACCCACTTTTATTGCCTGTCTGTTATTCAACACATCACAGAAATATAATTTAAGAGAGTACGAACATTTATAAAAAAATTCTCCAAAACAAAGTTGAGAAACAGTTGTAATTTATGACCAGAAAGAAACATCACAGAACGTGTGCATTTCATATGCCTCAAGAAAGCATTTTCTGATTTACATCAATTCAGTTCTTATATTACATGCTTGGGATATCCATCACCACAGATTCCTTTGTATAATGCCAATTCCAATAAGAAATAAAAAGAATCAAATGTTTTTGAAGCATTTCTATTGTTTTCATAATAGTTTATATTGTGCAATTTTATTGAGTATCTTAAAGTCCTGGATTTTCTTCTGGTCTGTTGAGGATATTCTGTCCATTTTCCATGCCAATGCATTCAGTATCTAGAGTTTCATAGAATTGTAGAGTTGGAAGGGAATAACCAAAATGCATTCATTTCTGTGTATTTGTTGTTTTGTGAATTTCCAAAGCATGATTATTGTATTCAATATTGTATTATTTCATATCCACTTACCCCCCCCAATTTTTTAAAACAACATTCCTACAGTTGTGCAGAGGGTGGACCCACAGATTTTTCTGCATATCTAACAAATGACTGATACTGTTAAGTATCCTCATTTTCAAATTAATGTTAATTTTCTTTCTTTCTTTGTTGAAGGAGGATGAGTATGCAGACCTTACAGTGCAATCCTATGCTTGTCAACTCTCAAATCAGGCCTACTTTGGTCAGTGGGTTTATTCCCTGGCAGGCATGTTCAGAATTGCAGTCTTTGTCACATAATGTGATTCTGTGAGTCACTTGTCAACAAACTGAGTGCTTTAAACACTCATAGTACTGGTTTTGAAGCAAAACATAATGAAAAACAATTTAGAAATTGTAAGTCAGTGCTGACCTTCACTGTTAGAAATGTTACCTTTTCTATCATATACGTGAGAAGAAAAAGGCAACTTGATGCTTTTGTAATATTGAATGGGTGGATCATCTGAAAATGGTTCAAAAGGAATAAGTGGCCAATTTTCACCCCCTCCCCTGAGTTAAGCATTATTTTCAAACACTGCACACATCTCTGCAATTACATAAAATGATTTCCAAAACTGCTTGGAAAGCATAAAATAATCTGCTTTCTACAGAGCCACAAAGCTATTAGAGAAAGGACATTTCAGCTAGTCTGTCATCTGAACTTGAGTAGTGAAGAAGACATAAGGCTGTTAATGAGAGTGCTAGAATAAAAGAATAAATGAGTGATCTGTCACTGAAGAGAAATGAGTGCTAATTAGGGATGCATGAGCATTCCTATGGTTGCCCTGAATGGAGCTTGATCTTTTCAAATGCTCCTTGTGAGCAGCCACAGAACACGCATAGGCACTACAAAACTACAAACCTTATTTGGGTGAGACAGTGATGGGTGTTCCTGTTCCTAGCAGGGGACTGGGGCTGGAACTGTCCCTTTCATTCTTCCTTCCCCACCATCCTCGGACAGCAATTCCTAGCATTCCTGACAGAAAAATGACCCTGTAATTTAGCGCTTGCATTTGTGAGGCAAATGTGGACCTTTTCACAGCAGGGGCCTGTGTGTGGGCATTTGAACTATACTTACCATATCCTAGTTTTAACAAGTGCATTACAGTGTGTTAGTTGTGGAAGTCTCATAATTAAGTTGCCAAAACAGGAGTAGTTAAAAATAGCAATGCTGTGATACACTTCGAAGAAAGCTTGGTAAATGTTTATAATTTGAGGTGTGTCTGAGGAACATTGCCTATGCTGGTTGTTCATTCACGAGATACTTAAATGGAATATCTAAAACTATCATAATAAAATCAGAACTGATATTTTTTGCCAGAGTGGAAAATCTGAGCTACATCCATCTAGCCTTATATTCCTTAATACTGGGACCATTTTCATCAACTATGGGCGGAACAAAGAGAGAACTTGTTTAGCAAGGGTATTATCAGATATCAGATTTTGAAAGGTCATCTTGTCTTCCTAAATATGACACTGGTAGGCAGCTATTAAATATGTATGTGAACCTTGTCTCAAAGGAGTAGAACAAGATTATGTTGTGCAAAAACAATCCTAGATTTATAAATAAATGTGGATAATTGAAAAAATGTGGGTTCCTAGCAGCACATTTCAAATCTTGTTTAGTGTTGTGTTGAAGGCATAATCACTCCATAACTTAAAATGCATTCTGCACTAAAGATACCCATTTATGTGTATGTTCTGATTTTGTTGCTTGTTCTTTTAGCCTACTGGAGGTTTTGGCTGTGTGTCAGTGTAGTGTATGAGCTTTTCCTCATCTTCATACTTTTTCAGGTAAGGATTTAAAAATTGCATCTTTTATGCAGTTTATTGGGGATTTTTAAAGACGTTTTGTAAAAGGTAATAAACATGAACAATAAAATGGGAAGTTTTCTTTAAAAGGAAGCATGCCAACATAGAAAGCTCTCTTTATACCAGACCAGATCACCAGTCCATCTAGTTCAGTATTATCTACTCTTGACTGGCTGCAGTTCTCCAGGGACCTACTTCTTACTGGACCCATCAGGATTTTAATCAGGCACCTTCTGCCTATAAAGCATGTGCTTTGCCTTGTGCCCCCTCCCATAATACAATTTGTATAATTTAATTCTTCTTGGCATCCCTTGTTGTTGTTTAGTCATTTAGTCATGCACAACTCTTCGTGACCCCATGGACCAGAGCACGCCAGGCACTCCTGTCTTCCACTGTCTCCTGCAGCTTGGTCAAAGTCATGCTGGTAGCTTTGAGAACACTGTCCAAGCATCTCATCCTCTGTCGTCCCCTTCTCCTTGTGCCCTCAATCTTTCCCAACATCAGGGTCTTTTCCAGGGAGTCTTCTCTTCTCATGAGGTGGCCAAAGTATTGGAGCCTCAGCTTCAGGATCTGTCCTTCCCGTGAGCACTCGGGGCTGATTTTCTTAAGAATGGATAGGTTTGATCTTCTTGCAGTCCATGGGACTCTCAAGAGTCTTCTCCAGCACCATAATTCAAAAGCGTCAATACTTCGGCGATCAGCCTTCTTTATGGCCCATCTCTCGCTTCCATACATGACTACTGGGAAAACCATCGCTTTAACTATACGGACCTATATGGCATCCCTGCAGTCTAATATAAGATAATGTACCTGTGCAGAATGTTACTGAGAGCTGTCAGAAGAAGAGGTATCCACTCTTCTCAAGGCTAGGGGATTATTGCCTCTGCACTCATTTTCTTTCACACATCCATGTAAACAAAAGCCAAGGAAGCTTCTGTCAGGACTTTCCCCTCTGGCTAGGTAGGTAGTTCTTGGCAAAAGTGTTTGGGTAGCAGTCTCATATCTTGCATGGGATTTCCTGAGAACTGTTAAGCTTATCACAGCACCTTATGGTACATGGGGACTAGTCTCTCAGAACACTGGGAGAGTATTTTAGCTACTATTTCATTTGCAAGTAAACCAGGAAAGCACTTCTTGGTAATTCCATAGGTTGTGAAAATTCTTATTCTTGATTTCAGTGTTCCCAGTTGAGCCTATTTCCTGCAGAAATGCCATAATAATCTAGGTCTGATTCTGTGAGAGTGCCCCTCCCCACTCTGAACAGCTCCAGAGGTTCCAGGGAGGCTCAGATACTCTCTTCCTGTCAGGTGTGTCACAACCATGGGGCTTAAATACTACCAGCTTTGTAGTGGCCATGTACCTGCCCATCTGTTTCAAGTCAAAGCAATTATTTCTAGATGTGGATCTAGTCACCCTTTCCAAAAAAAAAAAGGGGGGGGACTGCCTGAGCCAAGCTGCTTTTCTCCCTTTCCAAATGGAGCCTATACTTTCAAGGGTGAGAACCATAAGCACAACTTCCTTAAAGCAGCCCTTTGTTAACAGGTGGCCTATTGGACTGAATAATGTTCATATGTGTTGCTCTTACACTCTTAGTTCTAGTCTCCTGTAGCCACGTGCCAGTTATTTGAGAGAAGATTTCACTTTCACCTCAAATGCCAAAGGATCTTGGGTAGCTTGCTTCTGTTGTTCAGGAAACAAAGGTGCTCATTGTTAATGAAGCATGTTCTATGGGTGCCACAATTAGGGGTGGAGTGCAGAGTACACTTAGGAGAGTGCTGCAGTAATTTTATTTTATTTATAAAGTTTATACACCGCTTGATTGTAAAAAACCATTACAAAAAGAAAAAACCATTAAATGAAGAAAACATTACAATATGTTAGAACATACAAAAAGTTAAAATACTAAAGCAGATTAAAATTCACATCAGCATTTCTAAGCATCTGGGTAGGCTTGTCTAAGCAATGTTTGTAGAAGGTACTGAAAATAATACATTGAGGGGGCTTTTATCTGTCTTTAGTATTGTCTTGTGTAGGTTATTAACTTATACTCTTTAAGTAGTGAATGGACACAGGGCTTTATACAATCTTTTATTTAAGGTAATGAAACCAAATGTGCTTGACTCTTCCACCTGTGTTGCCGTTTTAGAAAATGTTAAAATTACTATTCAAGAACAGTACAATATTTTGTCATATTAGAACTTGTTTTAACTGTTTCTTACTAATAGATGTGCTTAATTTTTTAGACTGTACATGATGGAAGACAGTTTATGAAATTCATTGATCCAAATTTAGGAGTCCCCTTACCAGAAAGAGATTATGGTGGAAATTGCCTTATATATGATCCAGACAATGGGACAGATCCCTTTCACAATATTTGGGTAAGAGACTGAAACTGAAATATCTGATTTAGCACTGAAGCTGATCTAAAAATTTGTGTTTGTATGATGTATCATTTGGTATTTGTGCTTAATGACAATACATCACCTGCCTCATAACCACTAATGTGTATTCTGTAATTCCATACAAGTGCAGAATTCAGATTCCTGAGAATCTCAGGCTTTACTAAAAACAACAACCAAAAAAAACCCCCCACACAAAACCAAGCTTTCAGCATTTTTAGCTGGTATGGTAAAATGTGAGTATGTGGTGCCTGGAGTAAATACCATAGTCATAGAAGTTGTTGAGCGTTGTTTTCAGATATCAGTGGGCTGAAGATTGAGCCTGTATAGCTTGCCCCCCCCCCCCATGGCTAGTTAGAAACAAAACAAATTGTGTAAAATAAGCAAAATTTCACAGATCTATATTTGGGATTCAGCAATTCTATGCATGAAATTCTGTTGTTGTTGTTGCTGCACAAAATATACACATGCTGCTTATAACTACCAGCTGACCCTTCTATTGACCAGATAGTGCTATCTGTTTGCCTGTAACATAACTAAGCACTTTAGAAGTGGGGTTAAATTATTTAATTGCTCTTTGCAATTCAAAGTGTACTGATGTAAAACTATACCCTTTCTCTGTTGCTGTTAAAGTACATATCTGCCTTAGCATTTCAAAGCTAGAATATTTTACCTGCTCAGACTTAAGACTATAGAAAAAGAATAGGCTACTATCCAAGTCAAGTGTTACTGTGTTCTGGGGTTCAGAAATCTTGTCTGATTTTAGGAGGCACGTGGCAGTGAGAAAGGAAATATACAAGAGCCTCTGGATCAGCAAATTCTGCTTAAAATGTAGAGGCTATCACAATACCTCCACTGCAAATGTCTGTACTTAGCTTGCTATAGTGCTCCTTGCCAAAAGGAAAATATTGTGGCAAAGAAATTGTACATTTCCTAAGAGGGCTTAGCTATCAGTAGAAAATGTAATCCGTTGCCAGCTGATTATGCCAAATTCTGCCTTCATCCACCACCATTTTGTGAATGGCTTTTCCTCTGCACCACTGTTTTGAAACTGACTGGCTTCAATTTTCAGCCAACTCAAATAGGTGGGGTAGAAAATTTGAGAACCTCTGATCTAAGATACAAGGCACTATTCTGTCAAAATTGATATGTTACAAAAATTTGGGAGGAAAAGAATTAGATTTCCCAAAAATGCAATTAAAACAATGCATTAAAATTTATTTTGGGTTAGTGTTGTTGCCTTCCTGGATGAATATTTGCATTTTAGACGTAAGCAATAAAATATTGCCTTGTTGAAATTGACAGTATGTGTGTATCTAAAATATCTGATAAACTTTATGGGAAATACTCCAAACTGCAACCTAGTGCAGTGAACTAGTTACCTTATAAACGGGTCTAATCTGTGTAACCCAGTTTTTCTGCTTGAATTAAAGGACAAACTAGATGGATTTGTTCCTGCTCATTTCCTTGGCTGGTATATAAAGGTGAGAATCGGTCCTTTTCGTGTTCAGCTATTGTTAGCATTTGCAGCTTGACTGCTTCTCCTTCAATGTTACCAGTGTGCAAAATCAATTATGTCAGGGACTCATCTGTGAAAAGGTTTAAACTGTGTTTGTTCAACTTCAACTATTTCTTACTATACTGGGTCATTAATTTCCTTCAAGGCTAGGAATCTTTTTACATGTTGTGTCCTCACATTTTGATACATAAACCTCTAAACCTTTGCATGTTAACAGTAACATATTTTATCTGGGTAATAGCCAGTATTTGTCTGGAGTAGACCTCTTGAAATCAATGGACATAAGCAACCACTGATTTCACTGAGATTACTCAGAATATGATTTTCTTGGATATCACCTATTGTCAACAGTTGACTTCAGAACTTAGTTTAATGACTTAATTGCAACTATGGGGGAACATTTGCTTAACATGGAATTTTGCATGATGTTCTCATGTTGCTGCATCATCATAATAGTGCTCCATTAGGACAGTGCAACAACATCTGTATTTTTATATAGTTGTCATGGATATTTAGCATTTCTCTTCCAGGTAAAATGCTGATTGTGCTGCTCAGTATTTAATCTCAAAATTAAAGCAGCCCAGCCACCCATTGGCCCCTCGGTGAAAGGCAGCTTCTTTCAGTTGAGTAGCTTGTTAAACCTTCTGCTCCATCTTCTCTGTGACTTACAGGTACATGCAAGTGGCTAGTTTGGTAATCTTTTCTGCTCTTTTTGATTAAAACTAGAATATTGGATAGTTGATGCAGAGTTTGTCCCTGCAGGATAAACATGAATAGTACTTTCAGATCAAAATAGAAACATCCTTGAGAGTCACCCCAGGTTTTTGAAAGATGTCTGAAAACTTAAAGAATAGTTCTGTCTTCTGCTTGAAAATATGTTTACCAGTCTGTGCTTCTCATGGTTATAAGGTCTTCTGATCCGCTTGTCTGGAACTGCTGATCTTCAAAGGAGCACAGAGATCTGGTGTGCAGCCTACTATACTGTTATCCGCTATGGCTGCAAGCTTTCCCCGCTATATTTAACTCAGACTATTCTGAACCTTTGTAGAGCACACTATATAATGCTTGTTCCTTTATTTAGTAACTCAAGATTTTGAATAATCTGTAGGATTAACTTTCCTTTTCATTTTTTAAACCCTTTCAGACATTAATGATTCGTGATTGGTGGATGTGCATGATTATCAGTGTAATGTTTGAATTTCTGGAGTACAGTCTGGAACATCAGCTCCCAAATTTCAGTGAATGTTGGTGGGACCATGTGAGTACTGTTCTCTAAAGAAATATGCTAATGGATCAAATTACTACGCCAAGAATCTACTTTAGGTGCTTTAGTTACTAATGTGAGTAGCATTAGGTGGATGGGGGTGTTTCTTTTTCTTTCTTTTTTTAATCCTTGCTATCTGAAATCCAGGTAGTTCTAAACTGTAATATTGTCTGTATGAATTACCTTTTTGTGTATGCTAATTAAATGTCTGCTATATGGCATGCTTGAAAAAGACTTATGGTAGTTTATGGACTCTTCCCAATAAATACATTTCCTGCGTTTGGACATAGCAATGAGGAATGTGCAAGAGAAATTAACCTAGGACAACCTCATACTTGCAACCCCCACCTCCACTGCAGCTGTGAGGAGGGAACTGGAAGCTTTTGTTTCAGTTTTTGGGTAGCTGCAGATTAAAATTACTTTGAACCCTAAAATATGGTTGGTCTTAACTATAGTATAGCAGAACTAACCAGCTTGGTAAGCATAGCTTAGAAGTTGGCTTACTTTACTAAACCCATAGTTAAGACTTAGCCACATGAGAGCAAAAGCATTTACCTCTATTGTTTACTAACCACAGCTTGAGAAATGTCATTTCTTGTCCACTTTAGGTTATACAACAATCATTTGAAATAATTTGTAGCATGTGTTAAGTACATATCAGAATTGTGCAAAATTTTGTTGAAAACCTAATTTAATAGAAAGCAAATGTAAAGTATATGCTTGTGAATCCACACTACTGTAGTGGTGGTTTAAGTTAGTTTTTCTTTTCTTTTTAAGTGGATTATGGATGTAGTAGTATGCAATGGACTTGGCATTTATTGTGGAATGAAGACTTTGGGGTGGCTTTCTTTGAAAACGTATTCATGGCAAGGACTTTGGAACATTCCAACATACAAGTACGTTAAATGATAAAATTTCATACCTAAATGAAATAACTTTAAATTCTATGTATGTTAATGTAACCTATTTATTTTCATTTGGGTTGTTATAGTCATTTCATTCTGATACAGACTAGGACTAATCTAGAGTAAATTATTTATTGCATTTCACAGAGGCGTTGCTCAAAAAGAGTCTTAAGGTGACTAACAGTCAGTATCCAATATACAACAAATGTGAACATATAACAATAGCTAAATGGCTAGTGATTACAACCTTTTTTTAAAAAAGAATTTTTTAAAAACTAGAAATATGAATTTATGTTACATAAATATTTGACTTTCTGGAAGGTGATAGATTAGGCCAACTGGCTTCTACAGGAGATGAGGAAGAGGCAGTAGGGTGCTTTTTGCCATTTTTACTACTAAAGCTATAAAGAGTAACTATGATATGAACCATATTTCTCATGAATGAAATTGTTGCTCTCTAGCTTCTGTAAATACTTCTCAAAATGCAAAGTTGAGTAAGTCAAAGCTGACCACCAATAACCAACTATGGCTTGCTAATTACCAGTGTAAAACCAAACGTTTCTTATGCATCATTCATATTTCTGATATGCTTATTCATTGCATTAGTCTTTAAAGAAGTGTGTTTTAGACAGTAATGTTCCCAGGTACCAAGTTCCTTATAGTTCCTTTCTTATAGCATCAGTCTTTAAAGACAGGAGAATAGCTTTCTTGATTGGCTTCATTCACACAAAACACTAAACCATGGCTTAGTCTTAATCGTTTGTAGTTCAACAAACCATAAGTCATCCATCTCTCAGCCGAGCAAACAAGTACAGTAATGGATTGTTTCTCTAAAGCTTGGTTTGTTTTCCAAACTTCTTCACTCATACCTTTATAGCTTGACATGCATCTGGAGTAGGATGCCAAACAACCCATGGTTAAGCAAAACTGTTTGGTTCAAACATAATGTCAAATCATAGTAAAGGCAAACCATGGTTCATAAGCCAACAGCAAACAGTGCCTTTGCACTGTGGTTTGTAGCCAAAGAAAAAGCCCTTGGTTAATATGCAGGACTTCAAGCCCATGGAGTCAAACATTCAAACAAACCATAGTTAGGCTGGACAAATAAAGACCATATTGTAGAAAAGAACTATGGCCAAATTGCTTTCTGTAAAGAAAAATTGTCTAGGAGCCATATGTGAAATCTCTTAATTTAGGATATTTACCACTTTTTCTCAAATGGTCTATATAAATGTGTATTGATAATTAACCATTTAAATAATGAATCCAGTTTTAACTAGAGGGATAGCCAAGCTCAAATCATGATCACTTCCAAACAAATCCATACTAATTATTGATTAGTATGATTATAGCAATACAGGGAGTAAGACAGTAATCTTGAAATATGAACAAAAATTCACTGATATTTGAAGCAAAGTAAGTTGATTTTGTATAACTTAATAAGCAATTTATTCAAACCTTTTTGGCTTAGCTCAAGGTCTAATATCTAAACAAAGTTAACAAATCCACCAAATTTATTCCCAGCATCCTTGAGCTGCAGTACTGACTATGGAACAGAGTTTTGGGTATTTGAATAGATAGTGAAATAAAAATCATAATTTAGTAACTTGTGACATGGTTAATGCAACACTTTTCATGAGATACTTGTGATTTTCTCCCTCAGAGGAAAAATGAAGAGAATTGCCTTCCAATTCACGCCATACAGCTGGGTTAAATTTGAGTGGAAGCCAGCATCCAGTCTTCGCAGATGGCTAGCAGTCTGTGGTATTATTTTTATAGTAAGGACCAATACTTTATTGTAGCTGCACCAAACTGACATAAGTGTTTAGAATTCTTCTTGCTTTTTAACATTACAAAGATGGAGTTCTCAAATTCTCCCCATGTCAGAAAAAGACTCATTGAGTCTGACATAGTGAAGGGTAGGGTTTCTCTAGCAGCATGCCTATATTTATCCCAGGAGCAAGGCAATTGTAAGAAGTAAGGAGAGAAGAAACCATCTGTACCCATAGCATCTGCAAGTATCTATAAACTGTGCAGAGTGTGCCAATTTATAGCAGGGACTGCTATTTCATTTATTATAAGCCATTTTGGCCCAATTGGTGTGTAACACTAAGCCTAAACCATGGCTCAACATTAATGAGCAAATGTGTGTGTTTCTGGAGAAAAGATTGCAACCTCTTCTGGTCCTGATGCTGTGAGCTAAGCCATGCTTTGGTTTAATACTGCATCTGAACCTGGGCTTATGGTTTATCTTGCTGCAGACAAACCTCAAACTGTAAGCCATAGAACAGAGCCTGGCTACAAGTCATTGTTTGTCTGGAGTGGGATAAACCTGGCATAACATTAAGCCAAGCTATGACAGCCTACAGCCCACAGAAGCACCAGGACTAGAGGAGCATAATGGTTGCGATGTTCTCTTGGGGAACCTGTTCAATGTTTGGCTTAACATTGAGTGAAACTAGGTCTTTGAGTGTGACAGAAGTGGGGTAAAATTTTATTAAGTTCCCTGTTAATACCTGTGCAGGGAAGCCAAGAACATGCTTCCCCATTGTTCCACTGTTGTATAGCTAAAGACAGAAAGATGGCCACCTGTGTGGTTCTCTGATTCTGAAGTAAGAGAAAATACCTCCTTATTACCTCTGGGGGAGGAATACCATTCTTGCAAGGTACTGCAAGTACCGTATTTTTCGCCCCATAGGACACACTTTTTCCCCTCCAAAAATGAAGGGGAAATGTGTGTGCGTCCTATGGGGTGAATGCAGGCTTTCGCTGAAGCCTGGAGAGTGAGAGGGGTCGGTGCACACCGATGCCTCTAGCTCTCCAGGCTTCAGGAAGCTATCCGCAAGCCTTGCAAGCCCGGCGGGAGTTCCTGCGGGCTCACAAGGCTTGCGGGCAGCCGTCTGCAGCCCGAAGCATGGGGTGCCCTCCGGAGGGCGCCCCGTGCTTCGGGCGGGTGTCCGCAAGCCTTGCGCGCCCTGCGGGAGGTCCCACCGGGCGTGTGAGGCTTCGGGCAGGTGTGCGCAAGGCTTGGGGCTGCAGCCGCGGCTGGGGGGGGGGAAATAATTTTTTTTTATTCATTTCCCCCCCAAAAAACGAGGTGCGTCCTATGGGCCGATGCGCCCTATAGGACAAAAAATACGGTACATTCAAATTCCTATACTTAAGGATTTACAGCATGTTTTAAATATGAATAATTGGAAACCACCTGAAGTTAAGTGATTGAATGGCACATGTCTCTCAGTTTTTATTAGCAGAGTTGAACACTTTTTACTTGAAATTCGTCTTGTGGATGCCTCCAGAACACTATCTGGTCCTGCTGCGGCTTGTCTTTTATGTGAATGTGGGAGGTGTAGCCATGAGAGAGATCTATGACTTCATGGATGATCCGTAAGTGGTTACTCTTATTCATGCTTATTTGCTTAATTTTAGAATTTGTGAGAATTGCTGCATTTTAGTGGCAAAAATATTAGGGCAATGGATGGATCAGTCTGCTGCTGCTAAAACATCTGTAGCCTTGAGAAGAGTTGCAGTTTTTTGTTTTCAAACACAAAATATATCATTGTTTGCCAGTTATATGCTTTGGATTGCAAATGTCACTTTGCTGTGTGCTGTCCTCAAACGTTACCACACAACAACCTGAAAATATGCTAATGATTCATATTAGCTTGGGCACAGTTAGCTTTTGCATAGAACAGCACTTTGAATGGCCTTTTCTAAGGGACTGAATGATTGAGGGAAATAGCTGTGTCTGGAGGGTCTAGCTATAAGACCCTTCTTAAATCTTGTTCCTTGAGATTTTCCAACAGATCTCTTTCACGTCCTATACATCTTTAGAATTATATAAGTGTCTGCCCTCGCATGGCAGTGCATGGACTAAACACCTGCCTGATTAGAGCTTGTTCCATCTGCTTCCTTGTTTAGCAAACAGTAGGACCCAGATCCCTTAGACTGAGTTTGGTTTTGGCTTAGTGGTGATGGAACAAACTGGCTGATCCCACTACTTAAGCTTATTGTTTCTTCACTGACCAACACAAAAAGTGTCTGTGTTCAGAATCTAGGGTTCCAATACTTTATGAAGATCAGTTTCTCTTGCAAGTCTTTGACTCCTAGAACTGGGAAGAAGGGCCCAACCTGATTACTTAGTCGGAATTCAGGACATTCAGCAGTGACAGGCCATTCCCTGCCCCCTGGTGTTGGACCTACTGATTTGGGATATACTTCCTGCTTTAAGGTAAGAAGAGGCCTCTGTTTCTCATTAGTGAGCTCCTCTCCTCAGCATCCCGGCCCATCTTCTAGTCCTTGTGTTTGAGCTGAAAAAACATCTTGTCTCTTGTTCTTCTGCCCTCTGTTCAACTACATGGCATAACATTGGAACAGGGGAGCATCATAAGTCACCAGTGCCTCATTCACTGTGTTGCCATTCTTTGCTAATTCAAGATGCAGAAATTGATGACTACATGCAGCAAAGAGAGCCATCATGAGTTATAGATGAACAATATTCTACTACTTGCTTTTCTTATTGCTAAAGTGATAGCACATCCTAGTTCTGCAGATGTTCCAGATCCATATGAAGTTAAGAAGAATTTCCCCACTCTCACATTTTCCGCTGATAAGAATGTTGGAAGCAAAAGAACTGTCTCCATAACTGCTTTTTTTCCTCCCTAAAAGGCATCTTTTCAAACACAACGTATATAATTCTCTGAAAAATCTTAGCCTTTTACTTCTTTTCTGATACCTTCTACATCATTTTATGAGGAAGTCAGAATGATTTATCAAACAATTCCTAAATAATAATATTTGTTTAGAGGAACCATTTCCTGCAAAACATCCCAGATTTTACTGTGTACATGCTACTGTCATGCAGCAGGAAAGCTGTTCATTTAAGAGTCTATAAACTTAACATTCATTTGCAAATGTGATTTTTATCAGTCTTTTTCCATCTGCAGCAAAGGATTTGGGAGTGTATAGGCCCAAATGTGGGGAAACTTCTTGAATTCAAGACAGAAGTGAAGGCTCTTATCCCTGCCTTTCTAATGGCTAACTACACATGTGCCAGATGACAGAGTAATCAGCTTTGTAATCAGTTTTTCTTTTGTTTTACTGATGCTGCGTTCACAAGAGTCCTTTTGTTCTGAGGCCTTTCTACTTCATATATTCTTGGCAAATATGTTTTGCCTTTCCCTAAAGAGTTTTTTGCATTTTTTCCCTACTTTCTTCAGTTAGCGGGACAGTTGTCTGCAGCTTTCTTCTTTCGTTTCTTGCTTCTACCTAAGCTGCCTCCCTCCCAATAATGGCTGCTTGGTTCATGGCATGGCGGGAGGGCTTTAAAACTCCTTTCGATATGGCAAGGAAGCTCCTTTTGCAGCCAGCAACAGCCTATCTTTTCTTCCTTGGAGAGGCCACCATCAACAAGACATATGGGGCCTGTGAAACTTCAGAAAGAGCAACAGACTGGAACAGCTCCTATTTGTGAATCTCCTTCTGGGAGGAGGTTCTAGATGCCTCACAACTAAGCACAGCCTCTGTGAAGGTGGCAACAAACAGGTATACCTAAAGCAAAATGTTGTATTGATCTACTGGACTGTATTCACAAAGCCAACCATATACTGTGAGCAGTAAGATGGCAGGGCCACTTAACAACTGAGGAGGCTTGACTTAGAGCCTGAGGATTTCTTCGCTGACAAAATGCCAAGGCAGTTTGGACATTTGAACTTTCTGGGAAATTTTTAAATGGCAAGATACTTGTCTTGAATTCCTGATTTCTCTTTGAAAATCTTTACCACTTGTACCTCTTTCAAAACGGCTGGCCGTTCTTGGTTATGGTGGTCAAACGTCTCCTTAAAGGTCCCATGCTTCTTTTTTATCCCTGTTGATTTTCGGAAGAAAATAATCATATGAAACTAGCTGAGTCACTCATTTTTGCTTCTCTGAACATATCAGAAAAAATTAAGGACTTCAGATTGGTTTTAAGTTTGATTATTTTAACAATCTTTGGCATAGCTAAGATCAAATTATTGATTTAAATACTTAGGTTTGATTCAAAAGGTTCTAAAGCTGTCTTGCAGTGGAGTCCATCCTAGGCACACCATATAAGCATCAGTGCGTAGACTGTTTTAATTGTCCTGACAGTAAAATAATTCTGTGAAATATGAACAATAGCACTGACGTTCAATACAGCTCTCAAAGGCAGCTCTTTGTAAATAGATACAATTCTTTGTCATTGAATTCAAGTTTGGTTGAATAAATCTCGCCTTTCAACAGCACATTGTCTGTAAGGCAGGAAACTTTCCACTGTTACTGCTTCTTAGTGGCTTCCTTATTGATTGCATGCTTTGTAGGAGATGGAGAAGAGTAGCTTCTGCTCTGCCTCCACAATCAGCTTGTCAAATACATGGAGAGAGATGTAGGGGACTATTATCCTGAATTTAGTAAAGTATTTTCATCATGTTGTATTAGAGTGGTACTCAAGTCAGTCCAGAACAATCTTGAAAAATGAAGAAGGAAAGTTAATGACAAGCTACAGTCCATCACAGAACAGAATAACCTGAAGTCTCCAATATGGATCAAGTAAACAACTGGGATTTTTAAGGCTCTCATCTTGAGTACACTTTGGCCCGGTGTTGCTGTTGATTATTTATTAAATTTGTATACACCCTTCATCTGAAGATCACAGAGCAGCTCACAACATAAAAATACAAAATGAGAATGCAAAATACAGAATAAAACAAAAATAAACCAGTAACATCCCTGCCACAAACACATTTAAAAGGGCATGTTAATCAGCCCAAGGCCTGGTTAAAGTTCATATAGAGAGAGTCTGATTTGCCCTCTACACTGAAAAAAGTTGTTGAAATGAGATGCAATAGCCAAACTTTCAACAGAAGGCAGCACTCCCCCCCCCCCCCGCCCAGTTCTCTGTAAATTTAAATCTTTTCCCAATAGTAGAGCAGGAAATTGAAAGCCCAATCACTCATATTGTTGCTCTTCAGTACCTTTCTTTTTTCAGGCAGACAATGTTGACATGGTCATCGCCACCCCTTCAATCTTAAATAGCCTTTTAGTTCCTTTTCACTATCATGCTGCTCTTCATCTTTTCCCCCAGTTCTGCCATGCACTTACCTATGGCTACCATGATTAAATTTCACTTTGCAGTTTGTCATGCTGTGTTTTGAAAAACATGGAAAACTGGATTGGGAAGATGGGAGGAAAGTATTCGTGCATTCCCTCTGGATTATATAAATAATGCACTGTTAGGGTTATTTTCAAAGAATAATGTCAAGAGGATATGGAATCAAAGCAATTTGATGTCAGTGTTGGTTGTGTTAGTCCTAGATAGCTAGCTGATGGAAGCAGGTATACGAGTGGTGGAGTTTTGGTTGGTCTTATCTCTTGGAAGTATCCATTGGGGTTCCTGACAGGTTTTGTGGAGAAAGGTTCGGACCATAGAAGTTTCCCTACCTTATTCAGGCCTAAGATCACACATGTTTTACAATCCTTGATATTAAAAGCATGAAGTGAACTGAAGACAAATCAGGATGATAAGGTGAAACCTAACAACAGTGGGAGTACAAAAAGTCCTATTATTATTATTTATTATTTATTTATTTATTTATTTATTTATTTATTTATTTATTAAATTTGTATACCACCCTATACCCGCAGGTCTCAGGGCAGTTCACAATATAAAAACATGTGCTAAATAGGAACACAGGGCATCACCACATTTGAATTGAGACCCATTTCTTTTTGTGGTAAGATACTTTATTCAGCTATTTGAAAAATAGTCAAATTACAGTTTGTTAGAGGCTGCAGAGACCTGGGAGCTCTTTGCCCCTCTGCTGCATTGCACACCAAGACTAGATGTGAGTGGTATGGACTTGTCCTGAATAGTATTTCGTTTTTTAAGAGTAAATGGGTGGGTTTTCTCCCATATGGGTTCTACCTGATCACACTATTCTTGGTTTCCCCCCCTCTTGCCTACAGTGGCTTACTCATCTCAGACTTTTTGGAGTTATCTCCTTTGCAATCTTCAGACCAGTCTAGTTTGTTGCCCCGACATTGCTTACAACACATTGTAGTTTGGAATCTAGGGGCCGACTGGTAGAGAGCCAATCTGTAGATAACAATCTTGCTTTACAGTATTCTTGTGCAAGGTGGGACCTCTTGAAGCGCTTTTTAGTGCCTTCCAGCTCTATGTCATAGCTGACTGCAAGCACATAGGTAAGGGCCTTATAGTAAGACAGACTACTGAACCAGCTAATTTGGTGTTGCCTCATTTGCCTAGCAGAAAGATCTCATGTAGAGGTTTTTCTCAGCGATAAGATATGAGATCTTTCATCTGGAGATACCAGGGGTTGAATCTGGGTCCTTATATGTGCAAAGCATGGCTTAGTGATAGAACATGTGGCATATTTCTTTTCCACTCTCTAGAAATGGACATGAAAATGCACTGTTAATCTAGGGTAGAAAAATCTCCCAGTTGTTATCTGGAATACCAACTAGATTTGTATCATTTGTACCTGCAGTCCTTCTTATTGAGATATGAGATAGCTATGGGAGACCCTGTTTCTCAATTTTCAGTGGATATTCTCAAAATTTTGAAAACATATGTTCTATCCTTCCAGTGCTATCTGGATGCTGATACACTGCAGTGTCCTTGCTCCATTTCCCTGGTTGAAAACTTGTTCACCACTGTCCTGTGAAAACTAGCTTTTCCTGAAAAATTGTCAATCCAGTCTGTTTTATTTGTGATTGTTCTTCCATAGTAAATTGTAATCACTTTGGAAATCCTGTATTGGTAGGCAATATTTTAAGAGGCAGTTGAGAGTTGCAAGATTTTGAAAAGATTGCTGAATTCCTTTTTTGCAGACTGTGTTCATGGCTATATAGATATTTTGAAACACCTAATATATATGTTGAAGCCATTTCCTAATGCCCTGTGTGACCAAGAAACTGAACACAACAAAAGCCATATGTCATTGTCGGTTCATCAGCTTCCACGAACTTCTGTGGAACAAAGCAAATACTTTGCAGTCTGGAACAGCTGAGAGGTCAAAAAACCTCTGTCTCTCATGCTTGATTCTGGGATCACCAGGGACACAGGGTCCACCCAACCTCACTGGCATTGCTTTGTGTATGTTTTCACTTTCCTCCATATAAATGAATGGTGTTCATTCCAACAGAGAAAATATATAGTATTGCCAGCAACCCTGACTGGCTGACCTAGCCATCATCAACAGAGACTTCAGCTTAGGGTAGGAAAAACAGAGCAGTGCTCCTTCCCATCCTGCTGAAGGTGGTTCCAATGTAGAGAAAGAAGGGAGCAATACACTTCTGGTGTATTGCCACCAATATCTGGATTTAAGAGGAGGGAAGACAGCACTGTAGAGAACTGCCACTTCTCTGTGTTAAACACAGCTGCAGAGTTGGGGCTGTGAAAATAAATTGTCCCACTCCACTCTTCCAGGACTGGAGGAAATACTTAGTTTGGAGAAACAGAGGACAGGCCAGATTTGGAAAATCATGCCCTGTCTGAAGCAATTGTTTGCAGGAGGGAAATGTCCACACACACCCATTGGGCAACATTTTAATGCTAGTAAATAGAATAAGGGCAATAAGGATTAACTTTTCTTGCTATAGCAGTGGCTCTTGTTTAAAAGTTTCCTTGTGTAGATTTTTCCAGGAAGTGTGTGTTTTAAGGCAACAAATAGGGGATGTGACTTTTTATTTCCCATTGTAGAAACAGATAACTTAGTCATGCCTCTTGAAGAATTTTGCTGGAGCTTGTTTTGTTAGAGCTTGTCACTTCAAAGTTCATTTGCTCTGTCATGTTACTGAACAATAAAGTTCTGCTTTGTAAATAAGGGGAAACTGCACACTAGATTATTTGCTTGTCAACTGTTAAGCCACACAAAATTGCTATATATTTTTTTCAACCTTCAGTGGTAGAAATTAGAAGGGCAGTTGTTAAATTAAACTGTATCTTCCTTTTTTTTTTTAATTGCTGAAGAACAAAGCTATTATACAGTATTGTGTGTAATATGGTCTTGTTATCAGAGAAGTGCCTATTCTGTTTTTGTTTTGGAAATACCATTTTGAATGTACACCTATGCACTAATGCTGTTTTATTATTGCAGAAAGTTCTATAAGAAGTTGGGTCAGCAAGCATGGCTGGTTGCTGCTATCACAGCTACAGAGTTCCTTATTGTGGTAAAATATGATCCCTACACCCTGACGTTATCACTTCCTTTCTACATTACTCAGTGCTGGATTCTTGGAGTCACACTTGTGCTTATTTGGACAGTGTGGCGTTTCTTTATTCGGTAAGCAAGGGTTGACTGGACTAGGTGAACTCATGGTCTGATCCACCAGGCGTCTATTGACAGTGCTAGTCTGGGCATACCCTGGAACTGGCTCACTGCATGCATTTTCTCCCTTTCTCCATTGCTGCAGGCTAATTCCTGCTCCTGCCACTTTGCTTAAAGCCACTGGGCTAGAATCAACTAAACAGTTGAGATAGTGGAAGCCAGTGCCCCCACTCTTCTCTCTCTACGCATCTCTACCAAAAAGGCAGGGGGGGGCACGTATATGTCAGGAGAGTCCCCCAGAACAATGTACAGGGGAGAAGACTGGAGATTTTGTTCTGTCTGGCAGACAGAAATGCATGTGCTGATGGAATGGTTATAATTGTGCAACACTGAATTCCACCCTTCAGCTCTAAATCTGGGGGAGAAAATGGGAGCAGCTGCTTGCACAATGGAGAAACTGAATTGATAGTGGCAACTTGCTCCTTGTCTTTTAGTAGCTGGACAGTTGGAATTGATGGAGTTTATAAAGAAGTGGGGGGGGGGGACAAATTTGTGTGTGGGGTGGGAAGGATATTCTCCAAATCCTGAGTATTTACACGGCTACTGTAGTTGCTGTAGAATTATCAGCTTAGAACTAGGAAATGCTTAATGTTTAGCTATAGCCAAACTCTGAGTTTGGTCATATAATTGCCTCATTCAGGGAAATGAAAAGAAGCAACAAAAGGACTGAGCTTTTTCTAAATTTATGGTGTTTCTCATTTTTCCCCTCTGATATTTTTCTAAAATGTATTTGTTTTATTTCTAGAAATATCACCTTACGGTATAAAGAGATAAGGCGGCAAAAACAAGAACATAAATATGGGAAGGACAATTGTTTAAGCAATGGTGATGGACATCCTGTACTGGCAGATGAGCACAGTGGGAATAAACTCAGAGAGAAAGAACTTTGAACTTGAGTAATGAATTAAGGACTGAGAGAGTTATTTTTCTTGCAAGTTTAACCCTCCCTAGTTTTGTAAGTTTTGATGTTTTCTCATGAATGAGAATCCTTTTGGAAAAGGTGCCACCTAATCTCTCTTGAGGAAGGTGTTTACAACTAATGCTAGAAGCAATGCTTCCCCCAAAAGGGGAACTCCGCCTAAGTGTGTTATAAATGTCTGTCATCTTACAAAATGGAGGATTAAACAGGTGCAAAGGGAATCTTAGTAGCCTCAGTTCTGGAAAACCATGGCTGTTTGTGGGGCGTCAGGAACACATTCTATGGAATAAATATGTGCACTGTGAAAAACAGTTTGGTATTTTCCGCTGCAACTACCTTGGACTGTGGTACTAATATGTCCTCCTCATCCATTCATTTCCATTCAACTATTAATACAATATCAACAAAACAAATGGAGAGATGCAATTGAAGCTCGAGAACAAACTGCATAACTTTGCACATTATATTATTGCAAACAGCTCTTGGGGGTCCTGGATCTAGTTGCCTATGTCTCAAAGCAAAGGTGCATTACCTTGAAACAGCCTGCTAGTTTTATACTGCATCCTCTTGATACCAAATACCTCTTCAGTTCATATTTATCCTGGTCTTAGGCCAGAAAGTTTAACTTTCCTGTCTGTTAGCTAAATAGAGCAAGTGAAGGCTATAATGAACGTGAAAAATATTTAATCCACCAAAGCCGTGTGTTCTTTGCCTTATTTTTCTACCACTGAGCTGGTTTCTGCTCTTGCCTTGAGTCTTAGGACTGCCCCCCCCCCAATTGCACATGGCAGAGCATGTCATATGATCATCCAGAACTGTCTTGTTACTTCTAGAGTTTAAGCTGCACTAGATAAGGTGGAGTTATATCGAGGCAACTGCAGTGTGCACAGTCAGCCACTATATGCTAAAAGGCTACTGCTCATGAGAGCATCCAGTCCAAGAACTCTGGCTGTCTTATTTGTCATTTGCCTCCTAAAACTCCATTGAACAAATGGGAGTTTATGTTACAAATATATTCTCTACAATTAGAGTTGTCATAGGAACGGGTTTCACATTCCTAAAACAGTTGTGTGAATTTTCTCCTTAAATGTAACACTAAATTAATATTAACAAAATAACACTGTCTTAAATCTGTTGAAACTTCTGGAAATTTGCTTTGAAGTGAATATAAGTTAAAATGTTAGCCCTCCCCTCCCTCCTCTCTCTCTCTCTCTCTCTCTCTCTCTCTCTCTCTCCCCTCCCCTCCCCCAATAAAATCTCAAAAATGCTGCGGGTTAAAGCACAATGCACAGACCTTGGCTTCATTTCATGTCAATACTTGAATGGGAAAACAAGTCTGCCTTTGCCTTGTTTCTACAATGACACTAATGTTCTCTTCTTAAACAATAGACACTTTCAGCAGGGCAAAATTTAAAAAATATTTCCATATAAATGAATCTTAGAAAACTCAGCAAATGAAGTAATTTTTTTAGCATATAAAATGACTGAAGGAACTCTGTTTCATGATGATCAGAATGAGGAAGATCATATGAAGCTTATTTCTTGATTTGTGCGAGATTTACTGCTGTTAAGTCACTGAATGGGTGATGTTTATAATTAGGATTTTTCAGCTGTTCAGTAATAAGAAATACTATGGCTATAACTAGGCATTAACAGACATCTTAAAAGAGCAGATGCTGAGTTGAGCTGGTACATAAAAACAAGCCTCTCCCCACATGGAAGCAGTAGGTTTTTGAAGTTGTTCAGGTTAATTTTGTACCTGTTTTGTGAACTGACTAGAGGTAGTACCAGTGTACCTGTGCTAATGTGGCCCTAGTTTTTCAAGGCTTGCATAGGCATATAGTCCATGTCTGTTTTTGTACTAGTAAACTCTGCCCCCTTGTAATTTTGTATTGTAGTGTCCTCCATGTATTCTGGTGGTAACAAGTGCAATGGGGAGAACGTGAAAGGAATTTTAACTTTGTTTTGTTTTTTGAGGAACCAATTGTGTAAAAATTGAGGTATAAGGGGTGGGGGAATTGAAGTTGACCTCCTCTTAAAACATTACTTTTGTACTGATCTTTATGTTCATTGAAATATTGAGTCTTACAGTTATAGTCTGGATAACTGAACAGATGTAATAAAAGGTTGTTTGCTGGTGTGTCCTGAATTACAAATTTTGTTTTGGAGGGGAGTGGGTTCTCATTGACTACATAGCTGTGATTTTCTAAGAGTGATGGAAAAGCCTAACTCATTGAAGAGTTATTAACGTGGCTACACTAAAAGTAGATAATTAGGAACATTCTCTTAACTTGCCCAAGGTTTAAATAGGCACACCTAGGTCCTGTTGGTTTTAAGGGAACATGGATCTGTATTGCACCAAATTATTCAGGAATATCTTGAATTTCCTGTGGAAGTAAAACAAAATGGTTACAGGTCAAATCACATTTCTTGTTCATAAAGCTGGGGGGCCAATAGACAAGGAGAAGCTGATTCATGTAGACTTTCCATTAAGCACGAAAAGAGCTTTCAGATGTTTCTTCAGGCTACATTTGTCACACTTACGAGATAGCCTAGAGATATGGCTGTAGTGCTAACATTACACAAGAGGCTCACTGCCAGTTCTCTCCTTGCTGGAATATCAGTTTCATCATCTGTGAGGTTGAGAAAACCAGTTATTGACCCCTTCTTCTGAGTTTCTGAAATCTGACCTCTGGCTGTGGAAGTGTAGTGATGCTTTCTCCCAGTATTCTGTCTTCCAGAATTAAGGGTTCACCAGGAGCTTGTGTTGCAATGCCATAATGTAAAATAGGTGTCAAGGAGTACAGAATGAACTGCAGCTGTCTTGTTACTAATATTACCTACCATATATTTTAATTTAGACACTTGCATAAGCAAAGGTGTATTGAGTGCCATCTGTCTATAGCTATAATCCTTGTAGCTGCTTTTGCATCAGTACAGAGGTACTGAGCACATGGCCAGGTTCTGGTAAATATGGGTTTTGCTTGAAATGTAAAATGGATTAAATTCCCTATTACATTTTAAAAATGTATATCATACCTTATGCGTTATTTGCTTATTGGAACTGACTTTAATTTTAGGCCATGTCCAATAATGCATAGGAGAAAATAAATACAAAAGCTATTGTTTCTATTACTCTAGGCTTTAGGTATAGGAAACTCTGGACTGTGTGGCACAGTAAACACTGTCTAATTAGCATGTGATAGCTGTGTTTGTACAAAACATAAAATATTCTGGTGTAGACTAGAGTCAAATTAAGTATGGAAGGAGAGGGAGGTCGGTCTAGGAGGAAAATAGTATGGTAGTGGGGACTACAATTGATAGGAATTACAGATAAAGATAAACCAAAGAAACCTCACCTTAAATAGAACCTGTTCTGGACCATCCTTTGATTTGTAAGCCTTTATCAGACACTGCCTACATATTTCTAACTCTTTCTGAGAGCAGAAAAATCTCAGGAGCCCAAATTCCAAGATGCTTCATTTCCTATGTGACTATAAATCCAACACTCATACTGAAAGATGCTGATAACATCCCTTGCTGCCTTGGCACTATTTCTGGTTAATTTGAGCTCAGAAATACGAAAGTGATGCTTAGTGTGAAAAGGTAAATGAGCTGTCTTTCAGAGTCTGTCTGAAAAGTGTTAAAAAGAACTTAGCACTTGTCTGAAGCCTATGCTGTTAAAAAAAAATGCAGAGAGAAAACAGCTTCCATTTATGGTGCAGTGCTTCTGGGTGCCAGCCTGACATCTTTGCAAAGGAAGTGTTGTTTTCTAAAGACAGAATTGTAGTGTTGAAAGGGATGATGAGGGTCATCTAGTCGAGCTACTGCAATCCAGGAATCTTTTGCCCAATACGGGGCTCGAATTTGAAAACATTTATGAGCTGCAGTGAGCTAATGAACAGTTATTAGTGCTGGCTTCAATACGAAGACCTAGGTTCCAGTCGTTTAGAAAAAGTGGGGGTCAAGGAAGCAGCAAAAGTAGATAGGTTCTCCCCACCCCCGGCCGCCACATCTTTGCCAAAAGCCCCTGTATATCTCAGATCTGGCTCAAAAACAAAATCACGCAAGAAGGCATCAGTTGCCACAGGCATTTTGATCTATTTGAGCACATCATTGTTTCCAGTAAGGATGTTCTGAACTGAAGGCTGTATATACATATTACAACATTAAAGCATATTGAAAGCACATTTCCCTCGAAGAATTCTGGGCACTGTAGTTTATCCCTCACAGAGTTACATTCACAGCAACCCTTTTATCTGAAAAATTATAATCCACTTTTTCCAAAAATATTGCAAGTCAGTTTACAACATATAAAATTCAATAAAGTCAATCTTCTGTATATATCTAAAGCATAATTAAAAACCTCAGTAGGTACAGTATACAGTTAGGGAATTCCACATAGCCTGCTTGTGCTGGGTTCTGTTTCACAGTCACACAGGGCGTTCGAAACTGGCTTCTATTTATATAATAAGGTGATTCAGAAGTCTATATAGCAACAAATGCAGTGTGCTAAAAGGAATTCAGCCATCTTCTAAAAATCCACATTATTTCCAAGGTGGTGTACACTTTGCTATTTTATTTAATTTGTCTTATCGCCTTTCATCCATTAATTTAAGGGTTGCTCAAAACATAAAGAGACAAGATTTTTAAAAATGCATAATAAAAACAATAACAAAAAACCCCCACCTCACAAACTGATACCCCCTCTCCCACAAACAACATTTAAAAGAATATAGGATATTAATCAGCCTGGTTAAGAGGAATGTTTTTGCCAGGCACCTAAAAGTGTATAATGAAGGTGCCAGCCAAAGCTCCCTGGATAAAACGTTCCACAAATGGGGAGCCACTGCAAAAAAAGGCCCATTCGCATGTTGCCACACATTGGACCTCTCGTGGAGGAGACATACAAAGAAGGGCCTCAGATGAGGATCCCAGGTTCCAGGTAGGCTCATATGGGGAGAAGCAGTCCTTGATGTATTGAAGCCCTAAGCCGTTTAAGGCTTTATTGCTCAAAACCAGCACTTTGACTTGGGCCTGAAAACTAAAATGGCAGCCAGTGTAGTCAGGCCAGGATCAGTGCTAAAACCATTTTGCCTCAGTGAGCAACCTAGCCACCAAATTCTGTACCAGTTGAACTTTCTGAATTATCTTCAGAGGCAGGCAGAGGGGAGACAGGCAGTAGTTTAATGGGAACAAGCAGCAGAAATGGGCAAATGCTCTCATAAGAGCCAGGTTTTAGTTGCTCCTAAAAAAGATCAAACCTCTCCATTCTTAAGGAAATCAGCCCTGAGTGCTCACTTGAAGAACAGATCGTGAAGCTGAGGCTCCAATACTTTGGCCACCTCATGAGAAGAGAAGACTCCCTGGAAAAGACCCTGATGTTTGGAAAGATGGAGGCCACAAGGAGAAGGGGATGACAGAGGATGAGATGGTTGGACAGTGTTCTTGAAGCTACGAACATGAGTTTGACCACCGCGGGAGGCAGTGGAAGACAGGAGTGCCTGGCATGCTCTGGTCCATGGGGTCACGAAGAGTCGGACATGACTAAACGACTAAACAACAACAAAAAAGCAAGGAGTAACAGAGACAAATAAACCCACTTGGGGAGCTCTTTCCACAGTCTAGTTGGAAAAGTCATGCCATGGGACCCACCCATGAAATGTCAAGCATTAGGAGAACCATTAAGCAGCTTTAGCTGTTTAGCAGAGCGCCTGGGCAGACTCACATGGAAGGAGTGGATATTTTCCCCTAGATACTGAGGTGTTAACAGTATTTTAGACTCTCACATATACTAACTCAGAACTGTCAGGTTCCTTTTTCAGTTTGTCAACCGCTATGTGTCACCAGTAAGCCACTTAAATAAATGTTAATTTTGCAAAATGTCTTTCGATTGCGGTGTCCTGCTCCCATGCCCCCAGTCCTTTTTAACTGAAGAATACAAGGCTTGGTCATGTTGCATTTACAGTAGAGGCAAAACTAATTCAGACTACTACACTGGAGACTGAGACGGAGAAATCTGTGCATCTAATTTTCCTACAGTCCACTAAGCAGCAGTTGGACAGAAAGTTGCATCAACTGACAGTTTGTTTTCCGGATGACCTAGAAACACAGCTGCAATTCTGTTTCCAACTGATTTGGGATTTTTTTTTTTCTTTTTAACTAACAGTCTGAAGATGAGCATAGTTAATGTTTTGTTTGAACAAAATGCCAGTTGCAAAAGCAACAGCATGCGCTAAAATCTGCTCTGCTCTCTGGCCGCAATGTAATTTATCCCAAAGAGAAAACAAATATTATAGACCCTTTTTGAGCTTATGAGTTGTATTTTATTTATTGAATTTATATACCGCCCTATACCTGGAGGTCTCAGGGCAGTTCACAGAACAAAATCAAAATATAAAACCACAATATAATAATAATAATAATAATAATAATAATAATAATAATAATAATAATAAACTATTGACACCCCTCCCCCAAGAAGAAACATATTTTGAAAGGGCATAGGATGTCAATTAAATCAACTAAAGGCCTAGTTAAAAAGGAACGTTTTTGTCTGGCGCCTAAAGGTGTATAATGAAGGCGCCAGGCGAACTTCCCTGGGAAGAGCGTTCCACAGACAGGGAGCCACTGCAGAGAAGGCCTTTTCTCGTGTTGCCACCCTCTGGACCTCTCAAGGAGGAGGCACATGAAGGAGGGCCTCAGAAGATGATCTCTGGGTCCAGGTAGGCTCATATGGAAAGAGGCGGTTCTTGAGGTATTGCGGGGAGTTTGGGACAAGGGTTAAGGTTCTGTTTTTAAAATGTTCGGATTTGAAAGGTCAACAAGTAATCCATTTTGCTAAAGCACACTTGGCATAGTCTAGGCTCAACAGTCACCAGTTTTCAAGAACTGGCTTCTAAATCCAGATTTCAGATCTGAACGTTCATATTGTATCTGAAAGGTGCCTTTTTATCTGTTTTGCCTTGTTCATCTTAACATTTATAGCCTGCCTTTCCATGATGCATACAGTCCAGTTATATGTGTGTAAGAGAAAAAGTTTTCTTCTGGCTGTTTTTAAATTTTACAGGGTCAACAAGTAAAATCAACTCTGTTCCGAAGTATTCTTTGATAGCCACGTTTTAAGCTGCTTGTCAAAAGGTAGCCGTGTTGGCCTTCCCTCGAGTTGATAAGATCCATCTTCTGTTACTACCCACTTAATTTAAGAAGAGGACCTTGGTTCCTGAACAGAGTGCCTAAGTAGGCTTGTGTAGAAGGAGACAGTCCTTAAAATACAAAGGTGGTCTCAGTCCCAAGTCCAGGCCAGAAACCAAACTGATAAGAATCCAGTCCAAATAATCTATATTGTCCAGGAAGATCAGGGGTGCAGCATGACGAAGCTGCCCTTCAAATTAGTTAATTGTTAGCAAACTGACCAGAATTAGTCCTAGCTTTGAGGTAGGTTGAAGGTCTCTTTGCCGTCCTACCCTTGTGCTAAGCAACTGAACCATCAACCCTGCACTGTGCTACAGCTGCTGAGGAAACACATTGTCTCTTGGGGGGAAAGTGTATTTGACCAGTAGGTGCAGCACTAGTGGGAGGAGCTTTGTATTGGTCAGGCTGAAAAAGACGGCAAATCCCCAGTGTGTGTGATTTTGATGCTTTATTATGTCCACAAATGTCAAAAAAGGAAAGAATTAGTTGCTGGAAGAGCAACGCTGTTTTTTGGTGTGTGTGTGTGTTTTTTAAAAAAAAAAAACCTTTTGCTCTCCATATGCAGTAGGGAAGGAAGAGGGCATTTTGAAATCTCATGATAGATGAAGAATATTAAAGTTTGTACAAAAGCAAATGTATCTATCTTCCACAAGGTGGCACTAGTGTACAAGGATTCAAGAAGCATGAAATAACTTGAGACATCAGAACCTGATCCTACTGGCCAAATTTAGCATCAGCCATGGCAGCCAATGCGCAATTCTAGTAAAGGATCCAGTTCTTCCTTGCTTTTCAGGCAACCCTGTACCCCACTGTGCTTGGCTTACCACTCCCCTGTCCTCAAAGACCAATAAGGTGGCACTGAATAGTGCCTGGGTAGAGATGTACCATCCCTGCAGCAGGATCCTGCTGCACATGGGAGCCAAATTCAGAGCTTGATCCGACCCAGACTTTTTCATAGCACCTGCTCTCTGCTCTGGAATGTATGGTGCCATAGTATCTTTGACCATATGTGAAGCATGTGCACAGCACCTCTAATCTCACCTTTGCATCTCTGGGGTGTACTTACTTACTTGCCAGTGTGGTGTAGTGGTTAAGAGCGGTAGTCTCGTAATCTGGGGAACCGGGTTCGCGTCTCCGCTCTTCCACATGCAGCTGCTGGGTGACCTTGGGCCAGTCACACTTCTTTGAAGTCTCTCAGCCCCACTCACCTCACAGAGTGTTTGTTGTGGGGAAGGAAGGGAAAGGAGAATGTTAGCCGCTTTGAGACTCCTTCGGGTAGTGATAAAGCAGGATATAAAATCCAAACTCTTCTTCTTCTTCTTCTTCTGGGAAGGGACATAGCTCAGTGGCAGAGCCTTTGCATGTGGAAGGTCCCAGATTCCATCCCCAGCATCTCCAGGTAGGGCTAGGAGAGAAGCCAAGGAATGCAGGACAGCATATCACTTGTGAGCAGGGATGGAGAAATTCAACTCAGTTCATATTTAAAATCAAATTTGCACTTTCCAAAACAACACGTGAACTGGAACGTGAGAACCAGACATCAATTGAAATTCACAATAGTCTGATTTTTTGCAATGTACCGAATGTATTTGTGGACATAAACATACAGAAATGCAACGTACTGGAGAAAATTGCTTGCAAAAATGTGTATACTAGTCAAAGCTGCATACAAAAATGCGTTTATTCCTAGAAAGTCGCACCAAAATGCTGCTGGATTTTTTTTTTAAGTAAATTGCTGCAGAAATCTGGAGAACCGAATTTAAGATTGCAATAATGAGAATCTGAGAGAACTGAAAGTGGCAAATCCTTCCATCCCTACTTGTGAAGCAGCTTAGGTATAGAGAGTGACTTGTTTAAGAACCACCCCCCTCACACACAAACACAGAGCTCTGCCCAACCTAGAGAGTATTAAGCAGGCATAAGCTTCATGTCCCCACCCGCCTTTCAGTAACTAAACAAGGGTTATATGTGGTTCATGGTTTCTGCAGTAGTAGGCTGTTCAGATCTCAGTGTTTGCACCAAGGCATCAGGTGTGCTCTTGTATATAAACAGGGCTTGCATGTTGTGGTATTTTTACCCTCCTAACAGAAGTGTTTTTGCTTGGGGTTCCTTCCAAACATTCCCTCCATAGTTTGGAGTCCCCTCACCCCACTAGTTTTGTTTTCCTTTTCCTTATGACACTCGGTCCACAGTGGGCTTGTTCTGGAATTTTTAGAACAGGAGTGATCTGCTGCTTTAATACAGCAGCTCATAGACTCTCCTACTTAATACTAGTATATTATGACAAGCTTCTGCAGACATCAGGCTACAGATGCATTGAAGGAAGTGATAAGAGTGTTTATGTTTTTTCTATTTCAGAAACTAAATTTAAAATGCAGGCTAGATGTAATGTTTCGGATATTATAACCTAGCAAACTGAATCATTACTTTATTACAGGTAGACCGAATGATGTAATGAATGTGCAGGTTCTGCCAAGAAAAATATGAAATAGGCAGGCACTAATATGAAGTGCTAGACGTCTCCTGTCACCTAGGAATGTAACGCATTATTGCAGTTTATGCATTCTGATTATAAACTCTGGAATCCCTGCCTACACTTTTAAAATAAAAGCAATTTCTAATTCGCATGCTGGGGAAAAACCAAACTTCCATTTAGTCCAACATTCCATTTCCAACATAAGTCAACCAGAATATTTCCTTATTATTTGCTCCCTGCATTTAGTATGCAGAAATATACTACTGCCTATGTACATGGAGGTTCTACTTGACAAATCTAAAAAGATGGCTTTAAACCCTGGAGTGGTCAGGAGGCTTTGAAAACCTTGTAGCTCATGACTCTTGCCCACTGCAGATCACACTGCTGCCCATTGACAAAGATCCTCTTAAATCTTTTCAGATAAGTGATGATGATTCACTCCCTCTGTTGCTACTATTATACACGTGTTCCAGCCTTGCAGGAAAACTGAGAGCAGGAGGTCCCTCTCTGCACAGCAGGTGCACTGCTAGGTACTTGAGAGCATAGGGTGACTCTATGCCACAGACATTCTAATTAATGTTTCTGGGCAAATTAAGATGGCAAATGCCTGGGGACTCACCAGTGGTGTGCTTTGCAACATGCCCACTTAGCCTGTAAAGAAAGTTTAGGAAGTTTTTTAAGAGGAGGAGAAAAACAGGCAGGGCACCCAGAGCCCAGCACAAAAGACCCAAGGCTCTGGCCTCTTGGCTATCCAGTGTTGTTGTGCTGTTGGTCCCAAATAGGAGAGCAAGATGTCTCTCTCACCCCCACCCCCGCTCCATATTGTGAGTTTATACTTGTATTTCTGGCTTCACTCAGCTCAGCCTGCAGTTTCATCTGCCAAAGGCGCAATCTCTCTGTAGGGATTTTGTCTCTACTTCACCTAACGCTTGTGTGGCTTGCATAGGCCTTTGTGGGATGCAGAACAGTTCGGAACAAATAACAGCCAAGCAGCATTTCTGAAAGAAATGGGCAGAAAACGATCCTTTCCTCCTGACCACATCAATCAATAATCTTTATTTTGAAAAACCTAAACAGACATTTCTGTTTAATGGCTTTCCATTTTCTATTAAAACTTGCATTAGTCACATTTTCCATTACAATGTTTTGATTGAATATCGCCGTATTTCATTGTAAGTCTGTAGGAAAGCTCCTCTAGGCAGCCTGATCATTCACCAATCACCCTGATCTGCTTGCTTGCACAGTGCTCCCATCAAGCATTTGTTTTGGTTTGTTTATGGGGTGTTAACACACTTTAGCATTGATCATCCGCTCACCCCACACTTTTCAGTGCATTTCCCCATCACTTTTCTAATCACTAAAAGTCATTTACGGGGGGGGGGGGGGAGTCTTTGTTGTACTGGGGTGATAAGGCACCTTGATTTGTTTGAGTTGAGTAAACCTAAATTCCCAGTATGTGCCTCAATCCCTCCTGCAAAATAGTGACTGCATGGAGGCACCTAAAGTCGCTCAGCGTTGGGTGTGCAGCAGTCCTTCAGATTACTGGGTTTAGGTGAATGGCTTTCAGATAAAAGATTTGGGGTGGGGCATCAGGTGTGCTGAGTTAGTGACTCTCATGCCCACAAACTGAAAGGGGGGTTGTGTAAGCACCCACTGGCCTGAAACAGATTAACAGAATCAGCACAGGTAGCAGCACACCCCAAAGAAAGAGATTGCTTGGGTACTGTTGTACAAAACACTACAGAACTTTTAAGGGAGAAATCCTATATACATTTACATGGGAATATGCCCCATTTAACTCAAGGGCACTTACTTCTGAATAGCGACATGTAAGATTGTGCAGTTAGTCATCCTTGAGAGGGGAACAGCTTTCCAGACTTCCTGAATTACTTAGCCAGTAATATGACCTGCTCCTTTCTGTAAATTTCCTATCTTCCCTCACTGGCTCAGACAGGGCTCTTCCACATACAACTCCATATTATTAGAGATCAGGAAGGACTTTGCCTAGTCAGTGTGAGATGATGAAGATGATAATGCCCCCTGCCATGAACAGCACTCAAATATTCTCATGGCTGAAACATGGCATTTTACAGGGCTGGTCTTGGAATGTTGCCATTTACAAATATGGAGTGAAAGCACATGAAAATAAGGCAACATTGACTCCGGTACTCTCTTTTGGAACTTTTCCTATTAGCGACTTATTGAACTTTCTCCTTGTAAGAGCTTTATTGGCCGAGAAGAGTCTTTGCAACTTTCAGCAGTGTTGCTGTTCCATGGTGCTCAGAAACACACTTCCCATGGCAGGGGACTATATTCCTGTGACCAATATAGGCCTGATTTTGTGCTGGAATGACCCTGCCTCTGCTGCAGACCAGCTCAAGGACTAAAGTTAACCATTTCTGAATTATGCTGCTCCTGCAGCTATCCCTTTAAAAGAAGTTTGATCTGCAGCAATTAGCAGATGGTTGTGTTCAGTTCCACACCAAGAAAAGCTTCACCTGCTGATTCTGGTATATTTCAGATAGTTCCTGTTCCTTAGCAAGCTAAGCCACTTTTTTCTGGTCAGTTGGCATCACCATCTGCCCCATTGCAATCCTCCCAAACTGGACTCTGCTCCCAGGCATCTCACAACTACCAGCAATTTTTATTTCAAGACTGGGCAACCCGAGGCAAGAAAGTTAGTTTCCTTTAGAGTCAGACCCTGTGGGAGCCATTACTTTAAATAATGCTTACAGACAGAAAAATCAGTGCTCAGGGTTAAGCTTTCAGTCAAGCTGAGCTCTCTTTTTAAAAGAAGTCAGATTTCAAATGTGTGGAACGGTACCTAATAAGTGCCTTCATGGTGAATATAGTCAGATGATCAGAACTGTTTGCTAAGTGACAGCTACAGTTTCTCAAAAATCAAATGCCAAGTGCCATGGAAATCTAATTTAGAGAAACAGCTTGGCAAACAAACCTTTCATTTAAACAATGGTGACCATTCAACCAGCTTTACGTTATTGAATTTAATAAGTTAGCAACATTAGATTTTTTTTTTAATGGAGCTAATTGAAACCACTAATTTATTGATGTCCAGATGGTGAGGAAAGATGATGACTGTGTTATAAAGACAGAGGCAAGATAAAAGGAGAAAGTGGGAAGCATTAACTGCCCAATCCTGTTCAAGATTAGTCAGAGGTAATTCCAATTTTATACAATGGGGTTTCCTTCCAAGTAAGTGTAGACAAGGGTAGTCTAAGATCCTTGGCAAATTTTATTACCTCTTTATAAAAGATAGTCCTTCTATTAAGCCTAGATCCAAAGTTCAGTATATTTAATTCCTATTCCTTTCAGTGTGAACTAAAATAAGTCATGACCAATTTGTTCTATTTATTTCAATGGGACCTCAGCTCAGCTAACAGTCTGGATCCAACCCGTTTTCTTTTTTACCCTCCTCATACCTTAGAGGCAGCCAGAATATCATTGTTCCTAAACTGAGCTCCATAGTTTATGGTAGACTATTATTATTATTTGATATAGATATTGTTTAAAACAAAGCAGATGGATCTGAAGTATATCAGAAATAGCTGGTTCTTCAGTACAAAAACTTCCTTTAAGGAAACTAGCCAACACAAATATGCTCTGGCCTGCACCACAACTGTAAACAAGTGCTGGTGAGAAACACAGAACAGCTGCACCATATTAGTAGAAGAAAGATCAGGAACAGTAACCTAGCAATTCAAAGCCCTCACATTTTATTGCTGGACAAAAGTTTAAAGATGTCACAAATCAGACTAGCCTAGAGGTTCTGGGCCAATGTATTGGCCTGCTGTTTGCTGAGTTATTATGACATCAAGTGTCCTGCTTTACCGGAAAAAAGCAATGGCAGTCTTTACTGCTAAGTAGTGCTTATAGATGGTTAGTCCTTTTCCCTTCTCTTGCTTTGGGTGCATGAAGTTCTGCGGCTCAGAAAGAGCAGGGATCTAAAGAGGGAGGACGGACCTATTGAGGAAGGTAAAGAAGCAGCAGGGAACAAGAGATCTCGTGGTAGGAGGTGGACAAGGAATCCACTTTCCCCTTCAGGTTCCCAGGTGAGTGCTGCAGTAGTTCATCACAGCCCGGAGCTGGCATCAGAGGTTGGTTGTGGATGGGCCTCACACCTGCACCAAGAACCCACAGCCCATGCAGGTTCATCACAATTGTCACTTGCTCACATCCACCCCTGCTATTTCCTTCTACCCGCACCCCCAAAAGGCAAGCAAGTAAACGATGACAGTGAGGAGGAGGAACAGCTTCCCAATCCAGTTCTTCCTAGCAACATTTATAAAGGGGAGATGTCCGGCAGCATTGGTAATAACAAGAAGCTCCTGCTTCACTGTTGCCACCACACAGAGTGTGTCTTCTTGCCCAAGGGCCTTCCAAGCCCATGAGCTGGCACTGCAGGAGAGGATGCCAGGGCTGTGGGTGTGACAAGTCAGCCGGTCTTGTGGCTAAGGGAAGAGAGTCTATCAGTCCTTGAACTCCTGGGTCAGGTACATGGTGAAGTTCACTGTTTTACCTAGAGCAATCTTTCTTTTTTCCTGTTGAAGGTCACATTCTCTCAGGTGTTATCTGTTGGAGGGGCCCTTTCACCAGTGGTGGGCCAAGCCAGAGCTGATGATGAGCAAAACTAGAGGTGTCGTATGGGGTTTGATGGGCTTACTCTCAAGTAAGTATACAGAGCACTTTTTTGGGTACCAATACAGCCACTGTTCTCAAAAGCAAGTGATTGTCCTTCATTCTGACTGGTGTTCTCTCTTTCTATCTTATTTTAGAGAGAGATATAGATATTGATGCACACATCTGACAAAAGCCTACCAATTTGTCTCAGCACAGGCTGCAAGGGGGGATTTATTTTCCACAAGTCATACAACCAAGAAACAATTAAGTCCAAAAAACCCCAAACCCTTCCAATTTATTTTTTACCAGATAAATGTTTTTACCAGATAAATACTACCCTTTCGAAATGTCCCAAAAATACATATAAAAAGGGTGGGACTAAAATTCCTGGAAAAATAAGGAGATAGAAGAATGGGGCAGCTGATCGCTCAGCTGTGACCAGTGGTGTCAAAAGTGCCTGGATACAATTCAAGTCAGGACTAAAAATGATTCATCCACACTCAGTCTGAAGGGTACAATGGACTAGGATCAATGATGGAGTTACTATAGTGACTGAATAGCTAAGCTGTAAACAAAAACTGGACTGTAGGGGGTTATAGCCAAGAGAAGGCCAACACTTGGGAGGCCTCTCTTCCAGTCCAAGTGCTTCCCCTAAGGTTACCTAGCTCAGAAGCAATTGGAAGTGACAGTTTAAAACCATAACATCTAACTTCACATTTCCTTTTATCAAAAAGAAAGGAAAGAGCCAGTAAATAACAATACAGTGGTACCTCGGGTTAAATACGCTTCAGGTTACATATGCTTCAGGTTACAGACTCCACTAACCCAGAAATAATACCTTGGATTAAGAACTTTGCTTCAGGATGAGAACAGAAATCGTGTGGTGGCAGTGGGAGGCCCCATTAGCTAAAGTGGTGCTTCAGGTTAAGAACAGTTTCAGGTTAAGAACGGACCTCCAGAACGAATTAAGTACGTAACCAGAGGTACCACTGTATATATGCTTGTGGGGACAAAGTGGAAAAAGTTATTTAAGTCAGGCATTGATGGCCTCTTAGTAGCAGGCTTTATGTGTTAGAATGCTGGACATTCACACTCGGTCTCCCTTGCACTGCAAAAAAAATCCATTACAGAACGTCTGAGTGAAACCTCCTCACAACCCACCTTTTCCATCAAGCCTTTGGTTGGTTCCTGTGCCCAACTGTAACCTACCCTGTAACTAAACCTAAGCACCCTCCCTCCTCTTCTCCAGTGCTGAATTTTAGATTTGTAAGGTCCTCGGAGAAGGTGCTGTCCTCTTATACTATAAGCTTCATAGAAATCTCACACTCTCTCACAGAAATCTTAAGATAAATATATGCCAACAACTGAAGAACAGTACTAAGATGCATGACATAACAATGGGGTCATCCTTATTGGGGAATGACAGCTATGTTGCCACAGAAACCACGCCACATTCCATACCCAGACTTGGCCTTTGTTGAGAAGGCACTAGTTTCTAACAGTATGTCTTCTACACTACACCACAACTACAAGCAACACCATATGACTGTGCTGCTGAGTTAGTTACCCAGTTAAACTGGGGGAGGGGTGTCCCCCAACTTGCTTTTCCCAGACCTGCCTTCATGGATGAGTGAGTCACAGTGAGTTCTCCTCCATGCTCAAAGGCATGGCTCACATCCACCAGGAGTTGTGCAGTCTGTACTGTAGGACAGATTCTGTGGAACTCCCTCCCTGCTTGGTGCAGCCCCCTTCCTTATTGAACCTCTTGCTGCTTGGTGAATACTTTTTATTTCAGCAGACATTTTAATTGTGTTTTTCTTATCTTATGGTTAAGTATGTTGTATCCCTATTTTACACCACTTAGAAACTCAATATTAAGTAGCATTTTTTAAAAAAACAAACAAATAAATGCATAAATCTGCCTCATGCAATGGCAATGTCCATATGGACAAAAGAGATGGAAGAATGAGAGAAAGAGGTTGGTTTTTCTAGATGCAGTATTCAACACACCTCCTATGGAGCAGAGTCTTCTGCATTAAAGTCATATTCCCCTCCTATGCTTAGGCATTCCTCTACTTCTCTGCGTTTAGGTGTAGTTATTTCCCCCACTAGAGATTAACGTCCTATTCAGGCACTAGGCTAAGTAGAACATGTGACAGGGAAGAGATCAGCAAACCAGCTCTGCTCCATGTTGCTCTTGAGTTGGAATGTGGCATTCTGCGCCAGGGAGCTTCCTGTACTGATGTAAAAGCTCTCTGTGCAATGTAAAACCTTGATTTTCATGTGGAGTATCTACACCAGCAAAGCAGGCTTCTTGCCACAGATGAAGGATGATGGGGATGGAGACAGCACACTCATTTCCACTCTCCCCACTTGTGTGTTATACTTACTTGTAAATATAATGCCTAAAGAGGGCTGGAGTAGTTTATCTATTGCAATGAACTTGTAATAGATTACAATAGGAGGGAAAAATAAAAAATCTGCAGCTGTATTCTGCGAATAAGAGATGAGAAGACGAATGCTAGTAGACTCCACTACCACAATGAATGCTTCCCCATGCGAAGGAAACCACTGCACACAGAAAAACAGCAGGTCATGATAAAGGCTAGGCTGAACTATGCTACTTTTTTTTCTACATACATGAAACTTCTACATACAAGGGGGAACATTCAAGCTCCTCACCTCTCCCTGCAATCTGAAGTAGTATAGGACCCCTTTAGAATGTCTACTGTTTTTTGGTGTGCTTTTTTGCATTTGTATTCTATAACATGTCACTGACACAATAATAATGTGTCAGTGATGGATTTACACTAAGCCTGTCCACACATCATTCCTCTTTATTGGCTTTTCTGCAATGTTTCCCTCAGTATTACACATTATTGCCACCTGAAACAGCACTCTTGCCCTACGGCACAACAAAAGCAAAAGAAGGCATGAAATTTGTGGTATGAATTTCAGGAGGAAGCTACAGGACACGCAACAACTGGAAATGAAGCAGTATGCCCACCCCAACAACTTATGAAATCGCAAACAGTATTGAAAATAGGATTGTGTACAACCACCCCAATTCCATCGTGAGCACAAATCATTATGAATGCACAATAAAAAGGACACCTGGAGGGGCTGCAAGTCATGCAGTAAAACGATTATGGTAATTGCATAAACTGGCATTAAGTGAATCCCAGAAGAGGAAAGGACAAGCATGAAAGCACCTTCATATCTCTCCTGTTTGTCCTGTAGAGCATCCCTCAAATGTAGGGAAGGGCTTAGAAATATTTCTCTTTAGTGCCTCCCTTGCCCCACGATTGCAGTGTTCTAGTGTCACCCACAGCCTTCCCTGCAATCAACAGGGGAGCCATTATTTGCTGCACATATGAACTGGGAAGTAGGGTGTTCCTCACAGCACAAGGCCTGTTGTCAGATGTGGGCCTCAGTACAGAAGCACCATTTGCTTGCAGGTAGGAAATACATTACAGATAAGGTGTCTCTTGAGGTATGTTGGGGTAAATGCTTAGGGTGGGTCTCAATCCTGGCCCCACACTGACTAGCCAAGAGTACCTCAAATTGGTCTGTTAGTATTATGTAGCAAGAGCAAGCAACAAACCTTTTCCCTAAAAGCCCAATATCCAAGCCCAGAATCTTGTTCTCACCTTCAGACAAGGGATTCCTTTCCCTGTAATTGTGTGCTAGAATCAGAGCAGCTGTGGGTCGTTTGGGGAGGCTTTCAGCCATATGAGAAGTTGCCATTAGGAAGCAGCCTTATTGTTGCATTTATAGTGAGGTTGGTAGTGCTTCACGTACATCACCTCAGTCATCCTTACCACAACCTTTTAAGAAAGGTTAGTGTCATCAATTCCAATATTGCAGAAGAGGTTTTGTATGAGGTTGGACTTAATGAGACCATGGGTCTGCCAACATTTGAACTGGGGACCTCCCAGCTTACAAACCATAAATTGTTTGGAAAGTCTGAAGTTTGGTCCAGTCAGTATAGAAAAAAAATGTGTTCTGGGTCTGGGTCTCCAACCACAGGTGTGAGAAAAAATGGGAATGGACTGGGCAGGCACATCTCTTTGGCTGTCTCCAGGCAAGACACATTGAATGTTTTATCTTTCTTTGGAAGAGGGGAATTTTGGCAGATAGTTTCCTCAGCCAACCTCGCCTCTTTTGAAGTAAAGGAAATACAGCCCTACTTCAGTGGTGCAATTTGGTAACGGACTTAGGAGGGCCTCCTGGGCTTTGCGAGTTCCTGCCTCTTTTTAGGCGGGAAAGTGGTAAGGCGGGCCTGCTGCTGCTGCATTTTGGGGCCGCCCTGCTCACTCTGCTGCGTGAGGCCCAGCCCAGGACTTCGGGCCCCCCGAGACCTGTCCCCCTTCGCCCGCCTTCCAGAAGTGACCTTGGAACTGAGCACTCCCCGGCTGGTGGAGGGGCGAGAAAGGCCCTCTCCGTCGCCCACTTCGCAGCCTCTGCAGCTAAGCCTCGGAGGAGGCACGTGTGCTTTGGCGCGGCGCCAGCCAGAGCATCCCCGGCGTGCCCTTGCTGGGGGCCGCCTCCGCCTGGGCCAAGCCCTTCTCTACCGGGGCTGGGGTGGGGCTCTTTGCTGCGGGAGGGCCAGGCAGCGCCGGCGTTTCCTTGGGTTGCTCGTCCCCGCTCTCTTTCCTTCCCTCTCTGACCCCGTGGCTCTGCCTCCCGAAGGAGAAGGCGCGAGAGGGGGGTGTGTGCGCGCGCGCTGAGCGACCTCTCCAGGCATTGCAGGGGTGCTTGGCGCTCCCGCAGTCAGGCGAGCAGCGGGCTTCGGTGAATCCTGCCGCCGCTCGCTTAGCTCCCGCCTTGCGGGAAGGGAGCTCTCCCGCCCAAATTCCAACCCTCGGCTCAATCTCTTTTGGAAAGAAGCCACCGGCTTCTTTTTTTCCAGCTGGAGAACGAGAGGGGAGGGCGGGGTGACTCAGGCTGCTGGCGCCGCCGCCGCTCCTCCATGAAAGAAGCTCAGCAAGAAGAATTGATTCCTTTGCCTCTCATCTCAGACCGCCGGGGCAGAAAGAGAGAAAGGAGCGAGAGCATGCTGCTGATGCGCTGCTGCTGAGGAGCCCGAGCCGAGCTGCAGAGTTTGCAGGTCATTAGTGCTGCACCAAACTCCGGGCGAGGTAAGTGGCGCCGCCGCCGCTGCTGCTGCTGCTGCACACAAAGCGCTCGGCAGCGTTTGGGAAGTAAGCCCGGGCGGGAACTGTGGTTTGTCGGGAGAGAATGGCAAACGCAGCAGGCAGTTTTCTCGGCAGGAGGTTCAGTTTTGTGTCTCTGTGCGGGCACAATGCAACGTGGCATGTTGTTTTTCTGCACCGAACGGAGCGCCTTAGTTTGATCCCTAGCAAACCTCGCTCGCTCAGTGCGATCAGCGTGGCTGTGCTGCAGACTGGCATCGTGGCGGCCTTGATCCGTGGTCCGATCCCGGAGAACGAGAGGGACGAAAGTCACCAGGCATCTTTGCAAAGTTTGCGCCTCGGTTGCCTGTGCGTAGCCCCGGGGCTGCTTGGTTGAGCGTGCCTTCCTGCGGCGTGGAGCCGCCCTGGGTTTCAAGAAGGGAGAACTGTCCGGGAAACTCCAGTTTATCCTAGGAAGATGCTTTTCGGCCGGCCATTAAGTCTAGGGTTACGGGGAGCTGCTGGATGGAAAGGGATGGGATTGGGAAATCGGAATAATGGCAGTGGAAACAATGGGCGCAAAAACTGAGGCTGGGCTGCCAAAGTGTATTCAGGAGGAGCAGAGCTGCTTAGGAAGAGTCTAGCGTGGGAGGGAAATGCATCAAGGGTAAGACGAGACCTAGTCTAAAAAAGAACACGCGCATCTCTATTAAAAGAATGGCTGGGGGCGGGAGGGGAGACCCCCACAAAACCAGATCTCAATATTGCGACCTGAATTAGTTGCGTTCCTTACAAATGAATCTCCAGTTCAGTTTCTAAGTGGGTGGCTTTGTGTTTCACATATGATGCTTCAGTCTATTCAAGCACTCTGAACCCAGGAAAGCTTTCTGTTATTGCAGTTCATTTATTTGTGTGTGTGTTCCTGGAAGTTTTCACCTCCTGGCTGGGACCACTGTTGAGAACTTCCAAAGCTTTGTGATCTAGTTCAGGGTGACCTGCCAGTGATTATCTCTTAATGTACGTTCGTTTCTTTCTTCACATGGTTGGTGGCAAGAGCAAAAAATGTGGTGCTCACTTGCAAGCCTCCAAAGATACCTTTGACATGGGGATGATTGAAGAGAGGATGACTGACAGGCTGTGATGACTGTAACCAAACTGTCTTGCCTCCACTTGGCCTTTGAAGAACGGAGCTACAAGATTGCTTTATTAAGAGAGTTAGGGTTTAGATGCTTTCACCACTGTTGTCCCTATGTTCTGATTAAAGCTGTCATTTCATACATCTGTCTCTCATGTGTGTGTGTGTGTGTGTGCACGTGCACGTGCACATGCACACACACCGTAGGGACATCTGGAGTGCTTTAGTTTTATTTCTTACCTTCCCAAGAAAAGTGCATGTGTCGTAGAAGATAGGCTGTGTAACATGGCATGAATAATGGATTTCTTTGTACGAGGAATGCTTTGCTCACATGTAAATGAAGAGCCTTCGGTGATGACAATTTCAGAAAAGCTGCTAGGTAGCAGGTGACTCACTTAAAAAAAGAAATTCTACAAAATATGTTTAAACAGGAGAAAGGGGATTCCCTTCTATAAGCCCCGTTACAATTTTCTGTTTGTTTTAGAGCCCTCCTTTCTGGCAAGCCTTCAGTGTGGCTTGCAATTTAGCCATAACAGTGTAATATTTAATTCCCGCCCCCCAACTGGTATTCCATACTTCTTGCTAGGTTATTAGGGCAAGTAGCAGGCACAAAGTTTTCTCTTCTCACCCTGCTAATAACCCTGTGGAAATGAGAAATACTGCTTAGCCCAAGGTCACCAGACAACTGCATTGCTGAACAGTGGTTTCTTAACTAGGTTCTCCCTGGTCCAAGTAAAAAACTTTGTCCATTGCTGTAATACTAGCTTTATAATAATGCATGCACTAGTGTTAAATAGTACAACACACGGTCAGAATCAGGTACGGTCACCAAAGTGGCATCATGCTAATTTTCCCGATTCACTGAAAGATGCCAGAAATTAAAATTTATTGCATTTGATGAGAATGGTAATGACACACTCAACCTTTCCATAGAAAACCAACCTTCTCAGACAAATGTTGGACAATATCCTACCCCAGTGCAGAATTCATACAACAGTAGTCCTTGTTACACATAATTCTTTAGGTCCAATATTGTTGTTGACCAGCAAACTGTGGTGCTCCATATGTTGTTGAACTCCACTCGTATCATCCCCAGCCAACATGGCTAATAGTCAGGGACGGTGGAAGATGATGTTACCCTATCTACATCCCATGACATTGCCACACCCACAGTAGTTAATAATGGCCCCAAATGCTAGTAGCTGCTGGAAATTTACCACTTGCACTTGTCATTCTGTAATCAAAATGCTCCTGGGACATAAATCCCCCCCCCAATAAACTCAAAAGTTGCAGTGGGGGTGCCCATCTAATGTAGAGAATTGGAGCTAAAAAAATTCAAATAAAAACGAATGTCTGGAATAAGGAACAGTATTGAGTTTTCTTTCTGAAAACAAATGAACCCAGGGCATTAAATATCCTGAAGAAAGCAATTGTTGTTGTTTAGTCATATAGCTGTGTCCGACTCTTCGTGACCCTATGGACCAGAGCACGCCAGGCACTCCTGTCTTCCACTGCCTCCTGCAGTTTGGTCAAACTCATGTTCGTAGCTTCAAGAACACTGTCCAACCATCTCATCCTCTGTCGTCCCCTTCTCCTTGTGCCCTCCATCTTTCCCAACACCAGGGTCTTTTCCAGGGAGTCTTCTCTTCTCATGAGGTGGTCAAAGTATTGGAGCTTAGCTTCAGGATCTGTCCTTCCCGTGAGCACTCCGGGCTGATTTCCTTAAAAATGGATAGGTTTGATCTTCTTGCAGTCCATGGGACTCTCAAGAGTCTCCTCCAGCACCATAATTCAAAAGCATCAATTCTTTAGTGATCAGCCTTCTTTATGGTCCATCTCTCACTTCCATACATCACTACTGGGAAAACCATCGCTTTAACTATATGGATGTTTGTCGGCAAGGTGATGTCTCTGCTTTTTAAGATGCTGTCTTGGTTTGTCATCACTTTTCTCCCAAGAAGCAGGTGCCTTTTAATTTCGTGACTGCTGTCACCATCTGCAGTGATCATGGAGCCCAAGAAAGTAAAATCTCTCACTGCCTCCATTTCTTCCCCTTCTATTTGCCAGGAGGTGATGGGACCAGTGGACATGATCTTAGTTTTTTTGATGTTGAGCAATTACATTTTGCATTTAGGGGTGCTGTTTTATCTCAGTAAAAGGAAAATTGGGTAAAAATGTATTAAAGGGTTTATTCAAACCAAAAAGGATCTAGGAATGCAGATTTAAGTGCCCTTTAAAAAATCACACACATTGATTTTACTTTGGGACATTTTACTACCCCGAGGCACCCCAACAATGGAATTTGATTTGGGTTAGTAAAATGCCTTTGTCCCCGTTTAGGAGTTTCAATCCAGTGCAAGCTTGCCTGGGTGTATTTTATTTATTTATTAAATTTCTATACCACCCTTCATCCAAGGAACATAGGGCAGTTTACAATATAAAAACACAAACATGCATACCATAATAACAAACACAATACTCCCCAGTTATTTATTTATTTATTTATTTAATACTGTAAATAATGTAAACTCCATTGAACACTGTGGGGCTTATTTTGAGTAAACATAAGATCGTACTTCATACAAGTGAAAAACATTTAAGAACTGTCTTCCTAAGAAATACATTGTAATGCTTAACACCCTATTTGATGCTATATAGCATCCAAGAAAATACCCTCAAAAGCTACTAGACCACTCTCCTGCTTAAAGTCATTTTTCCTCAGTTCAGTTTTTCTGAAAGAAAAAACTACCAACTATTTTCCAGTTTCTCAACCATACCTTACTTGCCATCAGCAGCAAGTGATAATCTGCTATATAGATTATAAATACAACAATGGTAATAATAGCAATTGTCCTTAGCTGTGGAAGAGAGGACACGCTTCTAGTGAGTCTCTGCATTTCTTAGGGAAGCCCCATTTGAAAACCATGTTCTTTGAGCCTGCATTCAGTTGCTCCCTCCTCCTACAGAGCCGCACATGGAATCTACATTTCACCTCACTTGCCATAAATAAGACTGCAACTTCCATAGCCAACTATTTTCTATAGCTTTCACTGTCAGTTGATCATATTGGATTAAAACACACCAATATTTCTGGTTATCAAAGGGTAAAGGAAAGGATGAGCCGAAGAAGGGACTGATTGTATTTGGGTCTGAAATCTCATGCCGTCCTGTATAATTGAGAATCCATTTTTGCAAAGACAACTTCTATTCGGGACATTAGTTCAGAAAATGGCTTTTTGTTCAGATTCCTGCGACTGGAAGAGGTTGTATGTGAGTATATTATAAGTGGACGTATATGCATGCAAGGGTATGTGAGAGAAAGATTTCCACCATTGGAACTCAGTTGGATTTTTGTACACTAATGCATGAAGGTCATCTCCTTTTAGATTTGTTGCTTTATAAAGCAGTAGAAGCTGGGAACACATGCAGGTCTAAATTGTTGTTGTTGTTTTTTAAAAAAAACTTTAATCAGAGAGACTAGCCTTCAGTATATTAGGCCAATAATTCTTCTGTGTTGCTGATTTAAGATGTGGGATTCCACTAGGTTTGGCTTTTCTTAGCCATGTAGGAAAACTTACCTTGAAGTGGCTTTTGAGGAATTGCAGCTTTCTCCACCACAATTTTGCTGCTTGTTACATAGCAGGTTTGTGCTCTCTGCACCAGTGGTAGGATGAAAGTATGCTGCCAGATCTGGAAGCTCTCCTCCCCAAAACCCAATGTCTGTGACAGGAACTTGTGGCCCTCCAGATGTTGGATTCCATTTCCCATAATCCCTAGCCAGCATGGCAAATAGTCTCAGATGCTGGTCGTTGTAGCCCACCAAAATCTGGAAGGCTATAGATTCCCCGCAATGAGTTAGCGTGGTTTCCCTCATGGTGAGAGAAGTTTCCATTGTACATGCTTCAGAGAACGCTTTCATTTTCGCAATGTGTTAAAGTTGAATTTTGACATTCAAAACAGGTTGCTCATAGCACCTTGGGCTAAACAGGAGTGGGGAACTTAATGCGGCCCTTCATGCCTCTTTTCCTGGCCCTTGGAACCTTCCAGAGGCTGCACCCTCCACTGGCTATTGCTTCACACCACCTGTGTTTTTGCCTAGCTGCCATGTGCCTTTGAACTCTTATGTTTCTTGCTCTTCTGAGTGGAGGAGACAAGAGTGTATGATTGTGTGTAGAAACTAGCCCACTGTATAAAGGTAAGGATTACGTTTGTTGCTCTTCTCACCTTTGCCTTTGGCCGGCGGGCATGTGGCCCTCAGAAGGTTGCCCAGAAGAGAAAGCAACCCTCAAGCTGAAATAGTTTCCCCGTCCCTTGACTGATATGAAACCCCTGAGGGGTCAACTAGTCTAGCTCTTCACATTGAGTAGAATACCCCTGTTCTATAAAATACTCAATTGCCTCCAAATGGGTGGCTAACTTCAGGTGGCACCAAGCACATGGACATGATTTGATCCACATCCATTTTCCTTGCAACATACTTGTGCAATGTTTGTTTGTCTTTTGATGGGTTAGGTGAGCATGTTTGAGGGAAATGGCCTCATGGGTCATATTGCACCCCTGCCTTTCAGGCCACGATTGGGCTGGATGTCTCATCCCCTTGATTTAGAATGTGCATAAGAGGCTCTGAGCAGAGGGGAGGATGTCAGAGAAGCACATGTGCCCTCACTTGAGCTGGTCAGAAGCTGAGGTACTTCCACCCACATATTCCTCCTCCTCTCTGCTCAAAGTATTGCACAAACTCTGCAGTAGTTTCAGCTCTGGGGCAGCAGCCAGGGGAAGGACTTGCTTTTACTGGCTAAGGAGGATGCCTGTCATTAAGTCAGACTGTCCACTGCTACAAGGAAAGAGGAAGGAACAAGAAGATGGCCATGCTGGAGGGCAAAGGAAACCCTTAGCATCTTCCTTTAGTAAAACAACAATTTCCAGTCCTCTTTCACTGTAGATCATGAGTTAACAGTTGCAAAGTCAATGAAGCTACAGGCCAATATAAGTGAGTAAAGAGTCTCCCTCTAACAAGTTTATAGCCACTGTAAAATGTTTTCCTGGATGACTCTAAAAAGATAAACCTATATTACAGCTGGGTTTCAACATCCAGTAAGAGGCAGAGCACTCAATCCTGCTGTGTGTTGCTTCACCAGCATGTTCCCTGCAGAGAACACGTTGGCAAAGCAAATCCTTGCAGAGAGCTGATTGAAACCTCTGCTCAGCTGAGGGTTTAGTGGTATCACACATACCCAGTCACCAAGCCTTAGTTGGCAGCAGGGCATGGAAAAAAACTTTCAGTATTGGGAGTAGGAGGTATATTAGTCCATAAGGTGCCATGGTGTTAGGCCTTTTTTCTATTTAAAATGTGGAAGATTCCTTCCATAGATCAGTCCTCAGTACAGGGATTTTCTTTTTTAGGGGGGAGGATATCGAATAATATGTCTTGAATTAAGTTAACAATTTAATTAACCAAAGTGAACACATATTGCTAGAAGGAAATGCTGTTCAGTTTTCTTTTCATTTCTTGTTATAACAACATAGCAGAGTCAGAACACCTTAACAATATGATCCAGCACTGGCCTTCCATCTCAGCCCGCCAATTAAGATTTACCTCCATTGATTTGTTCCTGTTGAGAAGTTGATTAATCTGCTGATTAATGTATGTTTTGATCAAGGCTGTCCTTCTCATTTCCTCAGCTGCTCCTTTGTTCCAGGAAGTCTTTGTTCTTCCTATGATTGTTTATTCTTGCCATCCCATTTTGCAATATTATTTCTTTTGTGCAAACGGAATGTGATTTCCTTGGCTTCGTTTAGCCCTGCCTGTCACCACTCTCCCGTCTGTAGCAGCTCATAAAGAAAACTAATGAGAATCTGTCTCCAATCACCTTTGTCTTCATTAGATTTTCATCAGCCTTCTGTGACTCCACCGGTGCCTTGGTGAAACTACTGGTGACACACATTGGAAGTATTAAATAATCTTGCTCCAGGTTATGTACTTCTGTGGCAACTCCATGATCTCCGCAGGGGAGCTAGGAGTGAAAGTCCTCTGGCAGGAATAATAATAATAATAATAATAATAATAATAATAATTTATTTATACCCTGCCCATCTGGCTGGGTTTCCCCAGCCACTCTGGGCGGCTTCCAACAAAATATTAAAATACAGTAATCTGTCAAACATTAAAAGCTTCCCTAAACAGGGCTGCCTTCAGGTGTCTTCTAAAAGTCTGGTAGTTGTTGTTCTCTTTGACATCTGGTGGGAGGGCGTTCCACAGGGTGGGTGCCACTACCGAGAAGGCCCTCTTAATGGTTCCCTGTCACTTCGCTTTTCGCAGTGAGGGAGCGGCCAGAAGGCCCTCGGAGCTAGACCTCAGTGTCCGGGCAGAATGATGGAGGTGGAGACGCTCCTTCAGGTATACTGGACCAAGGCTGCTTCGGGCTTTAAAGGTCAACACTAACACTTTGACTTGTGCTCTGAAATGTACTGGGAACCAATGTAGGTCTCTCAGGACCGATGTTATATGGTCTTGGCGGCCGCTCCCAGTCACCAGTCTAGCTTCCACATTCTGGATTAGTTGTAGTTTCCAGATCACCTTCAAAGGTAGCCCCACATAGAGTGCATTGCAGTAATCCAAGCGAGAGATAACCAGAGCATGCATCACTCTGGCAAGACAGTCCGCGGGCAGATAGGGTCTCAGCCTGTGTGACAGATGAAGCTGGTAAACAGCTGCCCTGGACACAGAATTGACCTGCGCCTCCATGGACAGCTGTGAGTCCAAAATGACTCCCAGACTGCATACCTGGTCCTTCAGGGGCACAGTTACCCCATTCAGGACCAGGGAGTCCTCCACACCTGCCTGCCTCCTGTCCTCCCAAAGCAGTACTTCGGTCTTGTCAGGATTCAACCTCAATCTGTTAGCCGCCATCCACCCTCCAACTGCCTCCAGACACTCACACAGGACCTTCACCGCCTTCACTGGTTCTGATTTGAAAGAAAGGTAGAGCTGGATATCATCTGCATGTTGATGGACACCCAGCCCAAACCCCCTGATGACCTCTCCCAGTGGCTGCATGTAGATGTTAAAAAGCATGGGGGAGAGGACAGAACCCTGAGGTACCCCACACGTGAGAGCCCAGGGGTCTGAACACTCATCCCCCAACACCACTTTCTGAACACGGCCCAGAAAGAAGGAGCGGAACCACTGTATAACAGTGTCCCCAGCTCCCAGCCCCTCTAGACGGTCCAGAAGGATGTTATGGTCGATGGTATCAAACGCCGCTGAGAGATCCAGCAGATCTTGAAACAGCAAACTGGGAAACATTTCTTCTTTGATACACAAGCATATGAATCTGTCTTACAACGAGTTAGATCACTGGCAAGTGTAACTCAGGACTTTCAGCTCTGGCTGGCACCTCTCCTACTCAGAGTAGAACCTAAGTTAGTTGCCCCATTAATTTCAGTGGGTCTACTCTGAGTAAGATTTAGTTGGATGCAATGCTAAACCTTGGCTCAAAGGGCTGTGAACAATCTTGAGATCTTGAAGATCCCTTTAACTTCAAATGCTTGGCATTGAAACTAGAGCGTCCAGCATGCAACGCCTGTGCTCTACCTCTTAACTGTTGAGTGGGATGGGCTGCTCATGGACCCAAACATAATTATGTGCAGCCATTGGCCTAATTTTAAAAGCTCTCCAAGTAAGTGATCACGTCATACCTCTGGCAAGAGGGATCTGTCCTCCCCCAGAGAAGTAGAGAAGGGTTGCAGAAAGAGAGAGAGAGGGACGGCTGTGCCTATTTTTGACTCTGATCCCATCCACACTCAGCATTCCCACCCTCCCAGAGATTACCCCCAAGTGAACGCAGAAAAAAGTTAGCTTAGCCCAAGAAGCCCACTAAAAATGTGGATTTGAGGTATGCAACAGAGATGTAGACAAGCATAGGCCTTTAAAATGTTCAAGGAGCTATGCTAGCCTTTTCCTCACTGACTGAAAATCTGTCCTTCTCCAAACTTTAGTCCTTTTGAAAAGTCAGACCCCCTTTGCATCTGATTCAAAGAATAGGGCTGCAAAGGTAAACTTGGAAATGCAAGCAGCTGTTCAGTGTAAACGAAAGCATAGAAGGTTGAAATTTCCTCCAGGTCCCTCTCTGTCCTTTCCACATCGTAATGTGAATTTATGCTAATCTTTTTCAGTTTTGTTTTCATCCCGGGTACTCTGAATAGAGATTTGAAGGCTTTTGTCCTCATAGCAGGCTAGTAGCACTAGAATGGGAATAATTTTCCTAAGCATTTTGGGCATGTTGCATAGATCTGAATTACTGCTCTGACACCTTAAGGGTCATTGCACCACACACACACACACACACACACACACACACAGTAAATCCCAGCAACACAGGGACTTCACGAGTTGCATGGCTTGGCTGCCCTGTGTCTTCTGTCAATGTTGTGACCAGAGAAAAGGTTTTTTGACAATCCTTGGGTACACCCACCTTGTCTTGCTCTCTTACTTGACCTCTATATGTCTCAAATGATGGGGGTGTTGGATTTGGGAAATCTGCATTTCTTCTCAGCCTCATTTGAGGAAATTTCTTTAGGAATGTTTCCTATCTGTTTTCCAGAAGTATGGTAGTGAGCTACTCTATGCGTTTTTTGGCTTTTTTTTTTTTTTAGGATGAAAGAGAACAAAAGCACTTATCTTTTGAGCCTGGCCAGGCTATAAATCTAATTAAGTGCAACATTTTTTAAATTGCCTGTTGTCTTGCGTTGAAGTATAGCTGAAAACCCTCCCAGATGCCAACCCTACTCAGGTTACAAATGACAAGAATGTGTTTGGGTCATTCTCTTGCTGGTGTTTACTCACTGCCTTTATTTATTTTGCTGAATGAATCATGTCTCAGGCTCATCTTGTAACCATTCTGTGGCTGCGCAGAGTTGTCAGGCCATTTGGGATTGGAATCTCAAAGTACACAATCTTGCAGTTGGGGGAATAGTTTGCATAATTACATTTATAAACTCGATTCTTGCCTTTTGCTTACCATTGTGGTTGAAGAGCAATGTTGCATTTTGCTGAGCAAAATTAGCAAAAGACAGGTCCCTGTCTCAAGGAGCTTCCAATACTAGAAAAGAGAAAAGTGTGGATAACAAGCCAATAGAGAAAGGGGAGGAATGGGTCAGAGTAACCAAAGATGAATGTAAGCAGATGGCTGTTACATCCAGCCAGGCATGCAGTGCAATCGTATGCATATTTACTTGGAACATATGGGACTTACTCCCAGGAAAGCCTGTACAACATTTCAGGCTTTGTATAATAGAGCTTCAGGCTTAGTTTTAGTTTGGGGTGTTGAATAATGGATTGGCCTAAAGACTTCTTGGAAAGGCCAGTACCTAATTATTTCATCAAGTAAGTGGATCAGAAGAAGTCAAATTCTTCATTATCCTTGTTTAGTATTTTTGGACAGCTCAAGCTCAAGCTGGAACACTCTTCAGTACCAAGGACAGCTCTAGTGATTGCTCATGATTTGCCTGGAAGGCTGGCACTAGTGTGCATATTATACGTACTGTGTTACGTATAACTAATGTATTAAATTAAGCTTACCCCCAGAACATGTCAAAGAATGCCTCCATTCCCCCCCCCCCGTGTTACTCTTATACACCAAAATTAAATATCCACCATATGTTTGGGGGATGTAGTTAGTGCCCAGTGATTAAAAGGTTTGTTTCTGAATCTACAAACAACTCCAAAATAAAAAAGCACTATCCTAAAGAAGATACAGAATAAGTCAGAATACCAAATACAATAAATGGCCCAGATATTGTCCTCCCTTGAAAGCCCTCATCTCTGAAGATTATGGACTCCCGTACAGTTAGATTTGTGCAGGGTGCTGAAATTACACAAACTGAGCTTTTCAGCTAGTTGGGCTCACCAAGAGCACTCTCTAAAATTGTGAATGGTAAATCTCATGGCAGGTGAGTAGTTTTCCCTGCTGCTGAGAGCGACAAAGGCTTTCAGTGGAAGATATCACCCAGTGTCTTGGACTCTCAGAATCTTTGCTACTTGACTTTTTCTGTAGTTTCTTTAGGATTATGTCTCTTACCTTCAGGTTTTGCCTTTATTAAGAATGTCCCACTTCCTGGGTAGTTTTTATTTTTATTTTTAAGGTTTCAAATTAGTGCAGATGTATGTTTATCAGTTGATGGCTTACTTGCCTTGCATGTGTGAATGCATTACCACAGATCAAAGATCAGAGACGCAACTTCCATGTCACTTCACCTCACTTCAGACATAATTGGTTGCATTCCTAACGCCACTTACCTGAAAGTAAGCGCCAATGAATTCAATAGGACTTAATTTTGAATAGGCATGGTTAGGATTGCATTATAAGTTAGTTGCATATAGGCCCCATTGAAATCAATGGGACAAGTTAGTCATGACTGAAGTCTCATTGATTTCATTGGTAACTAAGTGCAACTAGTGTGTTATAGATCTAGCCCAATGCTGAATAAAGTTACAGTATATGTATGGACGTGTGAACCAGTCCTTAAATGACACTTTTCTATGAAAAACCAAGTTGGGGTTTGATGAAAATAGTATTGTTTAATATTTCATTTAGGCAACAGGAATGGCAATGGTTATTCTGGTTTTGTTTTCTGTTTACTCTTCAAAATATATGGGTGCCTTACTGTTCACAAGCAAAATGAACTGTGAACTGCTTGACTGACCTTTGGGTTGCTTTGTTTTTTGCTTTTATATGATTAGGAATTCTGTTCCATCGATTTTGCTTCTCCACCTCAGTCTGCTAGTTTCGACATCTCACTGCATGCTTGCGACCCGGCAAGTTCTGTGGTCCCTGCTGTGTGAAGATGGCTTTGCAAAGGATTCTGGGATATGAGTACTTTTATTAGACAGAAAGATGCTGCTTCAAATGCTCTTTATTTTACCTACTGTCTCTAGCCTTTTTTTAAAAAAAACAAAAGAAAACAAAAAGCAATGCAGTGGCATGAGCAACATACACAGAATCTGCTCCAGTTGTTGACCCTGCCCATATTGAACAGTTGTTTTAAAAATGTGGCTTTTCAGTTAGTTTGTTAAATGTATTGTAAGCCACCTTGGACATGAAAATCATGACTGAGAGGCAGGGGTGCAAATATTCTAAATATTCATTAGGCCACCTGTGGGGTGCATTGAGTGGAAGAGTCTTTTCAAAACCTTATAATAAACAAACAAACAGGAGGAGCAACATTATTCTCTACCCCACCCCCCAATGCTTATGGAGGTAGGTAAGAGAGGGTCTTTTTAAATGACCAGGAAAATACTGGAGGGGTTGAAATTCCCCTTGGCTCTCCCTTTACCCCCCTCCGTCCCCCAAAAAACTAACCAACCACCTTGGCCACCACTTTTCTGTTTGCCCCAGGTGAATAACCTTGACAGAGGAGAGTAGTACCCAAGATCTTTTGAGTAGGAATGGAGATTGAAGAGTGTTGACTGAGGGAAGTGAGGTGCTCAGTCAACAGAAATGGGCTGCAGTCACTTTCCTTGCATAGGTTGATTCATTGAAGGTGCCTGAGCCTTCCTTTCTCCAGTGTATTATTTCTTATTTCACCTTTGATCCTGAAGGGTGAAATTGGGCTCAGAGAGCACCCTTTGGCATGCACTCTCTGGGCTTCAGTGCTTTCCTTTTGTAAGCAAAGTGTGGCTGGGGGGTCTTCTCCCCTGAAAGTGGACACTGAGAAGAGGGATTTCCTGTACAGTTCATCCTTCCCCTTTGCAAATTTCATGGGGCGCCAATTTTTTATTGTTATTTATTGCATGGAAATGAATTCCTGGCTAAACATAGCAATACAATGCCCATGTACCTTGGGAGACTGTTCCTGTAGGCTCTGAGCAGTAGCGATAATAAACAGTTGGAGGAGTCCTTTCCTCAGCTCTGGCATCATCTATTTATTTTGCAGTGACCTCTCAATAAGGCCAGCTCCATATTAAATTATTTGTCCATATATTATCCAACACAGGATCATTTGTACACAGAAAATGAGGCGAGTGATGGGGAAATAGCAAGTACAAACTGAACAGCAAGACTGTTAGTAAGATTGTTGTTGAATTTGAACAAGACAGGGAAGGGAGAAATGGCTAAACTGAACTAAAAATCCTAATTGGGGGTGGGGAGGGGCCAGAGAGCTGATCTGCCAGAACTGTAGAAGGATAACTCTGAAATAATAAAAATGCTGGTATTTATTTGTATTTTTATTTCAAAGGTTCCAATTATTGCTTATTAAAGCTAGGAGCATAAAAACAAAGTCTAAACATGTTTGAAACTTAGAAAACATAGGCTTATATCACCAGTGCAAATTAGATTATCCTGTTCCCCAACAGGTTGTAACCAGTTGACAGGCAAATGCGCTGGTGATAAGATGTTAGTATGGCAGAAGTCCTGCAGAAGCCAAAGGCTCCATTGAATGAGCTATAAGACCACATTGTAAGGGCCAAAATAGATGGGACAGAGATACATTGATCATATATTTTATCCCTTAATTAAGGGAGAGCTGTGGGCAGGAACCCAAGTCAGATTGGGACTGGAAGAATGGAGGAGGGTTTTAGAAAACCCATCCCATTTTCCTACAGTACATTGCTGCTTGCTCCATTAAGAAAAACATAGTTACTGTCCTAAAAATGTGCAACCTAAGCAGCCAGGGAGTCTTTAAAACAGACTACACCCTCCCTCTTTAACTGTGTGAAAGGAGAAGTACCTGCTTTCTCGCTGTGTTATGAAGGTTGCTGTTGTGTGCTTAATCTGGCTTTTGCTTGTCAGCCCATTGTAATCCATTTGACTAGTACATACTTCTATATAATTCTGTAGCAGACTCAATGTAATGTACCGTATTTTTCCCTCTATAAGACACCCCCATGTATAAGACACCCCCTATTTTGGGGGACTCAGATTTAAGAAATTGGGGGGGGAGATGTATTCGTGTATAAGAGGCTCCCTAATTTTTGACATTATTTTTAAGGGAAAAATCTTAGTCTTGTACACAGAAAAATATGTTAATTTGAATTATGAGAACTCTGAGGATGAAAAGTTTTGTGGCAAAAAATGTAGGTGATTATGGTTTCTAAATGTGGCCCAATGCTTTTTGAGTTGTAAGGACGTGTACATTTAAAAAAAAAATTGGGTGAGGACTAACATAAACTGCCCCAAAGTGTCTTCACTTCCTTCCTTTCTTACTATAACCCCACTGTTCTGTGTTAAACCATTATGCCTTTTTCCTTTCGGTATGGGTTTTGTACATGAAGTATCCTTTATTCAAGCTGCTGTCAATTTTCTTAGCTCTACAACTTGATATCATGATCCAAACCTCAAGCAAAATGACCAAATCACAGACCAATCAGTGACAAATATGATAAATAGGTGATAAAACAAAAATACAACAGTGGACTCAAACCTGTGATATTATATTATATCATACAATATGATATGAGTTGCAGCCAATAAGCCATAAAAAACCCATGCATTAATGAAAATACAACACATCACAAAACTAAGCCTCAACAAATTTAAACAACCAACATGAAGCTTGTCTATAACAGAAATAATAAACAATCCATGAAAACGGTATGTGACGGAAATAATAAATAGTCCAATATAATGTAAATGAGTTCCATCTGTGAATGGAATGCATCAAATAAAGCTGATGTACAAATTGCATGCAGTAGTAAAGTTAATATGATGAAAACTTTGGAATATATTTTTGCTTAAGTACGTCCTCAGAAACTACTGTGATGGATGGCATCCAAGCCTGATTCTTCCCAAGATATCACTGGGCACACAGCAATTCAGTAAAACCATAAGTAACAAAAAGCAGAGAGCTACAGACAGACGGTAAACAATGTTGTAAACTTTTCCAATAGCCTTCCAAATCTCAAACAACCACCAGGACTCTGACCCAAAGACAGAGGAGCCAGCCAGATCAAGAGGCCTAATGGAGCAAGCCATGGAAGTGCTGGACCCCCATACCCAAGGCCTGACATGAAGCCAGGGACCCCTGAACTGAGACCCCTCACACAATACCCCTTGAGCCAGATTGCCCTTGTGGGACTCCCTCCTCCCATACCAGGGGCTTCATATACTGCAGTGCAGCAGGCAGGCAAGAAGAGAGAGGAAGTTGCCAGAGCGCTGTGCTCTAAGTCAGAAAGTTGCCTCTTTAATAATACTGTCTGTTCTTCAGGAAGCGTGAAGAGCCTGGAAGAGATAATATGGCCCATGCAGAATAGAAGTGAAACAGAAGCACTGCAGCCTAGTGGTCCCAGCAACCTTTCTCTGCAGGTCTTGCCCTGATGAGGCAGGTGTGAGGACTAAAGGTCCCCGCCTTCCCAGTGCCCACTAAGGCTACTTCTCTGCTGGGTCTTTCCCAAGCAGTCTCAAACTGTGCCTGCACAAAACTGATTTCTGTTCAACCTGCTTAATTTCCCTGCATGCCCCAGGAGACCAAGGGGGAGGAGAGCTGGGTGTTGGGATGCAGCCAAGGAATCGGGGCAATTGGCTGGCTCCAGCCCACCGGCCGGTGTGCCAGGCGATCTCCAGTCCTTGGATCAGCATGAAACTGCGACCCGAGCTTCAGAAGCCTTCAGAAGCTGGAGCATGCAACTCAGCAGAGTAAATAACGCTTCGCAACAGAAGTGGCAGGGAGACGGCTGTGTGAGCATATTTACAAGCAGTTTATTCAGCATATTGTTGTTGTTTAGTCGTTAAGTCGTGTCCGACTCTTCGTGACCCCATGGACCAGAGCACGCCAGGCACTCCTGTCTTCCACTGCCTCCCGCAGTTTGGTCAGATTATTCAGCATACATCAGGACAAAAGGAAAACATGTCTTCTCTCCTTCGTGTCCAAGCAAACAGCACATAAGCAAAAGCTATACACAAACGGAAGTTCCCAGCAAGCTGTGCTGGAGTGTAAACAGGCATGTGACACACAACAGTCATGCCTGTTCCTTAAGGTGGAACGGAATATCCTAACACTGGGTGCAGTTGGAGGGGGATACTTTCAGGAGAGGGAGACTACCCAGCTTCATCATCCTGCCTCTTTTGTCTCCTGGTCCCACACCTCTCCAGCCCCCTCTTCTGCCTCAGAGTCTGAAACAGACTCTTCCTGCTCACTAAACCCTGTTACTTCCCTTGCATATTACCCTTCCTCCTCCCAGTCTGTTCTTCCTCACTCTTGTCCCTCCGACCACTCACTGTCGTCCCACCACCAATCCCCTGGCTCTGAGCAGTCTTCCTTTGGGGGCTCCCCAGCTGGTGCCTCCCACCAATCCTGTGCATCCAGCCACTCCATGACATAGGCTTTAAAATTAAGGTATTCATCGGTATCTGGGGATTCTCAATACAACTAAACATGAATCCACCTTTTCTGCATTGCGGGGTCTTTTTCGAAAGACCATGAGATGCTGAGTTAGGGGAGACTTTGTAGGACAACCTGCTCCTCATACATCTGAATATTCAGCTTACCCACTAGGAGCTGTAATGAAAAATCTTGATGGAGATTCTCGATGAAAAACATGGGGTCATTCCCTACTCAGATGGATAGAGGATAAGCAGGAAATTCTCAAGCAAACCCTTACAGAGCCATTCATCAGCCGGACACGGAATGGAACAATGCAGTAATTCCTCCCCAGCAAGCAAAGAAAGAGCCTTCAGGAATGAAAGATAAATCAGACCTCCTCCACTGGCAGGTTGTAGTGTAGTAATTTTGCAAGGTTCCAGCAATCAGTGACCTCTAATCCAGGGTGATGTACTTGAGAAGCAGGTTTTAATAACGCATTTCCACAAAACACCATGCACTGGTGACTCATGCAGTGCCAAAAGACAGAGAAGAATCTCTTCTTGCATAAGTGTACACTGAGCACACTGGCTGAGACTGTAAACTTGTTTTCTCTTGCAGACCATTGGGACACTGCTGGCTATTGGAAGAGTTTACAATGCAAACTCCAAGGCCTAATTCATATGCCATTGGGAACTCAGCCAGATGGATGCTGCCTTGGTGTTATTGGCTGCTTGTGGCTGCTAGTCCCCCCCGCAAAAGAAAATCTGGGTGGGTGATCAAAACTATGTCCCTGCTTCATCCACCAAAGTAACCTAGTATCCATATTGTAATGGTTCTAGTGGTTGCTCGTGCGTAAGCCGGTGCAAACACCTGGCTGGATTGCCTGAGTGAACCTTTTCTGTCCGGACAGCCACTCACCCGTGGCTGTCTCAATCGCTGGCAGAATCCATCAGTGGGCGTTTCTTAAACTTCTTCCAGCAAAGAAGCTCTTTGACGCCTAGTCTCCTCCTACTTTCTCTGCGCGAAAGCCTTCTGCGCAAGGAGGGCGTAGGCAGCGGAGGAGCTCTACTCTCCCCGCTGGTCCCCGGCAAGGAGTCATGGGACCGCCTCGCCGCTTCCCCCATCTGCCCCCCTTCTCCACTGGTGCTACGCTGATTCTCTTCCCCATCTCCCAATCCTGGGACGCTCTCCGGAATCCCTCTGGATTTTGCTCTCTCCCTCCGGCACTGATGGCAGTTCCCTGACACATATCAAAAACAATAAACTAAAACAACATACACGGTGGTTTTTCTCTTCTTATTAGGTTGTCGGCTGCTAATTTTGCTTACAACAGCCCAGCAGAAAGAGACTGTATTGTTATCCCCATATTTTAGATAAAATTCTACCCATGCTAATATATTTCATGATTTGGTTACCATCAGCCTGAGCTGCATGGAGCTGGTTAACATGAGGCTAACTGTGTAAAGGGAAGCCTTTGGGGAAGAGAAGCTCTCGGGAACAACTGTGCCACAATGGTGATATATTGCAGCAGGCCTAAACAGAGGATTTCTCCCTCCCCATCGTCCAGCCAAGACACTGAGCTCCTCTTCCGAAGGTCTTCTGCTGGTTCCCTCACTGCAGGAAGCGAAGTTACAGGGAAGCAGGCAGAAGGCCTTCTCAGTAGTAGCGCCCGCCCTGTGGAATGCCCTCCCTTCAGATGTCAAGGAGATAGAGAATTACACAAATTTTAGAAGACATCTGAAGGCAGCCCTGTATCAGGAGGTTTTTAATGCTTGATGTTTTTAGTTTGTTTTTGGATATGCTGTAAGCCGCCCAGAGTGGCTGGGGAAACCCACCCAAATGGGTAGGGAATAAATAATAAAATTATTATTATTATTATTATTATTATTATTATTATTATTATTTCAAGATGCAGATTAACCAAAAAGAAAATTAACCAACGGGGTTCTCAGCTTTTTGCTTTCCATATGCATATAACAACTGCATGACATATTATTATTATTATTTTAAGTCCCACATTTCATCCTTTTCATGTTGGGGAAAGTAGCATTTGTTGAGCTGCCTAACACGTAACAATTAAAGGCACAGTGCCTCTCTTTGGAAATTAGGTGGCAGCCATACCACAGTGGTTTAGATCCAGACTAAGTTAGTGACATTTCTGTCCCATAAAAGTAGCCAATGAGTGTGTAAAGTTCTGTTGATTTAAATGGGACTGAAGTGTGACTAATTTGATCTGAAGATTTTGGGGTGAAACAGAATGAAATGCAAAGCTTAATGTAGAAATATGAAAACACAGAGTGGAGGGGAAGCTGCCATATAAATATACTCTTAAAACCATGATGACTGGATCCTTTGCTTTATTATGCAATGGGGTTGGAGGTTAGGATCTGGGACTCTTGGTCCTGGACCTCAAGCAGTGAAACCCTTTTGGCCTGACGCTGGCCTAGCAGTAGCCATCAACTCTCCTACACCAGCATGGTCTAATTACAGGGACTATAGGGCTAAGGTGCCTCTTCAGTGATATGGGCAGGCCTGCTGCTGCTAGAGCCATTGGAGCATTGGGCCAACAAGCCCATTGGCCCAGTAATGCAGGAGCAGAGAAAGGTGCTGCTCCACTTCACAGAGACACAGGATGCTGCAGCAGTTGTAGCACCTCTGAAGCCAAAGCAGCCTAAGAGGATTGGGCTTCCCATGACAGAATGCAAAGGAATATTTTATATGTGTAGCAAAGTGTGTAATGTCATTTCTGCTATTAGTAGTATCAGTAGTCATAATAGTACATACATGTATTAGATGCTGTACACCAAAGTTTCTAGACTGCATACAATAAAAGTAATTAAAGCACCCAATACAATCCAGTAAAACTAAAATAAATGCAAGAGGGCAGACTAAAGAACAAAAAAATGACTAAAAACAGCAGGATCCCTTCCCAATTGTTGTGCCAGTCATTGTGGAAACAGAAGAAAGGGGTTGTATTAGCTTTTCATTAATTAGTTATAGAATAAATCTGGTCCTGAGGTACTCTCAGTGTCATACAGCATTGTCTTGATTTCCTCACTGTTTTTGTTTGTGTTTTCTTCTAGGTAACTGCCCTTACTCAGGATAGTCACCATGGATAATAACGTTGCTGAGCACCAACTCAGTGGTGAGTATCTTGAATGCTGAACAAACTGTGCTAGGGTTTTGTTTGGAGATATCAGTCTTGGTAAAAGTCTCCCTGCTCAAACAATAATAATGTGATCTCCCTCCCATTTAGACATTTTCTGGACAGAAGATCCAGAAAACTCTTACAGCCCCAGAGACAGGAGGGTATCCAGACAAATACTGAGGGCTGCATCTCACATATATCTTTTGATGAAGCCCTTACCTTCAATCCAGTAGCTTTCTAACGTAAGAACTTATTCTAAGGGCCAAGCTAGGTGAGATGGTGAGAGATTTATGAGAAGCTCAATACTACCAGGTGCACACAGAGTAAGTTCTCTAGTTAAGGTCTGTGGAAAGAAGATGCTTGAAGAGAATATTTGGTGGCCTACCCCCAGTCTAATGTACTCCAGATGTTTTGGACTACAACAGCCCCATCCAGCATAGTCAAGGATGATGGGTGTTGTAGTTGAAATTTGGAAGGCACCAGGCTAGGGAATGTAGACGTGTTGTTGCTCAGTATTAACGTCTGACCATTGATTCATCTGTTTCCAAGCAAAGAACCATATATTATTGTCTCAGCTGGTTATTAGAGGTTTTTCAAATGAATTTCTCTGTTGGGAAGTAGCTAGTGAAAGTATATGGGCCTTCAGGTCTCTTGGAAGCAGTTGTGTGAATACCTTTCTTTCTAGAAACACAGCAATACTTGGTATGTGAAGAAGTTGTGCGTTAAGTTGGTTCAAGTGTGTATCTTATTGCCACTTCTTGTAGATCACTGCAAACTGTAGAATGTGTGTTTGCTTGAAAGCTGTTCCCATTTATCATAATCAGGTGGGAGCAATTTTCTGTGCCAGTATGAAATTCATAGCATGGTTGAACAGTGGGCCATCTATCTACATTGAAAAGATTATTGCAGTCCAAGTCTGGTGAGGAGACTGCTTGGATACATATAGAAACAGAATATTTGAAAGCTAAAAGTCAAAATGTAGGGGGGAAATGTTTTCCGAAACCATGAAGAAATAAACACATTTTTATTCTCACTGGTAAGAGGAAAAATAGATCAATTTTGAAAAGCTGAAAGAAAGAAAATGCTTCTTTATAAACTAGCAATGGGTAGTATTCACAGATCAGCCATCAAAAATATTGAACAAGAACTGAATAATATGAAATCATTTAATGAAAGATTTTTTCTTATGAATAGAAACATAGTGATGATAAAAACAAAGTGTTGTAATTTTCCTAAATTTGGGAAGTTACTTCAATGGCTGTAAACAAAAAATCCTGTTATGTTAAGCAATCACATATTTTCTTAGATAGTTCACTGTACAGAGAGACTATAGTTTAGATTTGAAAAGAAAGATGTGTTCCGTTGTGTCAAGCCATTGTGGTGCAGTTTTGTGTGAAATGTTGTGTACTGTTGGTGTGGGGTTGGTGGTGGTTATGAATTAAGAACGGTTAGAACCTTAATTTGCACCTTCATCCTAGCATCACAGAAGATACCACACAGAAGGCCACTTACTTAATATTCCTATAATGCTTCTGTAAGATTTCAATGTGCCATGATAACTCTTTTTCTTCTTCCAGTCATAAGAAGTCCACCTGGATGGGAAATAGGTATCTATATTACTGGAGCACTTGTTCTGCTGGGAATAGCTGGAGTAAACCTGTGGAAGCTATGGAGGTCTGGCAGCTATCCTGCACCATCTCCATTTCCAAACTACGACTACAGATACCTAGAACAAAAATATGGGACCACATATTCTCAGATCAAGCAAAAGGTAAAGGGCATTGAGAAATCCATCAGTTACCACAATCATCCATTCCCCCCTGTGCGCCATCATAATAGCAGATTTGATTAAGAGCTCCCACTTGAGTCCAGAATTTTATTCAATGGTGGGACTACGAGGGCATGCGGGGAAATTAAACTCTGGGGCCTGCAAAAGGTTGATGTTTTACAGTAGTAAATAGTTTGAAGTTAATCTTGAGCTCTGACTAGCTTTCTGTTCTGCTTACTGTCTGTAGAGAGCTGCGAGCAACTTCAGAAAGGCAGGAGAAAGGACCTCTCCTGTTCGCAAGCCCAGCCTGAAAATGGATGACACCTTCGAAAACATTAATGAGTTGGGCACTTTGGAGCTGATGCACAAAGACCTTGAGTTGGCTCCCTACGGGCCACTGAAAAAGTCCATCTCCACCGATTCTCTCAGTTCCATCTCCTCAATTGGAAATAACTTTGGCCATGAGTTCACAGTGGGACAGGTGGAAGTCAATATGGAATACAATGTGAACTCCAACACCTTGCATGTTACACTGCTACAGGGCAAAGATCTCATGGAGAAGGAAGATGTCAACTTTGAATCATGCTTTGTGCGCATCAGTTTGCTTCCGGATGAGCAAATAGTTGGCATTTCAAGGGTAAGTTTCCCCACCATTTTTACTTGTATACAGTGGTGCATGACATAATAGCAGATGCTCAGGATGTTTTTCACCATGTCTTCCAATCAAATGAACATGTGTTTCTTTTTGGAGTTTTTATGCTGGATTGTTGTTAGCTTAGTTGTTCAAGTGGTGAGATCTAGGCACTTTTTTGGTCTTCACTTATAGTTGATTTCAGATTCCTGAGGGAATGTTGAGTTGGTCTGAAGTTTCTCAATCATGCAAAAATGTGTTGTGTGTGATCCACATCTGCATTCTAGGAACTGTGTAATGAATTAACTGGCCATGAGCATGAGTATGGCATGCTGTGAGTATCAAACAATCTTGTTCTTCCTTTTCTTCAGTTCAATAGCACAGTGTTGACTTCCTTAGAATAGGGGTGAAAGAATGTTTGCTGTAATTAAGTGCCCATCCACACTTACTCCATCGGATTGTTTTCTCAGATACAGGTTTTTAGACAATTCTTTAAGCAGAGTAAACCAACACCTTTCCACACCATTTTATGTGGCATGTATGGGCTTTGGAATCTAGTTAAAGTATAAATGGCCTCTCAAGGGACTGTCCTGATTTGATTGTGCCTTTACTGGTGTAGACTGTTTGAGCTTTTTAGAATTGGATTTGCTAGAGTTGTTATCTGTCTTTAAGAGAGCTATTGTTAGAATGTATGGATTTTTTAAAAATTGTACATTGCTTTATTTGTTCTTTAATTAGAAACGTAATGTTTTATAAATGAAAATAAATATTTAAAGCCAATAGGATCAGCTGTTTCAGCCCTCCGGGTTTAATCTTTGTTAGAAATTACCTGACTTGAGATGAATTTAGCTGCCTTGATGTTGCAATCTGTGATGGCCCATAGAGTCATGTGTCACACCTTTGCCTGCTTCGATGCAATGAGACAACCTGCATTTCTAGGGTCTTTGAGCAGGTATTGCTCAATGAAGCAGCAGCAATTATATAATTAAACCCATGGTTTATGAAAGTATCTTGTGGATGTAGGTTGGCTGGATGCTCTGGTAGCTTTTGCCAAAAGGACACGTCTTCCCTAACTATTTATGAGTTAAGGGAAGAAAAACAACACTGCACCAATGATTCCTCCTTTTCAAGACTCCAGAGATTTCCCATAGTTCAAGAGAGGGATAATGCAAGTCCTCTTCATACAGCATCTTGCTGAATAGGAATCAGTTGTCAGAAGCAGTGTGATCACAGGGTCGCTGAATTGTAAAACTGGCAGTGACTTGAGGCCTATTTAGTCAATGTTCCCCTCACCCATTTCCTAGGCAGAATACATCACACTGTGTGGCCACATATTTATCCACCCTGTTGCTTACAGTTACATTCAAACACTATGTAAAAGCGGTACTTATGGTGAAGCTAAATTGTTATAACAATTTCTAGAAGGGGGCCCTCTGAGTCTGTTTCAGCAAAAACAACTAACGCATTTATTATGACATAAGCTTTCATGGTCTTGAGTCTACCTTATCACGAGAAAGATCTGGAAGAAACAATATGCATCATGTCAACTGAAGATGAACAACTGAAGCAGCAGGAAATTTATCAAGAGATGATAGATTGGAGAAAGTGTGGAGGGATAACATTCTTAGGAGGAGGACTGATTTCTTTCTGATATTTTAGTTTTGATGCCTGCCTTGGAAATGACTGTTGTAGTTTAGTTGTTGTTATGGTTTGGGCTAGGAATGGGTGCTGAGATGTATTTTAATACTGAGTGATGTTTGAATTTGTTAGCTGCCTTGAATTTCTTTTGAAAATTAGGCAGGATTATGTTGAGCAATTAGTAAGCGGTTTTGTTTAAGGCATTAATAACATTTAAATCAATTACTTAATTCAAGGTGCTTTCTTTTCTTGGTGATTTAAATTGTCTTTACTTAAATTACTTCACATAGCATAGTATTGAGGACTTTGAAGTCTCTTTTTTTACAAAGATGGATGCAGCAACTCAGGATTCAGTAGCTTGCCAGCACCTGTTTTGTTTCCTGTGAATTAGGCTAATCTAATTCTCAACTCTCAGGTGTGAATTCCTGCCATTTGAAAACAAAGTTTTCTTAAAGCCTCCATCTCTGATATTCATCTTACAGAATAGATTTAATTGCTACTGTAAAAGTTAGAAAATTGACAGATGGTATTCCAAACAACCTCCACAGAGGAAACTTTGACTGTATCGCAAGGCTTATACCCCAAAATTGTTAATCCTTCAGGAAAGGCTCCTGTTGTGAATAAGATTTCCAGAACAGGAAGGCAACCACATATATTGATTTTGCAGGTTCATCGAGGCTGAGGGCCTTGAAGAACTTGTACAAAAACAATCAATATAGTTGTCTTTCTTCTCTTGGGGTACAGATTCATTTAACAGACAATGTCGGTGCTTTTTCACCTTGCTCTTCGTCTACATTGCAGTCACTAGGTGACAATGTAATGCTAGCAGCACTGCTAACTGCATTCTCTTAGGCTTGGGGTCCACCTTTAGCCCAAACCTGCATTCGGGAACCCATTTTTTA